CGAGCCAAGGATGCCAGAGGACGTAGTTTGATCTGAACTGGCGATTAAAGATATGAATTCTCGGATAGATGACCAGGAAAATACAGGCCCCGTTTTCCCAGGCCCACTGGATAAATGGGTATATGTACAAACACACTATGTTCCCCAAGATTTTACCAACACCCGCCCCGGGGTGTACCGTTCCGTCCTTGCTTCGTGATCCCACCCGACCAAACACCCGTCCCCTTACCCCGACCGCTTAGAGGTAATGCATCATCTGCTGCAGGGGCACCTTGCCGCTTCCTTCTCGATGATCAGAATTGTCTCGATAAACTTCCGGTCCAGCGTCTCGCTCTTCTTCCGGGGCCGCAAGCAGCTGCGCCGTCTTGAGCACGTTCTTGATCTGCCGGCCGTTGAGTTTGAGCTCGGCCAGCTCGTGGATGTCCTTGTCGGTGAGCGAGCTCTTGATGGTCGACCCCCGGAGGAAGTTGCCCCAGATGGCGCGGCGAGAAGCGGAGGTCAGGTCGGGGTACTCGATGGTGACGGGGAGACTACACTGGAACGCGTCGTCGATGTCTTCGACCCGGGCTGTGGTCGGCGGGGTTGGCCCTTTTTGAGGGGGGTGTTGCGCAGGTAGTTCTACACGGTCGGGGGGCGCTCCATGTGAGGGCGGGCGGGCGATGGGCAGGGGAGATGGGTTCAGCGGGGGATAAATAGGGGGTGGGGAAGAGAGAGGGAAAAGGTGATTGAGTGAGGATTGGGTTGGGGTTGAGGGCTGTTGTCGTTTTGTGGCTGTGGTGGTTGTTGTTTGTTTACTTACACAGGGGATATGTATGCGTTAACGATTCTAGGTCGATAAAAAGGGTGTTTCCCCCATGCTTGTTTGCTACATGTCACAAGGATGGTGTGTTTGCTTTATGTCGATGTAGGTGTTATTTACATCTCTCATCTCTCTTGCTAAACCTAGTCAGCCACATACATGCACTTCTGTCGAGACCAGTCATCTATCGCGAGTGTCCCTTCAGAAGAGCGTTTCAGTTATTTCTATCTGCTGTTCATAAATCAAAACATATGGCAGGGATCAACCCCTGACAACAGACCCTTCCTCCGTCTATAAATGAACACAAGAAACCAAAAGCCGCAAGAGCCGCTAAAACGTTAAAACATCAACCCACCATGAACCCCCAACCACAATCCCATCCCATCCCACTCTCCCAAAACAAGCTTAGTACGCCGCCCCCTCGCCCCCTCCCCTCCTCCTCAAACTCCCCAACCGCCTCTTCAAACTCTGCGCCAAGTTCTTCCCGCCCGTATTACTCCGGTGCACCCCCGACGAGCCAGGAGCCTCCGCGCCCAACCCCTCCCGCGGCCGCGAGTGGTCAGCAGCATTACTCACGCTCCGGCGGCGCACAGCGGCGACCATGACACCCTCCTCAGCCTTACCATGGCCATAGCCATAGTCGTCGTTGTGGTCATAGTCGCGCGATAACAACGAGGAGGAGGCGGTGGTGGTGGGTTGCATCTCGTAGGAGACGGTCCCGGTGCTGTCGGTGGTGGGTTGTTTGGCGCGGCGGGCTTGGTCGTGCGAGAAGGAGGGCTCGCCTTTGCCTTTGAAGTCGTCGGGGTGGTAGCGCTAGGGATGGGGTGGGTTGTTAGTTGGCTGGTTGTGTGCGTGCGCGGGGGTGGATGAGATTAGGGGGGGGGGGGCCTACGATGTGCTCCCACCGCTTGTAGGCACCGCCGGCAGCGTCCTCCTCGCGCATCATGTCGGCGCCCTCTTCGTAGTGCATGGTGCGCCCGGCCATGTCCTTCATACCCGGCGGGACGACGGCGGTGCCTTGCAGAGGCATGTGCTTCACGAGCGAGTCTTGGATGTACTCGGGCGGGGTGGCCTTGAGGGCCTTGGCGTTGGTCTCCTTGACGGCCTCGACGGGGGAGTACTTCTTGTTGGTGTTGCGCGATTTGAGGGTGGCGTCGAACGGGCCGCTATGGTGGTACACGGACGGGACGGGCCCCGTGATGTCAAGCGTGTCGATGGTGTCGCTCGGCTGCTGGCGGCGGTGGTTGTGTAGGTGCGGCGCCCGGTCCGCTGCCCGGTGCTGCTTGGTGAGCATGGCCAGCGGCCGGTGGGACATATCCCCCGGGTACCGCTCCCTGAGTGAGCCGGATCGGCGTGGGAGAGTATCTTTTCCTCCGCCTTCTTTTGCCTCGGACGGCTGGTGGGAGTTGGCACGGCGACGATGCCTATTCTGGTCTCCTCCTGCTGCAGCCATGATACCTGCGCTGGGCCTAGGAGTCGATACGCTGTTGGCTCGGGACCAGTATGGTGCCCTGGTTCCAGCGAGTCTGCGGTCGGGTTGGCGGTATGGATGGAGCGTTTACGTTCCAGGCTGGAGAGTGGCGGGTATTTGGCCCGGGGCGGCGAAGGGGGGAGGGGTTTGCGCTTTACACTATTGCTACGCAAGATCGGCACCGTTTCGTCCGGGTTCTTGACAACTGGCTTTCGGTGCCTCTGGCCGAGGTATTCACGGATATGCTTGGTAGACGATGGCTGTGTCGAACGTGGTCCAAGGCGAGTTGCACTGACTTGGCTCGGCTCCGGGTCGTAGAGAGGGCCAAGGATGTACTTTGATGCCTATGGTCAAGCACAAATAGTCAAATATTAGTAGTGGTTTTGAACGGAAATGGCAACATGGTGAAAAATGACAGCTTCTAGGCCGGGATTTATTGGGACTATGAATGGCAACATTGCGCCTCTGCGCCTGAAACTTGGCAGGTTGCTGCCATGGAAAGGAAGCGGGATGCAGTGACGCAACTTGAAGACGATCGCGAGCGGCAACCATCATCCCAGCAACCACCGGGAGGCTCGGTGTTCATCTTGAATTGATAACGGTGAGTCATAGCCCGCCGCCACTTATAATACCATAGACTTGGTGGAAAGAATTCCCAAGACTTCTGGAGGAATTGTTGTAGTTGTGGAGGTGATGAAGGAGTCTCTGGAAGGCGTTCCGAAAAGGGAATAGGAATGAGAGCGAAGGACGACGTCATCGGCACTTGCGCGACCTCGCCAAACTTTGACAAGGCAGATAATAAGAAATTTCTGGATAAGAAAAAAATAAAAACACGTGGGCTATAGACAGCGAAGCAGCTTGATGTTTGAAAATGGCTTGCTGAGTACCAATAATGTATAAAAGCTTGAGGGAGAGAGAGTTGACGAGGAGAGAAAGCTCACCCATTGCTTGTCGATAGCAGACATGCCGCCGTCGGAATCCCTGTCGCTCATTTTAATGCAGGGGTAACTTGATTCAGTGGGGCTTGGGGAAGCTTGAATTCAGGATCCCAAGTGAGGTGGGGCTTGGAATGATGAAGTTGAAAGTTCAAAGTTGGAATATCTTCAACAGTGATTTGGTTTCTTCCTTGGAAAAAGAAGGTGAGGACTGAGTAGGTACCTGATAATAAACGATGGGCCGATGCGCGTACAAAGACGGGCGCGGGCGAATGCGAGAGTGCGGCCCAAATCTGTCTGAATGTTGAAAAGGGCCTGCCTCGACTTCGTTACAGACCAATACCCTGCGCTTCCTGACATCCCGTGGCAGCGTCATCTGTCCCTTCAGCCACGCAAGGGCAGCGGATACAGCGAGTAAGAGGAGAGGCCCAAGCCAAGAGACCCTGAATTCCCGTCCCAACTCTTGCGCAAACCAATCGGCAGCCGTCGCAAGAAACAGAACAAAGTTTCCATCACATCGCAGCCAGTACCGGCATCCCCCGAGATACACTAAAAAGCGCCCATGTGCATCGAAAGCATCAACGGGTCTCTCCGCACCCGCCATTGGTTGAGCCGTTCTTGAGTCGTCCCGGGATCGTACGGCTACAACACCAAAATGTGGCCGTGACAGGGCTGAGATAGGCCCCGGGCCATCGCACCGGGTCGGGGACTCCACACGGAAGCCAGCAAACGAAACGAGACGAAACGAAACGAAACAAAACAAAAACAAAACCCAACCCGCCAGACCCAGCCAGCCAAATCTGACTTGACCACAAACCGCTAAAACCACCACCACCATCAGAACAGCAATGGCACTCGTCGATTACACCTCCTCCGACTCGGACACCTCCCCATCCAGCACCGACACCACCCCCCGAAACAGAAAGAAACAAAAAACAACCTCCCTTCCTGCCCACCCCCCTCCCTCCCGCCCCTCCCCCCCTCCTTCCACGACCTCTACGCCACGGCCACCCGCACTACCACTTACGACGACCCCTTCAAGCACGATGGCCGCACCCGCCTGACCCCGCACTTCTAGGCTACCGGCCCTCCCACGTAGATGTGAGGTGGCGTCCGGTCCCGGTTAATCTCACGTTGCTTACGGAAAGGGTTCGGTGCGTTGCAGGCACTCCCTTTCTCGTCTGGGGGACGGAGGTGGCCGGCGGAAAGTTTCCTCGCCAGTGACGCAGGACGAGGCCCCGCCGCCTGCATATGAAGTTTACCAAGGCTCCGTGCTGGTGGGAACGGGAGAGATAGGGGGGTGTTTTTGACACGAGGTGGTAAAGGAGGTAGGTGGTGGTGGGGGTGGGCAGGCGGTGTTTGGGTTGAGGGGGAGTGGGGTGGTGGAGTGGCATCGGACGGGGGAGAGCGGGCGGTCATTTTTGGTGTTGAGGGTGGAGAGTTTGTTGAGGAGGAAGGGGTTGGAGGGTGGTGGTGGTGATGAGGATGCTGGTGCTGGTGATAACCCAAACCCCGAGTTGACGGGGTTGCTGCGCCGGTGCAATGCCGTGGTGAAGCGGTACGGGCAGCCGGGGCTCTACGAGTGGGCCGAGGCCGAGGATGGGCGGGCCAACGGCGGGAGACGGGTCGGCGAGGCGTTTCATGTGTCGATTGCGTGGTCGTTTGCCGAGCCTAGGTACGAGCTGGTGAGGGCGACGGAGCGGGTGTTTGGTGGGCGGGATATACAACAGAAGCTTCGGGAAGTGCAGATTCCCGTCGAGGCCATCAAGGTCAAGATCGGGAATGGGATCACAAACGTGGCCCTTCGGCGGCCGGGGGCGAGAGCGGGCAGAGAGGGAGCAAGAAACTTGCTTGGGCTATGATGTCTATAGACGGCTGATAGACAGATACAGGGTATATACCTCTATTTTAGTTGCCAGACCACCACGGCGAAATACGTTTCTGTATGTCAACCCCCATCTCTCCATCGTGATGTACAAAATACCCAAATGCACCATCCTAAAAGAACTCGCGCTCTATCGCGAATGAGAACCAGGTTTTCCACAACTCCCAACGCCGTTGTAGACCCGAAATCCGGGCCGTGATGCAATGCTCGCCAATGACGCCAATAAAAGCACAACCACCTCAGAGCTCATCCACCCTCGCGCCCCCAAAGGTCCACGTCCTCGGAGACACGGGCAGGCCGACATAGAACTGCCACAGTTCGCCGCTACTCGGATGTGATGATCTGCTATCTTTGCAAAGTCAGCACAATGTAAAACGTACTTCCAGAACAGAAAACTTACAATACCGACGGGAAACCGGACCCAGCTCTTCATTATGAACTTTGACCACCTGGATCACCTTTGTCCCAGCTCGTTGGTCAAAAGTCCTCCTTTGATGGTCCGCTCCTCGTAATCAGGGCTCTCCCCTCCTTGGCGGAGCGTCTCGGGCTGCCCGCTTCGGAAGGTGCTGCCTCCCGACGAATCCTGGGACGAACGGCGTGGCCGCGGCTTTCTTCACCTGGTCCGGGAATAATGTTGATCTTCTCGGCCTCCTTGAGCCGCTCCTCGAACTTGCTGGCCGCCTCGATCTGCTCGACCATGGCCCTGAACTCCTGGATGGCCGTCATGCTGCTGCTCAGCCGCGCGTAGGTGTTGAACAGAGCCACCAGCTCGGTGCGCTTCAAGATCGGTACCGCGGGCGCGTCGTTGTTGTCGAACTCAAACAGCACCTTGAGCGCCGTTCCGTAGCCGACAGTCTGGAGCTTGCCCCAGAGGCGGCACTTGTCGCAGCCGACGCAGTCCATCAGGCGGCTGACATTGCGGAACCGGTTGCGGAAGTCCTCCTTCAGAGACGGGCCCTCCCCGTTCTTGAACATCAGGCTCTCGTCAAAGATGTGCGCCACGCTCGTCGCCTTTTCCGTGACAGCCATGACCTTGCTGCGTGTTATGGCGTCCTGTTCCGGGTCGCCCTGGCAGAAGGTGTAGTCTTGGTGTTGCGAGACATACGGGCCCAGTTTCGCAATGGCCCGCGTGATAAGCGCATAGTTGAAGTAGAGGTTGCTGATGCGGTCCGGGAACTCGTGCAGCCGGTCCATGTAGCAAGCGACATTGGGTTGCCACTCTCCGGTCGTCTGGTTGAGGAAGTCCCAGCACAAGTGTGTCGAGATGCTCGCGTGCATGCCCGAGATGACGCGGTAAAACACACGCTTCTCGAGGCACTCGTCCTCGTATTCCAGCCCCGTCTTCGCCACGAAAGGGGTCAGCGGTTGGATCTGCCGCTGCTCCTCCAAAACTTGCTGCCGGCCCGCGGCCTCGATTACGGCCTTGAAGTCCATGGCAGCCGGCCCCTTGGCCGACACATCACTTCCCCAGCGCCGCCGAGCGCGGGAACGAGCTCCTGGAGAAACAGTTCTCCCGGTAGATAGCGTCCCAGACCTGCTTGGCCCCGTCGCCAGCGTAACCAGTGAACCGCTCCGGGTTGCGCAACAAGCTCACGTAGTCGCCCTTGGAGGACGCGCTCTCGTCCTCGGGCACGCAATAATCGCGGTCGTCGCACTCGTCGTCGTACTCGAACACGCAGCTCTCCCCGACGCCCTCCCCCAGCCGGCCCTGCAGCGGCCGCTCGGGCTGCTGCGCCTGGGCGCTCTTGCCGGGGTGCTTCGCGCGCGGGCCCTCCAGCTTGCCGAGCTCGCTGGCGCGCCACACCAGCGGGATGTCCTCCTCGCTGTCGAGCGTCTCGACGGCGCAGGCAATGTTGCCGCACATGCCATTCTCGTCGTTCCAGAAGGGGCACTTTTTGTGGAAGAGGTTGACCCGGTAGTGCGAGAAGAAGTCGGTCGTCTGGGTCAGTTCGTCAAGGGCCGGCTTGACGTTGCGGTTCAGCCGCTCGAGGGTCGAGTAGGAGGCGCATGCGTCGCTGACGATGGCTCGGGGTGATATCTGCCAGACGGAGCCGTTAGAACGAAAGAAGCGAACCTCGACCGCCGCAGCCGCAGCCACCTCGGAGCAGTGCGACGATGCAGCAGTGGTAGCGAGGGAGAGAAAGACGCCAAGAAGGCTAAAGAGAGCATACCGCGCAGGCATCTTTGGAAGAAGAGTCTGGATTTGGGTCCGAATTCTGGCAAGAGACCCTAGGTCCCCAGAGGGAGAAGACCGACAGGTAAAAGAGGCGAGTAGCCGACTTCATCATTGACGACAACCTGGCGGCGTGGTTTTGCGGTCGTTTTGGAAAGCTACGGGCTTGTGGCCCCGTCGGCGCGCAGTAAGAAGACCGGCCGGGATTTGGTGCTAGGGGTGAAGCTTGGAGGTGGCCTGGGGACGATTCCCGCGACCTGGCCTGAAACACAGCGGTCTTAGAGATGTGGTCCGATGTCTATGGGGTGGCGGCCCCCAAGAGGACATTTGGCGATAAGCCGCTTATCGAGTACGGAGAAAGGCCAGGATTGACGGCCGGCAAGAAAGCTTGGCGGGTTCTGGAATTGCAGGGAGGGAATGTGAATAAATCATTGAAGAACAATGAACAACAAAAACATACACAGTGCGTGCAGGGAACAGGTAACCTTCAAAGAGACCCGAGTTCTGCTTTGTTCGGCCAGCTCCATCATGCGATCGACCGGCTCTAGGTGATATCGGGCTTCTCTCTGGCTTTTAATATCGAAAGATGCGGAAGCTGCGGGGGAGGGGTCCGCGAAGGAAGGTGAAATGTGTCCAGAACGGAAGATCAGCAGATGATGAATTGCCGACCGAACGATCTGTTGCATGCTGATTGCTTAGAAATAAACGAGTCTGCCGATATTCCCTTGTCTCCAACAGCATGTGGCGTCGCATTGCCCCGTACTGGGTCCGATCCCAAGATCGGAATCATCAGGTCCGGGGTTAAGAGTCGTATGCTGCGAGCTGGCTCAATGGGAGAGGACCTCGTGGCTTTCACTCTGCCGAACCCGCCTTACCTAGGTTATTTTCTTTGATGACCTGCTGGTGCTACCACCCTTAAACGGCCCTCGCTTTTTGTTCTATTTCTGCGTCATCAAACATACACCGCAAAACCCTGTATACAACAAACATTGGTCAAACTGTGGTATTATTACTTGCTGTTGATCCCTATGCAGTAGGGTCCCTCGCCGGAGTTGGCCTCGGAGAAGGAGGGCAGGCAGCCTTGCTCACGGCCAGAAGCAGTGCCTCGTTGTTCGCATGACAACCCTCTATCGGCACTCGGGCTCCGATTTGGAGCCCATCATACCAGCTTCGGTATCCTGAGTTCACCTCCACGGTCAGGCTACCACACGCAGCCAGACCTGGTGAGAGTACAGAGGGCGGAGCAGCTGCGTGCCTCGTGTGCAAGCCCCAATCAAAGACCAGGCCACGCCGCGGGGGCCATAACGCCCCGATTGCCCCATCCGGGTATTCTAGTCATAGTCATACAGTAAAATGACGTTCGCTATGTAGTCGTGTTTGCCGTGATAATGCAAAACGCCAAGGACTCAAATTCCAGTATCTTCTTCTCCGCTCTCCTATCTGTTTCACTGCGGTGGCTGGTAGTTTAGGGGGCGCCTTGCGATGGTCAGCATTTGATACAACGTAAGTCTCGCGCGGGGTGCTTACTTGAAGAGGAGAATATGGGGCTCCGGCTCATGAACCTCATAGTGTTCCCAACCAAGGCTCTGTAATGTAATCAGCATCCCGCCAGCCAGTTTGCAACATCGCAGTGCATACCTGTGTGATCCCCATGCCCCGCCATTCATCCTCCCAGAGAAGTTTCAATGTGCCCTTCGCCTTGTCGTGATAGTCGCTAGGAATCGCCTTGAGCATGGCCTTGGGCAGTTGGACGTGGCGGTACTCGTATTCGCTGTCGGAGTATCTGATACACGTCAGTCTCGGGGGGGCCAAGTCAACGTTTGCCCGCGTCGGAGAACACACCTAGTGGAATAATGTATGCCGTCGAGGAATTCGTCCAGGCGCGCGCGCTCCTCTTCTGTCAGCTGCCTCGGGATCCGGTTGCGGCGACCGGAGTCGATGCCCATACGCTCCGGGGTTGACATCTTTGTCGCTGGTGATGTTTCGGGATAGTGGCTGACGATGGCGGTGTGTGCAAATATTGCGATGCTCGAGCTGCGCCCCGCGTCGTGGTGGGGATGGCCAGGCGTTCAAAAAGTGGTTTAAGTCGCGCGAACCCCCCGCGTCAGGTTGGGCTTGCGGCAAAGTACGTGGGGTAATGCTCGACTAAGCGGTCTGGTTCCAGTCTCTGGTGCGCCGAAAGCTAGGTAGTGCTGCGATGTAGATTGGCGATGCGCTGATCAGCTGGGTTACTTGATCGGAGCGAGGTCTGGTGGAGGGTGGTGTAACGCTGGGTTTTGCGCGCGACCTGTTGGCGTTGAGTGGAATTTCTTGGGTGGAGGAGGGGGATCAAGAGCAGGTCAAGGTAAACAAATCGAATGGTCCATCTCTAAAAGGCCCTGATGCACCTGCCCAACGCTAAAATTCTCACCCCTCCGCCCCATCCGGTAATAGGGCACGGGCCTCATGGCATGAAGGTGACAATGGGGAGTTGTTCAAGGTGTTGTAGATAATTCAAGCACATTGTTTTGGTATTGTGAATGATGGTGCTCCGCATTCTAGTTTCCACAATAGATAGGACTGAATATTCCGGAACATAATACTATCCGTCATGTTTCCATCATACCCCCGTCTATTAAAAATGGTGAGGTACCTCTGCTTATGTAAGTGATTGTTCTAAAACGATTCAGCACTGTGGCAATGAGCTTCGTGATTTAAGCAATATGGAACCTACTTGGCGCATTTTTATCTCGTGGTGAATAAAACAAATCCAAAATAGCAATTGTAAAGGGCATCGCAACCTTGTGAAAGGAGGTTTTAGGATGCATAATACCTGACACTGGAAGTCAGTGGCTTTTCCCATGACCTAGCGAGTGTTAGTTTGATAGTGTCGACGAAGTACATATGAGTTACTCATACTGTACGCCCACCATTCCCCCAAAACCGCATGCCAAGTCGATTCACCCCTTGCTAAATCGATTGAGCTGCAAAGATGATGCCGGGAACTGCAGGCATGTCCGAGTCTGTCCACATACACCTCGACTACATTTCTTCGTATCAGCCTTTCTTCCCGTGTTAGGCCTCTTAATTACTCTAGCCCTCGCATATCGAGTGCCCCGCGCCTGATTTGCCGGTAGCAAGCGGTCGAACAGAAACTCCGTGCGAGCTTTTGCGCCCACCAATTTCATCATCGACGCGTCTCGACTAGCAACTGGTCCGCGCATCGACGTCGACCTCCCCTCCCGTTCGCCCTCGCGTCGCTCCCGAGACCGGCCCGTAAAAAAATATATCGCGTTATCGTGCATTATCGTCGTTTGTGGAAATACCGTGGTCGGTTGGTGGTGGCGCAAAATGGACCACAAACGGAAGGCGAGCTCATCGGCTGGCATCGCGGATGGCGATGATCGGGCCATGAAGCGGCAGAAGACCCCAGGGGTAAGTTCTATGCGAATGCAGTTTTGCCCTTGGCTCGAGCGCCATCGAGTTGTGTGGTTAGCGGCCATTTCAATGGGAGGTAGCCATCTTCGATGCAGACTGCCCTCCTGTAGAAAGAAAGGGTACAAGCAGCGCGCTGAGGTGTACTCAATTGGCCCACCCCGTGCCAAAGGCACAGCAACATCCTCTGCCTGCAAAAAGAAAGTACACTAACCATGGGTACAGCAACCGTCCGATTACAACCTCATGCAGGGCGAAACCCGCGAGTCCACATCCGCTTACGGGTTACACTTCCTGGAAACTATCCGGAGGACCAAGGACAAGAGGTGAGAGCTGGGGCGCATTGTCACTCTACAACCAATCTTAGCAAGTCGCATGCTGACTCAGAACACAGCGGTCGACTTGTCGCAAGCTACTTCGACCATCTTATCCCTCGAGAGACGAATAAGGAATACTACGAGCGCATTCGCATGCCCATCTCGCTGAAAGGGATCGAGCGGAAACTCCTGAACCAAGATTTCAAGAATCTCTCGGAACTGGAGAGTTATTTCAAGCGCATGGTGACCAATGCCAAGGAGTTCTACCCCAAAAATTCGGAGGTGTTCGAAGATGCCGAGCGCGTCAGGAAAGCGCTGAGCAACTACATGACCAAGACGAACCCGGCGTACAAACTCATTTCCGGGTACAGTTGCCAGGCAACGCCGATTCCCGCCGACCTCGCCGAGCTAGAGATTGAATCCGAGGATGCTTCCGCATATAGGGTCACGGTGGAAGCCACGAAGCAGGTCGACGACGAGGACGCCGAAGGCGAGGAGGATGAGCAAGAGGATGAAGACGCTGAGGGCGAAGAGGACGAAGATGGCCAAGAGGAGGAGGAGGACGGGAACCCCAGAAAGATCGTCCTTAAGAGGAAAGGCCCCGGCAGACCGACCAGGGCCGAGTCGGAACAAGCTAAAAAGCTTGATAGAAGCGGCCGGGTCAAGGCAGACCACGAGTACGATGGCGTGTCATACAAGGGGCTTTCCTTCCAGCAAGCCCAGGAAAAGATTGTTGAGGAGTTGATCCGAAAACCAGACGGGTCGTGAGTCCACACACCTCTTCCACTTTGGTTGTGTGGGGAGCTAATGAAAACAGGGACCCGTACTTTTTGGATTTCATCAACCTTCCGCCGCGCAGCTACAAGGACTACTTTGCCGTCATCACATCGCCTCTTTCACTGAAGGGGTTGCAGAAGCTCGTCAAGGGGATCCACGGCCGCCAGCCTGCCACCGGCGTCAGCGACTTTAAGAGTTGGGCTGTATTCGAGGAGAAAGCGAGTCTGCTCTGGACGAATGCACATTTCTACAACGAGGAGGGAAGCCCCATCCATACCCTCGCTACGGAACTCCAGGTATGATGATGCTATCGGTCATCGGTCAGCCACGAGGGCCCCAAAACTAACATTGATGATGCTTGCAGAAATGTTTCGCAGACGAGCTCACCCAGGCAAAAGCGGTCGTGCAAGAACCGCCGCAGCCCAAAATCAAATTGAAAATGACACCCGGCCAAGAGACCCCCGTCCTTGGTCCTAAGAAGATCACCATCCACGTTGGCGGATCTAGAGGTAGCACAGCCGCCTCACCTGCACCCCAAACTGGTCGATCAAACGACTCAAGTCGTCCCGATGTCAATATGGACGCCAACCGCAACATCCCGCCAACCCTTGCGAACACCACCGCTGCCAGTTTTCAGGTCGATAACAATAGAGTTTTATCAGGCGCCGTGGCATCTGTTCTTCCCGCTGTTGGCGTGGCGCCTCCGAACCTTAGTAGCCAACAACAACCCACGGCGGGTTTTCCGGGACCAAACGGCAATATCCCAGCCCCGTTGGCCGTTGCAAATGGCATAGCAGCCCAGCCCTTCCAGCCACCCCAGGGTCAGCAATTGCAAAACGGCACTCCACACCCAATGCCAGTGCCTGTCCCGGCACCTGCCCCGGCGCCGCCTATCCACGACTTCAAGTATCGTGCCCCCGGTAGAGGTACGTCCCCAGTCACGGTGTTCAACCATTTAACTAGCGCAAAGACGCGTGCATGATACTAACGTCGCTGCTAGGTTACGCCGATGCACTGCTGCCGAGCGTTCTGCTCCGGACACACCCCAGTATGGTTATGGACCAGATGCTCCGAGTTGAGATCCCGGCACACCCGACAGAAGCGCACCAGAATCTCACGATGCACGTCGGCACCCACAACCGGCTGCAGCTCATTCCTCGCCTCGCACCGTTCGAGCAACAGGGCCGGCAGTACCGTATGTTCGTGACGGTCAACGGCCAGAACATCGGCCGAGCTCCGCCCCTGCCCGTCAAAGACGACCCGTTGCCTCAGAACACGATCGTCTTTGACGTGGTCGTGCAGCACATCACCACCGTTGTTGTAGTCACCGTCATTGCTAGCCTACCGAAGGGGCAGAAGCTGGTGACCGGTGCGGATTGCGAGGTCGAGAAGCTCACCCTAAATTTGCACATGTCTCGGGCGTAGGGGCGTAGTCATTTGAGTTAGTCGGTGGGATAAAATGTTTTGCTATTATCGGCGTAACTTTGGAGGTTGGAGGGTGGGCACTCCGTGGTGTCTGGCTAGGCTAAGTGTAGTCCCTCTTGGTGACGCTGTATGGGTGTTACGAAGACAAGGCAAGGGACTGTGTATGGCACGGCACGGCTAGGATCCTGGCGTTTGGGGTCTCGAGGTTGGTCTGAAAGCTGAGTTCTCTCAGCCACACGAGTAGTCTTTTGTTTCGTTGCTATTCCTCTGTAATATAGTGCTGTATCACAATTATCGCTAAGGTTTCCTTCTGCTTCGTCTCGGCGGTGCCACACGGTTGGAATGCAATCTTGGAGGTGAGCTTCCGGTCGTTCGCCTCTGTTTGCATTCCGGATGCGGTCTTTGTCTAAGATGCGGGAGACCGCATGTTTTCCCACTCCGTCGAACCGCCTTTGTTTGTACAGAGCTCGCCTTTCCAATCCCAGCTTAGCTAGCTAACTGTCTTTGTCGGCGCCAGGTTATTACACCACACCAAACGTACAATTGCCTGACCTCCTCTCTCTTCCACTCTGCGACATCTTCGGGCCAGGGAAAACCCCTAGATAACAACAGCAAGCCATTCGCATTACCCCAAGATCACCCATCCGCTCAAGATCAAACCAGCCAGGCAGACCCCATCCCAACCAGCGACCACACACGCACCCTGAACACCAACCCAACTCAACCCAACCCAACCCACCACCACGAAACAACACAACCCCAAACACACCATGGACGACCGCCACACCAACCCCCCCCTCCGCGGCGGCTCCTTCGCCGACACCTCCGGCTACGCCCCCAGCCTCCCCCGCGGCACCCGCACCCGCACCCGACACAAACGGCGAGACGACGCTGAACAGCACCAAGCCCACAACCGCAACGAACAAGCCCCCACCCGCAACCGCACCACCACCACTAACACCACCACCACCGCATCCCGAGCCCAAGTCCAACAACCCCAACCCCAACCCCAAGCATCCTCATCCTCATCCCGAGCCCGCTCCCGCTCCCGCTCTCGCTCCCGCGCTAGAGCTAGGGACCCAACGTCCAACCCAGACTCGGCCCTCAACTCAGACCCGTACGCGACCCCGCCGCCGAATGGCGCGTATGAAGCGGTGCCCAAGGATAGGTGGTATAATCGCCGGGCGCGGGTGCTAGGGATTCCGGGAGAGTTTGTTGCGGCCTGCGGGGTATAGTGCTGGGGGTGGTGATGGGGATGTGGGCGGTGGTGATGATGGTGGTGGTGCGGGGCAGGGGGGTTGGGCGGAGTGGGTTGCTGGTGCTGTGGGGGGCGTTGTTGATGCTGTTGCGGGGGGCGGTGGTGATGGTGATGGTGGTGTGGGGGGTGTGGGAGGTGGGCGGCGGCGGCGGCGTGATCTGGCGGTGTTGAAGAGCAGGGCATGGCGGCCGACGAGGACGCGGTTTGATGTGCGGTGGCCGTTGGGGGAGGGCAAGGAGTTGGGGAGTGAATGGTTTGAGATGGTGTATGCGCATCTGTTTAGGAGGGTGAGGGAGTTTGCGGAGGGGTATTTTGGGTTGGGGGATATGCCTGCTGCGAGGGGTGCTGCCCCCGGCTCGGGGCTTTGGGGCGACTGGGAGGAGCAGGGCCTGGTGTGGCTGGAGGGAGGGTTCTCGGAGCAGTTTCTTTGGTTTGTTGGGCAGGTGGCCATGCAGGATAACAACGCGGGTGGGTGGGATGCGTTGTTGACGAAGAGGGCGCATCGCGAGTGTCTTGTTACGGGTGTCATCGGGAAGGTGCTGGAGATGGCCGTCTTCGATGACTTGCTGTTCGGGGCGGATAAGACCCAGAAGAGCATGCTCGAGGCCCAGGACGAGTGTACCCTTGAGTTTGAAGGTCAGTATTCCTATTGCTGGGTGCCCCTGAATCTTGGTTTGACTGACCCGACACAGGTTACCACCGTACCGCCCTTCGATCCCAGTGCATCCGCGCCCTCCTGGTCAACGACATCCTGACACCGGATTTCTGGCCCTGCGTTGACCAACTTACGCTCCAAATCACGTCTCTGCTTCTGCCCCTGCTCGGCATCGTGGACAAGCACTTCCCGGCCAGCCGAACCAACTCGCTACGCAACTTCTACCAGGACCTGCACGCAATTGTCGCCAGCGCCGGATACCTGTCCATCGGAATCCGTTGGTCCGCCAATATTTTCCGTTTCTCGCTGCCCTATCCCGGGGAGGTGTGGGATATCGACCAGGAACATGTCGATGACACCATCTACAATGCTTCCGAGGCTGCGAACATCCGGGCTGATTTGGCCGCCGGGGAGAAGTGGGAGGCTGAGCGCCGCCGGCGGTTGGATAGAGAGAGGGAGAGAGAAGCGCGAAACGGCAACCGAACCCTTCTGAGTTATGGAGAGGCCCTGCTCGCCTCAGCGCGTGACCAACTCAGCGCAGCCCGCAGGCGCATAGGGGGCCGAGAGAACGACGGCGACTCGAACAACAACGACCACACCGGCAATGCTTGGCATCCACCGTCCCGCATGGGCAAAGTCCAAATCGTACTCTGGCCCATGTTGCAACGCTTTGAGACGGTCGGCGAGATCGACCCCGAGGTCGGAGCCGCAGACGGGGAAAAGGTCACCACTGTCCACAAGGCCCAAGTGGTCTACTACTACGGCCAAGTTGACGAGGCCGGCGGGGACAGCGACCACTACCCGAGCCTGGACGACTGGATGCGCGAGACCAGGAGGGAGCGCAGGCTGAGCTGGCTCCTCGAGCTGCAGTGGGCTATTTATCCCTTTATGGTATGGTACCTGCTTGGTTTCCTGGCACGGTACAGCCCGATGGTCGCCGATATCCGGCAAATGGTCCGTCGTGGGTCAGTTGAGGTCTTCTTGTACGCCGCCCAGGGAGTGACCCTTTTCGTGATGGAGGCCCTGGTCATCTTCGTTGCGGTTGTTATTGGTGTTAGCAAGGTTGCGGTATTCGGGCTCTATCTTGCTATGGACACACTGGCTGCTCTATTGGGGCCGGGCCTGGGTTATCTTTGGGGCGCTCTCGGTGGTGTTGTTGGGAACGGAGATGGCTGGGGTGGGTGGTACAGCCCCCAGCTGGCTTACCCAGATTTGAGCTGGGAGTCGATGAAGGATATGGCTCGGGTATTCACTGAGCGGTTCACCTTGTAAGTCAATGCAGAAGCATCTGTACCCTATGGCTTGGCTGACGGTGGAACAGAAGACCGGCGACGGCCTAGGTCGTTATTACTATGGGCTTAGGAGGTACGCTCTTCGTTAAGCCGCCCTTGTGAGATTAGTGCCTACGGCCAATAGTTCCATAGTCAACCCGCATTCATTCCTTTTATGACCATGTCAGTTTCTATTGATCATCACTGGGAGGTACGAGTCTAACTAGAGTTGGGGAATCCCGAGTATTTGGGAGTTTGGTCGGGCAGGTGTCACGAATATGCCAACAGGTGGGACCTCGGGGGCGCGGGACGCCCCGAGGCAGTCATTTCAGGAGCCAATCAGGAGAGGCTGGAAGGTGCTCAGTGTGATCAGGGAAACGGGGAACAACGGGAAACTGAGCACACTGAGCACTCAGGAATTAGCTAGGTATATAGTCACTCGTTCTGGAGAGCTCTGGGAGTTCTCCAGTTAGCAATCACAACTACAGTTCGCTACAAGTTCGTGAAGCCTACTGTTGAGACAAGTCTTTGTTGTGCACCCTTTGGCTGCACCGAACCTAAGCACCCTTGAGAGATTACCTTCAACCGAAGCTGAACCCTAACAGGACAGGGTCCTGAAGTAGGTTCGTCACAGCAGGTTTGGTTAGGTAGCTATCCTTTCTTGTAGTTTCTTGTTATCGAGCGCGGTTTTCCGTTTGATCGAAAAAAAGTTAAAAAGAAAGCTAGGAAAGAGAACGAAGGAAAAGGTAAAAGAACAAGAAAAGGAGACGGGAAAGGAAGTGAGAAAGAAGCGGGAGAAAAGGAGGGGAAAAAGGTTTCTTTTTTTTTTTTTCTTTCTTTTGTTTTAATTTATTTAAAAGAAAACCAAGACCACGATGAAGGACAGTTAGCTTGTCACCTTGTCTTAAAAGTTAATACGGTTGATGATGAAGTCGTGTTCTGTAAAGGAGGTGGTTCAAGCGCCAAGCAATTGATGCAACACAACGACGATGCAACCCCACATCAAAGTCCAAATCTCCGCCAAGCCAAAATTTTGTCGACTCTCTCGTCAATTCGCGACCAGACCTCGAACCCTCAAGTTTGTCCACCAGCACATCCTCCAACGCACCATGCGATTCTCTCGTCGATAACCCACCCCCTCTACCCCATGACAAACCCAACCCAAACAACAACAATCCCTTAATAGCCCACCACAACAACCCCTTCCCAAAACCCACCATGGACGCCGCGGCCCTCCTCAAATCACAAGGGTGGCGGGGCACCGGTTTCTCCCTGCACCCGACCAACGACGCCATCGGCCTCGCCAAGCCACTCCTCATCTCGCGCAACACGGACGGGCGCGGCATCGGGCAGAAAAAACACTACACGAGCGACCAGTGGTGGCTGCAGGCGTTCGACCAGAAGCTCAAGGGCCTCGACACCACCTCCAAAAAGGGCAGCGTCGTGCAGTCGGTCACGCAGGGCAAGCTCGACGTCATCGCCGCCAGCCAGCCCAACGGCAAATACACGGGCGCGAGCGGGCTGTATGCCTCATTCGTGCGAGGCGGGTTGCTGGATGGGACGAAGCAGGAGGAGGAAGAGGAGGATGGGATAAGAACTGCGGAGTCGACCGACGCGACGCCCGCGACCTCGTCGTCTGATGATAGTGAAGGAGTGGCGGGGTCTGCCTCGGGGAAGAAGCGGGGGAAACGGGACGGGTCCGAGTCTAAGCTGGAGAGACGGGCGCGGCGGGCGGCGAGGAGTTTGCGCAAGGCGGATAAGGCGGCACGGAAGGCGGCCGCGGCTAGGGCTGCGCAGAAAGCGGTGGAGAAAGCGGCGAAGAAGGAGCTGAAGAGGGCGAGGAAGGCGGGCGAGACAAAAGAGGAGAGGCGTGCTAGGAGGGCGGAAAGGAGGGAACGGAAGGAGGCTAAGAGGAGGAGGCGGGAGGGAGCTACACAAAAGTCTGATCAGGGATGAACGGCGGCGAGCTCGAACTATGGCTTTCGAGTATATTATCCCCTTCAGGGTGGACCATGGGGTGGCTTCATTACCTAGTTGGCTACCTTGGAGAACTCACGCTGCCAGGGGCCCTGAGAAGCCGTGCCGAGTCCGGCATATGCCCCCACGTCTCGCGAGGGTGCTAGTGGCTCGCGGCCGGCAACGATTGTGATGAGGCGACAGCGGGCGAGGGGTTAGGCGCTGCCTGGTTGATGACTGGGTGCACAAGCTAATCTCAGGGCTCCTTCGGAACCTTCCCCGGTTTGTTTGATAGCAGCCAAGGCCGGCGGTCCCAGAAATCGTCCTTAATAATGTCGAGATGTTGCACCACAATTGGTGCTTTGGCCCTCCGTTTCTTGTCGTTCTCGGCTTGCGTCTTTGATTGCTGAATCGGCTCCGCCAGACTGTCCGCTTCGGCGGTTGCGTTGTGTGTGCCAGGCTCTACCAACTCATACTAGTAGGCGTAGTTAGTTGAATCGTTTTTGTTCGTCAATCTACGTTGCCCGAAATACTCACATCCCGAAAAACAACGCTACCCTTTTTATACATCTCGGGCTCGTTATTGTAGTTGATCGCAAATTTAGAGAACAGGATCTCGTTCTTATCTGCAGCAAATGTTCCCTGAGATTTTATGAATCAGTCATTCACCGCCGTTGTCGGTTGCAAGACAGGTTCACCTTCAATGTCTTTTCGGCCTCGGTAGGATCGATACCGCCCAGCTGGATGAGAGCCCAGAAAGTTGTGTTGTAGAGATTGTTGATATGACCTAGTAGGTTAGGACTTAATCAGAACCATCTTGGCTTAACTCAAAAATAAGCACTCACAGTCAACCTGCCTCCAACTCATGTAGTCCCGTAGGTTCTGCACGGTTGGATAGCACACCGCACGGCCATCGAAGCTTGGTAGTGGAGGGGATAAGGGAGTGTCTGAGAAGTGGATGGGCCAGAGGTGAACATAGTATGCAGTGAAGGTAGAGACAATTGTTGAGACCAATTTACTGCGAAAGAGAGTTAGCTTTCATAACGGCCAATGGGTGGCTCACTAGGGAATTTGGTTACCTGGAGCGGCGTTCGAAGAGACTGCATGTCTTATGAAAGACAAAACTAAAAGAGTCGTATTAGCAGATAATTACAAGAGAGACATTAGACGGGAACATGCCTGAATTCATCGCTCACTCCGTATGCGATGGTGATGTCTGGAAGCTCAGCCATGACGGCCCTGGCGGCAGCGTTCATAAGTTCAAGAGCCCGCTTGTCGTTTGGTTTCTCGAAGCCATATTTGGTTGAGAACCTTAATCAGAGTTAGATTTTTATGGCCTTGAATCAATCATGCATAACGGAGCATGGAAATCATACTTGGTGAATCCCCGCCCATCAATTCTGACCACGATCCACGTGTTCGGGAGCAGGTTGTCCGGTTGCTCGAACTGCTTGACATACTCAAACCTTGGGTCCGAGTATTAGTCGCGTAATCAATTGCAAATGGTGGAGAGAGACTTCATACTTGGAGTTGGCCATCTTGAGATGCCTTCAGCTAGCTAGATACCTAAGGTATGCTCTTGGGTGTTTTTACGCATGAGACATGTAAAACGTTTGAGGCTATCGTTTTGTTGCAAGAAAACCGTACCACCTTGAACCCCGCATGGCCGCCGCGGTGGGGGCGGGGCGTATGAAGTGCGAAGGGATCCCGTCCACAGGCCCTTGGCATCTCATCGCGACGGCAGATCTGCCGCTGAAAATCTCCGGCATTGCGGATGCGCCGCACCACGCCGTCCTTGCCTTGCCTTGCCTGCTCCAGTTTTTGTGGGGCTCCCGCCTGCAGCCTTGCAGCAGCTCCAATTCTTCCTGCATCCCACACGCAGCCTCGTCTCGACATCCATCGCCCGCTTCGTTTACAAGCAGTTCCCCGACATTCTACGCGGTAATGAATCTCTTACTCTCCGACGACTATCTCCTCCAAGATTACCCCGAGAACATCACCAACACCATCCGATCAGGCCACTCGACATGTGTGCGCTTCAACCGCAAGGGCGACTTCCTTGCCTCCGGTCGCGTTGATGGGACCGTCGTAATATGGGATTTGGAGACTATGGGTGTGGCACGGAAGCTCAGGGGCCATTCTAAGAATATCACCTCACTGAGCTGGTCACGATGCGGCCGCTATCTGCTCTCGGCGTGTCAAGGGTGGAAGGCCATTCTCTGGGATCTGCAAGACGGAAAACGCCACCGCGAGGTGCGCTTCCGCGCTCCCGTCTATGGAGCCGAGCTACACCCCTGGAACCAGTCAGTGCTCTTCGGTTTTTTTTTCTATCAAGCACATAGGCTAACTGAGCTACCACAGCCACCAGTTCGCCGCTGCCCTCTTTGAGGACCAGCCAATGCTCGTCGACATCACGGATCCCGCTGACGTGCGGTACGTCCTGCCCTCCGTCACCAAGCGGCCTAATACAGAAACCGACGCGGCCGTGAGGGAGAAGCATGCCAAGGAGGATGCGAAACACATGACGACGGCCATCGTTTACACTGCTGCCGGAGACCACCTATTGGCTGGCACCACGAAGGGGCGCCTCAACATCATCGATGCGAAGACACGGGAAATCATCTACTCAGAAAAGATAGCGAGCGGCATTATCACGACGCTACGGCTTACAGAATCGGGAAAGGAGCTCCTCGTGAACGCTCAGGACAGGATAATACGAACTTTCATTGTCCCAAACCTCTCTACAGCAGACCTCGATCTCGACACGATACAAATACCACTTGAACACAAGTTTCAAGACGTCGTCAACAGGCTATCGTGGAATCATGTAGCCTTCAGTGCCACGGGCGAGTACGTTGCGGCATCCACCTACAACAACCATGAGCTCTACATCTGGGAACGGGGGCATGGCAGCTTGGTGCGCATGCTGGAGGGGCCGAAGGAGGAACAGGGGGTCATTGAATGGCACCCGCACCGCGCTTTACTCGCAGCATGCGGTCTGGAAACGGGGAGGATCAATATATGGTCCGTCACGAGCCCACAGCGGTGGTCGGCCCTCGCGCCCGACTTTGTCGAGGTCGAAGAGAACGTCGAGTATGTGGAAAAAGAGGATGAGTTCGACATCCACCCGCAAGAGGAGATTCAGAAGCGCCGGCTTGACCAAGAAGACGAAGATGTTGATGTCCTGACTGTGGAGAACAGTGCCGGGCTGGGAGACGATGTTGACGCGTTTCGAATGCCAATTCTTTTCAATCTGGGGGAATCAGACAGCGAAGAAGAATTTGTAAACGTATCACTTGGGACATTACGGAGGAAGAGTCCCGGAGACCAGGACGAAGGGGAAATGACAGGCGAGGAGAAAGGTACAGGGAAGAAAACAAGTGGAGCTGGCCGAGGCCGAGGCAGGCGAAAGTAAGAGGCCCAGTTCCGAGAGTAGGTGCACGAATAGGTGCCTTAGCAGTTTCAGGTTCCAGGAACCTAACTGTATAAATCCCATGTGATGTGTGATACCATACCTAATACCGTTCTGTCACAAACACGTGAAAGCGAACAATGGCGGCTTGAATACAACTCAGACACGGTACCGGGCTATAAATATGCTGTAGTTATTAACTATGTAGTTAACTACTGTGTAGGTAAGATTAAGTAGGCAAGGTAAGATACGGCTGTAGAAGGGGTAGAAGGGGCCCGTCCGGTTGCAGGTCAAAAGCGGGCCAACTTCTTTGTGCGGAAAACTGGGTCTTGCCCAAAAATGGATTAGCCCAGTGAGCCGCCTTCGCCTCTCTCCCATCGCTGCACTTGATCGAGTCGAACTTTTCTGAGCTGCCATCCTTATTCTTCTCCGTAACATCATTCAACAACCTCTTGTCGCCATCACAAATCGCGTCAAGAACCCCCGAATTTCTGTCGCCCACCTTCCCGCGACAGCGTATTGAACATCCGACTACGCTCATCGAGTCGATCGATTGTTTTTCGACCCGCAACGAAACTGGAAACAACCAGCTTTTGAGCGCTGCCTCCGGCCGCTGGCCTGGAAAGAAAGCGTGCAGAAGAGGTGCAAACGGTGCACCACGAAAAAATCCCATCGCGCCGGCTTCCTTGCCGACCTACTCGCCAAATTTATCTTCGACTATTTCTCTACACCATCATATAAGGTGTTTTCCTTTTTTCGGCGGGCCATTTGACCTTCTTCCGCCAGGTCCAGTACGCGTCTCCATATCGCCACATTCACTTCAACGCGTCTCAGTAATTCATCAACCACCGTTTCCCCCACGACTTTCCCATCTCGATACTTAATTCGTATTTCGGAATTTACCCCGACTTCAAAATGGCGAATCTTATCTTCACGCACTCGAGTGCGCCGATCCGCACGATCAAGGAAATCCAGTTCGGTCTCCTGTCCCCCGAGGAAATCAAGGGCATGAGCGTATGCCACATTGTCTATCCAGAGACCATGGATGAGAGTAGGACGAAGCCTCGCGATGGTGGTCTCAACGATCCCCTTCTTGGCTCTGTCGACCGTCAGTTCAAGTGCAAAACCTGCACGGAAAACATGACCGAGTGTCCAGGTCACTTTGGCCACATTGAGCTATCCAGACCCGTTTTCCACCCCGGGTTCATCAGGCGTGTCAAAAAGTTGCTCGAGATGGTCTGCCACAACTGCAGCAAGGTGTTGGCTGATCGTGTTAGTGCACCTTGCCTGACCGAGTGATGATTTGTTTTGGCATGCTAACTCTTCACCAGGAGGACGAGCAATATGCTGCTGCCATGCGGATTCGGGACCCCAAAGTACGCTTCAAGCGAGTTTGGGATATTTGCAAGAGTAAGAAGCGCTGCGAAAACGAAGTGCGCAAGGGGAAAGATGGCGAGTTCAAACCCGACAGCGAAAACCAAGCCGCAGAGGGTGGCCATGGAGGATGTGGCAACACGCAGCCAGTCATTCGCCAGCAGGCTCTCACCCTGTGGGGCAGCGTCGAGACCAAGGACGAGGATGGTGTGAAGACCAAGGAGAAGAAGGTCATCACCCCAGAAATGGCCCTGAACATCTTCCGTCGCATGTCGGACGACGAGATGATTGACATTGGCCTCAATATTTCCCAAGCTCGTCCGGAATGGATGATCATCACGGTTCTTCCTGTCCCGCCTCCTCCGGTGCGCCCCAGTATTTCCATGGACGGAACTGGAACAGGCTTGCGGAATGAGGACGATCTGACGTATAAACTCGGCGATATCATCCGCGCCAATGGCAACGTCCGCCAGGCTATTGCCGAGGGCTCTCCTCAGCATATCATCACCGACTTTGAGAACCTACTCCAGTACCACGTCGCTACGTACATGGATAATGACATCGCCGGTCAGCCGCAGGCACTGCAGAAGAGCGGACGTCCCGTCAAGGCCATCCGTGCCCGTTTGAAGGGAAAGGAGGGTCGTCTCCGGGGCAACTTGATGGGAAAGCGTGTCGACTTTTCGGCTCGTACAGTCATCACAGGTGACGCCAACATTTCGCTGGACGAGGTCGGCGTACCGCGCAGTATCGCTCGAACTCTAACCTACCCCGAAACCGTGACGCCTTACAACATCGCCAAGCTCACCAAATACGTCCAGAACGGACCGACTGAGCACCCGGGAGCGAGGTTTGTCGTCCGCTCTGACGGCACTCGCATTGATCTCCGCCACTCTCGGCGGGCGACCGGCATTCAACTCGAGTACGGCTGGAAGGTGGAGCGCCACCTGTTGGATGGGGATTACATCATCTTCAACCGTCAACCATCTTTGCACAAGGAGTCCATGATGGGTCACAGGGTTCGGGTCATGCCCTACTCCACCTTCCGACTCAACCTGTCGGTAACGTCTCCTTACAACGCCGATTTCGACGGTGACGAGATGAACTTGCACGTTCCCCAGACTGAGGAGACGCGTGCGGAAGTCAAGGAGCTTTGCATGGTTCCTCTGAACATCGTCTCGCCCCAGAGAAACGGCCCGCTCATGGGTATCGTTCAGGACACCCTGGCTGGCGTGTATAAGCTTTGCCGTCGCGACGTTTTCCTCACCAAGGAAGAGGTGATGAACATCATGCTCTGGGTCCCTGACTGGGATGGCATCATCCCTCTTCCCGCTATCTTCAAGCCTCGCCCCCGGTGGACCGGCAAGCAGATCATCAGCATGGTCATTCCCAACATAATCAACATTCACATGCCCTCCGATCAGCCGGACAGGGACCATCCGTTTAAGGATGACGGCCTACTCATCCAGCAGGGAGAGCTGATGTTTGGCTTGCTTATGAAGAAGAGCGTCGGTGCCGCTGGCGGTGGCATCGTCCATCTGTGCTACAACGAGCTCGGGCCGTACGGTGCTATGGACTTCCTCAACGGCTGCCAGCGGGTGGTCAACTATTGGCTCTTGCACAACGGTCACAGTATCGGCATCGGTGATACGATCCCCGACACCATCACCATCGAGCTGATCCAGAAGCACATCAACGATGAGAAGGAAGAGGTTCGCCGGCTGACACAAGCCGCCACCAATAACCAACTTGAGGCGCTTCCGGGCATGAATATTCGAGAGACCTTTGAGAACAAGGTCTCGACCGCCCTAAACAAGGCCCGTGATAAGGCCGGTACTTCCACCGAAAAGAGTCTCAAGGACCTTAACAATGCCGTTACAATGGCCCGGTCTGGTTCCAAGGGTTCCGCCATCAACATCTCGCAAATGACAGCCTTGGTCGGGCAGCAGATTGTTGAGGGCAAACGTATCCCGTTCGGGTTCAAATACCGAACCCTTCCTCATTTCACAAAGGACGACTATTCTCCCGAGGCCCGAGGCTTCGTCGAAAACTCCTATCTCCGTGGATTGACGCCCTCGGAGTTCTTCTTTCACGCCATGGCTGGTCGTGAGGGTCTGATCGATACCGCTGTCAAGACAGCCGAGACGGGTTACATCCAGCGCCGACTTGTCAAGGCGCTCGAAGACGCCGAAGCCCGCTACGACGGCACGGTGCGGAACTCGCTCGGTGACATCATCCAGTTCGTCTACGGCGAGGACGGTTTGGACGGTATCGCTATCGAGAAACAGCGGGTGGATCACATGAATATGTCGAACCACAATTTTGACAAGCGTTTCCGTCTAGACGTCATGGACGAGGCGACCTCGGTCGCTGCCCTCGAGTCTTTGGAGTACGGGAGGGAAATGATTAGCGACCCGGCCGTGCAGGAACTTTTGGACCAAGAGTATGAGCAGCTAATGGCTGATCGCGAGCTAGTGCGGAGTATCAATCGCCGCAAGCAAGCTGAGGATCAGATGCAGCTACCGCTGAACATCGCTCGAATCATTGAAACGGCTAAGAAACTTTTCAAAGTTGATGATTCTCAGCGAAGCGACCTCACGCCCAACGATGTAATTCCCGTCGTCAAGGCTTTGCTCGAGCGGATGATTGTGGTCCGTGGCTCTGATCCAATCTCCAAGGAAGCCGACTACAACTCCACCATCTTGTTCAAGATCCAGCTGCGGTCGCGCCTGGCTTACAAGCGTCTCGCCGTTGAGCAGAGGATCAACAAGCTGGCTTTCGAACATATCCTGGGCGAGCTCGAGAACCGGTGGTCTCGGTCAATGGTCGCCCCCGGAGAAATGGTTGGTGTGTTGGCTGCTCAGTCCATTGGAGAACCGGCCACTCAGATGACTTTGAACACCTTCCATTTCGCCGGTGTGTCGTCCAAGAACGTCACCCTCGGTGTTCCGCGTCTCAAGGAAATTCTCAACGTCGCAAAGGACATCAAGACGCCGTCCATGGTTGTCTACCTGGATTCTGAGAACGCCACTCAAGAAGATGCGAAGAGGATGCGAAATGCTGTTGAGCATACCAGTCTCCGCTCGGTGACGGCAGTCACCGAGATCTACTACGATCCTGAGGTCACGGCCACAAACATCCCGGAGGATTTCGACATGGTCGAGTCGTACTTCTTGATTCCAGATTCCTCAGATCAGGATTCCATTGAAAATCAATCCCGCTGGCTTCTGAGATTGACTCTCGACCGACAAAAGATGCTCGACAAGGGTCTTCGTGTGGAAGACGTCGCGCAACGCATCAAGGAAGAGTACAAGAAGGACGTTGCTGTCATCTTCAGCGACAACAACGCAGAGGAGATGATCATTCGCATCAGAGTCATCCGCCAAGATGATGATAAGGATGAAGATGGCAACAAGATCATTGAGGATGACGTGATGCTGAAGCGTCTTGAGAAGCATCTTCTTGACAACTGCACCTTGCGCGGTGTGCCCGGCATCGAACGTGCATTCTTGAACAAGGGCACCAGGCTCGTGGTGATGCCGGACGGGTCTCAGGTGGCCAACAAAGACACGCCAGAATGTATGGAGTGGTACCTCGACACCCAGGGCACGACCCTCAGAGATGTCCTCACTATCGATGGCGTCGATACGAAGCGGACATCCACAAACGATCTGTACCAGATTGTGGATGTGTTTGGCATCGAAGCAGCCCGGTCCGCCCTTATGCAGGAGTTGACTCAGGTGCTTGCCTTCGACGGTTCCTACGTGAACCACCGGCATTTGGCACTGCTCGTCGATGTCATGACCTACCGTGGCAGCATCGCCGCAGTGACTCGTCACGGCATCAACCGCGCCGACACTGGTGCTTTGATGCGTTGCTCCTTCGAGGAAACTGTTGAAATTCTGCTCGAGGCTGCCGCCGTCGGTGAGCTGGACGACTGCCGTGGTATCTCAGAAAACGTCATGCTGGGTCAGATGGCGCCCATGGGCACCGGCCATTTCGATGTGCTACTCGATCCTAAAATGTTGGAGACGGTCATTTCAGACAACTCGCGCATGGGGCTGATGCCCAACATGACGATCAAGGGCGGCCAGCTCGAAGGTGCTGCGACCCCGTACGACACCGGCTCGCCCATGGCGGACAATGGACATTTGGGAAGCTACTCGCCGACGATGGGCAACTTCTCGCCCATCCAAGGCGCTGGGTCCGACAGCCCGAACGGCTTCGGGACCGAGTACGGCGGCGGTTTTGGCTCGAGCACCGTCAACCCTTACGCGACGAGCCCGCGTGCGACCAGCCCCTTCTCCACTTCACCCACGTCGCCCTTCAGCTACGGGGGTGGCTACTCGCCAACGTCGCCCGCGGGGTACTCGCCGACGTCACCGCTTCTCGACGCCGGGGGCCGGTACGCGTCGAGCCCGCAGTTCAGCCCCTCGTCGCCGTCCTTTTCGCCAACCTCGCCGATGTTGCGGCCCGGGAGCCCGACGAGCCCCAACTACAGCCCAACGTCGCCGAGCTACTCGCCTGCGTCGCCCGCAGCGACCAGGCATTACTCGCCCACATCGCCGCAGCAGTTCAACTCTCCGACGTCTCCCTCGTACTCCCCCACGAGCCCGAGCTACAGCCCGGCGTCGCCGAATCTGCATGCCACCTCGCCGTCGTACTCGCCGGCATCTCCCACCTGGTCTCCCACGTCGCCAGATGCCTACTCCCCGACGAGCCCATCATTCCACCGGTCGCCCGGGCAGCAAATGTCGCCGACAAGCCCTGGTTATTCACCAACATCACCCTCATTCTCGCCGAGGACTCCGGGCCGCGGCCCGTCTGGAGGCAGTGGTGACCAGTAGTAAGTCTTGATTTGGTCTACAGGCCTACGACGGCCAGCTAACACGTTCCTTCCAGCTCACCGACTTCCCCGACGAATGAGTGAGGTCTCTCATTCTGAGTCACAGCGAGGCGCGTTGCACGGGGCACAGGCTTGCTTTGAGCGGAACGCCTGGCAGATGCTTGAGTTGACAGCTTTGATTTACGGCGTCATTTACATATTCGGAGCGATTTTCTTTACTTGTTTTATATTTTACCCCCTGCCCCTTTTGTCGTCATTTGATAGAGCATCTCATGACTTGAGGGGGAGGGAGTTCTATGGGAAAGAATCCATGTCCGAAGGTGGCATTAGCGGGTGAGACTGGGATGGGCTGCAGTGAAGGTGAGAGGGGAGTTGGTGAGATTCTAGAAATAGGGTGGGTTGGATGAGTAATATGACGTTCCAGTGCTTACATTGCTTGGGTGATGGCCATCTGCGGCAGATCGTTAGTGGGATTGGGTTGGTTTCGAACTTTAGCAGAAGACTCCTCCCAACGGATTGATGTTCATGTAGTTAAACGATTAATTAAAAGGTAGTTGACCCCAGATGAGGCTGTGGAGACAATGGCCATGATCAACGAAAAGTGTCAATTCGTGCTTCGTCTGTCTGTCTGCCTGCCGAAACCACAACACACAAAACTCCCTCCGCTCCTCATGATGCACCACCACCCACTCCCCAGCCTTATAGCAGCCCCGAACCGAACACTCCGATATTTGGGCTTACAACGAACGCCCAAGGACAGAAACGACAGACCCAACAGTCTGGACAAGATTTGATCATCAAACTCCCACCAACATTTTCCTAACAACGAGTAAAAGAAAAGTCGCTCATGGCGCCCCGCCTCCTAACCCTGGGAGACGGACGCCTTATCGAAACGAGAGAAAAGTTTTGCAACATTTGTGGACGGGGTATCTAACAGAGTGGAACTCCAACTGAATAGGAAAAACAGGGAGGCGAATAACTAGTTCGGGCGAGGAGGGGCGATGTTGAACCGACTGGGGGACGGACACACATTTGGGGTGATCCGTGTGTATGTGTATTGGTTGTTCCAACTGGTGGGAAGATGGTCGGTATATGGCCGAACCGGAGAAAGGGGGTTGTGGTAGATATGTCGTGGTCACATTGACGTGGTGCTGTGCTGATAAAACGGTCCAGGGAAGGGAACAACACGGGCGACGTTTGTTGAGTGATGGGATGGGCAAACTATTAAGGTCATGAGATCGAGTGAAGTCAGGATAGCCGTTTGTCTGTCGCAACAAGGAGGCTTCGAGGCCGGTGCACAGAACCAAGGGCTTTCGTCAGCCACAGAAACCGCAGCACATACTGGTGCCTATTAAACCGTGATCGACATGTTTTTCCTTGTCTCAGCCTCGTCGGGTTGGATGCCAAAGACGAGTCGGAACAGATCCCTCAGGAAGTTGTACTGGTTAGACCGCAGCGTCATCCAGCTGACGCTCTTAGCGATCTCAACAGCGGTGAATCGTTTCCCGCGGATGGGAAGGCTAGCCGAGGAGCGGAAGGCTGTGTCGCTGAGAACAAGGTTTTTGTAGCCCTGTAGCAGTGTTGCATGAGTGGGTAGAGAGCCGAAGGAGCCTGTTGGGAGGCTCTTGACGAAATTCTGCAGCGAGACTGCACCGCCGGTGCCATTAGCCGCCGCCGCGTCCCGGTTAAAGCCGATGTTCATAGCGGCCTTCACGATGAGCGCCTTGATGCGTGTGATGTTAGTATCCTCCACGGTGGCAGCGGTAGTGGCCGTACTCGAAGTGTGTTGGCTGCTCTGGCTGTAGCCTGACAAGTTTGAGGCATTGCTTGACCAGCGACCGCCACGATCGCTGCGTGAATCGGTCGAGGTGCCGAGAACCAGTATGTTGGGCATTTGAGGGCTGGCGTCAGGCGATACGGGGGTGTCCTCGAACTCGGTCACGGGGGTTTCGGGGACAACAGCATGTGGTCGTGGTCGTTCGAGATCGTTGAGGCTCTGCAGGCTCTTCCGTTTCGAATGCAATGATGCGCGGCTGCCGGCATTCGAACGAGCAACGTCAGATGGATGGCTGCCCACCGGCTGGAGGCCGTAAGGTGGGCCGGCAGCGAAGAAGTTGATCTGGTTCGGCCGCGGGGTGCCCCGATCTGGCCGGATCTGTGTCCAGCCCTCGCGGAAGATATCGCAAAGCTCCCAGCAGGCTTGTACCGCAGAGCCAAGTAGCTCCTCGTCGGCCGCCTTGCCGTCTCGCCGGTTTTGCCGCAGGCTGAAGAGCATCTCGGCCAAAGACCAGCACGCCCGTAAAAGCGAATCCGTTTCCTCGCCCAGGTCGCTGCGCTGCTTCATGAGTCGGTGGCAGAGGGTGATGTAGAAATCCAGCGTCCGTTCTCGAAAGGCCTCTGGAAGCGATCGGCTATCCTGGGCGCTGTAGAGGCTGCAAGGCTGTGTTAGAGGGATCTCCCTGGTGAACGAAAAGGGGTAGGGTGGGCAAATAGATTCGTACTGGTTGTTGAGCTCAAAGCTGACTCTGAGTATAGAATCGGCTGTCTCATCCTTCTTTTGCCGTACGTCAAACAATGACTGGCAGAAGTCACGACAGAGGTCTAGATTCGTCCGGACACCGTACGATTCGGAGATGTCGTCTCGGCTGTGGTAGAGCCGCTTGCAAAGTTTCCAGCAACTCTTCCAGGCCTTCTCATGGGCGTCCGGCGTCCCCGAGCTGTTGAAGACGCGTTCTCGGTGGATAGTGCTGAGGTTCGCGAGTGTGTTGCAAAGTGTCCAACACTCCTCGAGAGCTGCCCTAAGTGCTTTGACCTCGGTGTCTTGGCCGAGCCCCGGGTCCGCAAAATCGTCGGCGTCGTCGTATTCATCGTCGTCTGCGTCCACCTCATGGCTTTCGGGTATCACTGCGATAAATTGTGAGAAGATACTCCTCGGAGGTGTACACACACGGCGAGTCTCACGCTCTAAACTACTGGCTGTGCTCGATCGTAACTTCGAGGGATCGTTGGCAAGCACATCTTCCAACTTCTGAGCCTGTGGTGTCGGGGCATCCAGGCCAAATGATACCGGTTTCACCTTGGTGTTGACTGTGGGGAGTAGCTGTGCCGGTGGGGTCTGTTTCCCCTGTGCGTTAGTGATATCGAACTAACGGGCAGGCGGGGACTAATGGAGGCTGTCTCACTACTGTTGACGGCTCACTTGGTGGAGGGCTACTAGCGCTCGTGCTCTCCACGCTGGTAACGCTTGCCGAATTGGATCTCGAGACCGTATCGCTCGACTTCTAACAAATCGATAGAATTAGCACCGCGATTATGTTCGGGCACATACGATATCAACCATACCCAATTCTGGAAGCTCGGGGGTGCGTGTATTACCGAGACAACCTCTTCGCTCAGGGGCCTTCGAATGTGATCGGGGATGTTTGTCCTCAGCATCATAAGCTGGGCGCTGTTAGCTAGCTGGCAGGGCACTCCACCTTCGCCGCCCCGACCTACCGAGCGTCGTACCTGACCGTTTTCTTCCTCGGCATTGTCAGCCGCTTCATCCTCGATTTCCGTAGTAGCGGTCCCGTTAGAAGTCACAGGAGAAGGGCCGACAATATCACTGTTGGGGCTCATCAGATGGGCCGAACTCGGCCTCATGAACGAGTTGGGGCGGAGGGATTGGGGATCGTGGCCGGAGGAGGAGCTGTTATTGGGAAACAATGGTCAGGGTCTGGAACTGGGACTTTTAACTTTTGGTGGGGTCCATACGCCATATATTGAGAGGGTAGAGAGGACGACTCTGACCCGGCAGAGAGTGGCATGTCTGCGTGCGACATGTATCTCGAGGCAATGCTTCCCGTTGATGACCTCAGAGGTGCCTCAAGAGCCATTGCGCTGCGATCCTGGCGAGACGGGTAGCCGGGGACGGCGTGAGTCGACAGTCTAGTACTCAAGTTTGCTCACTCCCGTTGGGTCGGCGACAGTATCGGAATGTGTAGCGTAGCAGCAAGGCACCGTTGATCTGTGCATGGACCGCCGGGAAACTCAAGAGCTATCAACCGGCTGAGATGCGGTCGTTCGTCGCCGCGCCGAGCTATCGAACTCAGGCGCTATCGTCCTGCGCTAGAAATTGGACCGACTGCGAATATTTTTGTTTGCCTACTCCAGATGGTCGATTCGACAAGCGAGGGAAAGCGAACAAATGCTTCTTAAGAGAGCCCCAGATAAGAAGACCTTACGCCCCAAATACCGATCGGGGTTGGGCGAGGACGATCAACCAGTCGAAGGTGCTTCCTGCTGTAGAACGATGGATCTAGCGTGCGGCTTTAGAGCCCGAGCGGGACTGGAAACGGATGCCGGATACCGGATGTCAGAAGCCAGATGCCAGACGGTGGACCGAGGGTCAGCGTCGCCTCCGCCTGCGGGGAACGAGGTAGGTAGCGTTAAAACAGCACAGCTGTCAAAGCCAGACTTGCTGATGTGCGACAAGCAGACGTGCTTGGCGGGATGCGACAGCGAGCCAACGTGGGAGGATTGCGACAACCTCTCGAGCGCGGGAGTGGTGGAGTCGTCGGTCACTCGTGGTTTGGTTGAAGGGAATCCAGCGCTGGGCGTGAGTGGTCGAGGGAGAACGCCGCTGCGCTTAGGGAGAGAGCAGCAGCCAAACGGGGAGAAGGGTGGAAGTAGTTTGCGGGAAGTCAAGGGTCTGGTGTGGGCGCCTTGCCCGACAGGGGATCACTCGACAACACGACCAACGGGCCCGCGGCAGCTGCACGGCGCGGTAGCAATGTTAATTATCAGTAGAATCCTCGGCCATCCTTCGTCCAAGGTTCTCTCGCTGAGGCACGTCTTGGCAGCTTTCGTGACGCACTTCTAGCTTGCGAGCACCGCTGCTGCACGGATCGTTTGGGAGCCAACCGAGATATGGTCCCTGCCTGAGTTGGTACATGTCCCTCCATACTCAGTGATGAGTCTTCGAAGCCTCGAACCCGAGAGTGCGCGCAGGCGGGCAGAGGTCAAATCCATCCCGCACATCCATAACAGGGGTCGATGCGCGTCGCTGCTCTACGAGCCAGTAGGAAGCCGACGAGGAACCCCTCCTTCTGCCGATGGGCTGCATGGGGCATGACACCGGCGCTTAACGAGTCGTTGTGGCTCGCTTTTTCAGCAAGTCAGCGGGCTGGGTTTCACAGGCTCACCCCCCTGTCCGACGCGTGCCGGGGCGAGGGGTGAAGAAGCCTCCAATGGGCTTTCCACACGGCTTGACCTTGGCTCCCAAGACCACCACCGTTTCCAGCCTGCTGGGCAACACCATCCTGGCCGGGCGTTTTTGTTTCCTTCCCTTTGGCCAGTGCGTCCAATGGCAGCCAGTGTGGAAGCACAGACGAGACGAACGACTCCCAAGTCTTGGCCGCACATGGTGGCCTAACGGTTCGACGGGGGATCATCTCTCGGCCCCAACAAAGCTTTAAACTTTCTTAGACCTCGAGAACTCGAGATTCGAGAGGGGGTGGCAGTAGTTTGAACCGAGCACGGGTAACATCAGCTGGCGAAGGGCAGCATCGGGCAGGTTCAGATCCGACGTCTCCGAGCGAGAGGCGCATGGCACACAGTGCTTGTTCCAGCCATGTTCCGTGGATGATTCAGGTAAACGAGGATGATGCTGGATTGCGCTGGGCCTCCACCAAATTGGCTGGATAAGATGGTGTGTGCATGTCCATACCTGTAGTTAGCGGAGTTCCTCGGCACAGTCATCGAGAAGGAATTTGGAACTTTCATCATCGAAATGGATGATCAGCCACAGCCTGCCAGCCCGAGCGACCGGCCGAGCACAGAGCAAGCAAGGGCAGAGCGAGCAGGGGTTCGGATTTTGTTGCGTGGGATCCCGACGATCTGGTTCTGATCCCATTCTGGTATAGCGGGTATGGCGGCTGGCAGCTGACCGCGTCGACGTTGAATGGCGGTGGGATTGTCCGTTTCAATCTTTTACCTATCTTGTCCCATTTCTCATTCTTGACCCCTCAAGGACGAGGTGTATTTTCCTAGTTCGGTGTCGAGTTCGTAGGTTCGCTCTGTCCGTACTGCATAGTCAGCCAATAATAGTAAGTACTAGAGAGCCACATTCGTGCCCCGCGGCGATTTGTGTTGCAATAGGATCAAGATGTGCGTCAAGATGGTGGATTGTTTTGTTTTTTCAAATAAGATGCATCTTGATGAAAAGGGTAAGAAGTGGGTGCCACAAAAACAAACAGCCGCGCAAAACATGGGTTCAGTCTTCAGAAGGAAGCGTTTTTGACGCCCGTCGCGGCTGCCGTCTGGGATCTGGACCCTCAAACTCGCCTACTTGCAGCCCCACGAAGTGCGCGCTATGCCTATCCAGTCTCTGTTAAGCGCCGCCGAAAGACGTCTTGAGCTTCCTTCCGGCCTTGGGTTCTTTTGTGCAGTTGGTCGAGTACATTCTTGCAGGCAAAAAAATCTGAACCAACATTTCGACCGGTGGGAAACAATACGTGGCCAGCTCACCGCCACCCGTTCCAGGATGCCAGATCCATCCCTCCGCATGAGCAATCTCAGTTGTTTGAAGTTTGGTTGATTTCTCGATAATATTCACGCAAACACGGCATGATACTCCTCTTGCGGCCGCTCCCACTTCCCTGTCACCTGTCAAAGCACCTTCTCTCGATTCATTCTCCGGCTTCCCTCTCCACCGCTTCCAGCCACCAGGTCACAGCCCCTCAGCCTGATGCCCTGATAATTTTCTTTCTGGTGGCATCCTTGGCTGGGGTGGTTGGTACCGAGACCGTGGAGTCCCGAACGCCATTCACATGACGACGGACGGACGCTTGATTGTGTGCAGGTGCATCGTGGCACGAACCCCCCGCCGAACTCTATATGCGGTTGGTTCCAGTGATCCACCAAGAGCATTGCTTTCCCTGACCGCCTTCCCGTGCCCTTGACTAGGAATGGGGGCATAACGATCTGACTCTAATAGCCTGCATTCCCAACCTGCATCCAAACACAACCTTAACGCCGTCTTGTAAAACCAGAATGCGGGCGGAGCCCGAGTATCGGTATCTCGAAAATCAAATGGTCGCCCCCCTTCAACGCCCCATACATGTTGTCCGAAATTTACGAGTCCTGATGTGTTTGCTGCATCTCGATCTTCTTGTAGTTCCGACCATCAGGTGTGTATCTAGAACAAAGTGTCAGCACTCCGGCTCGGTACCCATCCATGCACACAACCCCCATATTGTAGGCAACGTACTTGAGAAGCTTCTCGATGAGGTCAACGTGTGTCATAACCATACGCCTGCAGCAGTACCGCTTGCATCCAAGTTGATCTAGGGCGTCGCTGTTGGATTGGTTAGTACGCTGGGCCGCCTGTTTGTTGTACGGAGCGCTTTAACCTACCCATCACTAAGGCCATCCTCCTCAATTAGCTTGACGAACTTCTCCCAGAGATCGCCCGTCACCTAGACGAGGGGTTAGTTTGTGAGCGCCGCGGGTCAGTCGGGGCGCGCAACCCACTTTGCCACACGAGAAGCAGCGGATCGGAATGATCATTTTGTCGTGGTTGTTGTGTGAGTATCAGTTGGTTTTAGTTGAGGGTTGTTTATAAACTCGGGGGTCCCCTGGGTGCGGTGTAGTCTCGAGTCGCGGCGCAGGATTCGATGATCGCGTTCTTTGATTGACAAATTCGTTGATCGCGGCAGGTTGCTTTGGGGATCCTCAAATCTTTGTTCACCAGGCTAGGCATTGGTCTGTGCTATCGCTGATAAGCAAGATGCCCCACTCTAACTTTTTTTGACGACTCCGCCAAAATTTCTTTCTGCCTACCAGCAATTGGAGACGGTCTTGGTGTTTGTCTTGAGGCATTGGCTTGTTCTATTTAGTCCATATCGCCGCTGTCCCAATTCCTCTGTTCCAACCACAACCCTGAATGACCTCGAAGATGGACGTAAACGGCGACACAGCGTCTTTGAAACGGAAGCGCGAACCGAAGGACGATCCGAAACTGTCCCAAAAAAAGCACCGTCGGAAATCGAAACTCCAAGAGAATGCGACTGGGGAAGGTACTACGGATAATGCGGCGTTACAAAACACCAACGGCGATCTTGAGCTTCTAGACACAACATCACGAGCCCTAACGAGGCCTGAAAAGGAAAAGTTGGCATCATGGAAGTTGTCTAAGCCAATGGGTGGGAGGATGCTGGATATCGATCCTGTCTTCTCTCCTGATGAACGGTGAGTGACGACGACTGCACATGGGTGATTATACTCAGGAGAGCTTTCACTGACAATAACAGACACCTCATAATCACCTACAACACTTCTATTCAGGTGTACTCGACTGAGGACTCTTTGCTTGTCCGCAGGATCGCCCTCCCCCTGACAAAAACGGACGACGACAACGAGCTCGTGTCAGCGCATATCGTGTCCTCGGTATTATCAAAGTGCGACACGGACTACATTTGGGTCGCATGCTCTGATGGACGTATTTGGCACATCAATTGGACATCTGGCCTGGGCGTCGATACTCCCTTCAAGACCGAGGCCAAGAAGCTGCTGGACGTAACGGTGGACGCGGTGGAAGTGGGCGGGAAGTCGGAGGATATCTTACTGGTTTTGAAGAGGCTCACTTGGAGCTCTGCGCAAATAGTTGCCTACAACACCAAGGCGCTATCGACGGGGGCAGGCAAGCTTCTCCACACCTACGACGAGAGCCCGCAATTACTGCGGTTTGTCGCCGGTGGTAGATTGATTGTCGCGGCAGCAAAAGAGACTTTGCACCTTGGGCTGCTAAAGGCGAAAAAGGTGGCGTCTTTGGATGATCTGACATACCGCTTCCACTGCTTCGATGTCCCGGATCTTGTTAGCTGCTTGGACGTCCGACACACGACCCGGGCTACCAAGAAAGGAGGGGTTGAGCTCCAATACGTCGACGTTGCGGTTGGGTGCGCTCGGGGTGGCATCTATGTTTATCATGATTTGCTGTCCAAGTTGCCAGGGGAGGGATCCGGGTCCTCCAAGGCAGGTGTGATTCAACCAAAGAAGTACCACTGGCATCGCCGGGCGGTACATAGCGTCAAGTGGTCCCAAGATGGTAAGCAATCTTTTACGTGAAATGTGCATACTTTCCGGGGCCGTCTGACTAACTAGTGGCAGGCAACTACCTCATTTCCGGTGGCTGCGAGACCGTTCTCGTTCTCTGGCAAGTCGATACGGGCAGGCTTGATTTTCTGCCACACCTTTCCGCAACTATCGAAAACATCGTCGTCTCACCCCGAGGGTCATCATATGCGGTTCATCTCGATGACAACTCAACCATGATACTATCCACTGCCGAAATGAAACCGACGATGTACGTCTCGGGGATTCAGTCACTCGTTCTGGGCGATCGTCAACCCAAAGAGTCCCTGGTCCGCCGCGTCTGGCGCCCTGTCGAAGAAATAGCGGCTCCGTTGGTTGCCGCCGTCAATCCCCAAATACCGTCGCAATTGTTTCTCTGTGTCGGCAACGGGCAACAAGCGACTCTAGGAGGGGGCTCGTCTACACCACTTCTCCAGGTGTTCGATTTATCCTCATTTCACGGCATCACCAAGCATGCCATTGCCCGGACTAATCCGACGGACGCGAATATCACCAACGAGGGCGTTCCCGTCGTAGAACCGACCGCTACCAAACTTGCCTTCTCTCGAGATGGCAAGTGGCTTGCCTCAGTCGACGAATGGCAACCGCCCGAACGAGACACAGACGTTTTTCTGACCGGCTCCAAAACCCCCGCGGAGGCATCCCGAGAGAGGCGCGAGATCCATCTTAAGTTCTGGGAGGCCGGGGCAAAAGATCAATCTTTCCAACTCGTAACTCGCATCAACGACGCTCACCATACGGATCGAACCCAACCAATATTTGACCTCGCCAGTGACCCGACTTCATCCCAGTTCGCTACGATCGGTAATGATGGGGTGGTACGGTTTTGGACTTCGAAGATGCGCAAGAGAGATGGACTCGCAGCTACCGGTCCCGACGGCGAGCCATTGCGGAGCTGGTCTTGTTCTCGGACCGTTCCGCTTCCCATTTATGAACAACAGGATGACTCCGTCGAGACCCCCAAGAATGTGCCATGCAGCGGCGCCATTGCATTCTCGGAGGACGGGTCCATCCTTTTCGCCGCCTTCGGCCCCCCCTCTGGCGCAGTGGTGGTGGCCATTGATACCGAGACTGGTGCTTTCCGGGACGTTGTGTCTGGCATGTTCAGGGGCGAGATTCGCGCCATGGAGTCTATGGGATCCACCTTGATTATGCTATCCGAGGAACTTGTTGTCTACGACATCGTGTCGGATGAGCTGCTTTATAGCTACTCTCTGAAGGAGACGTCGGAGGCCGCAAAGCGACTTAGCCAGCTCGCAGTCAACTACGAGTCGAGGAGTGTTGCCCTTGTTGCGCCTGTCCCACATCAAAATCAGGACAAGATGAAGAGGGGCGCGAGGTCAGAGCTTGTTGTCTTGGCCATCGAAGGAGACGAACCCCAGCTGATTCAGACATTTCCGCACTTGATCACATCAGTGATCGCTGCCCCGTCTTCCTCCGGGTTCATCGTGGTCGATTCGGCAGCCCAGATCTGGTCCGTGGCTGAAGGCCCCGAGCAAGCACCCCTGCTCCAGCCCTTGGCAGATTTAGGAGTCGATGGTGACGCCACTACCACCGGAGACGCGACCTCTGGCGAACTCGAGCTTCATGAGGGTGAGGCCAGCGATGAAGAAATGGAGGATGTCGACCAGGATGTGGAGATGGAAGATGAAGACGACACCCACGCTGCTGTTGTGGCGCCACAGCGACTCGCCAAGATATTCAATGCTGCCCCGGCATTCGCCATGCCGCCAATCGAAGACATCTTCTACCAGGTGGCCGGGTTGTTCTCTACCAAGCCGGTTAACGCTTAGTGTCGGCTACATTTATCCAACTTTTCTTCCCCACCCAGAAAAGCATGGTCCACGCCGCGAATACCTTTGCGCTGCGACAGATTGTATGCTGCCCCGGGCCTATTCCAACTATCGATGAGTTCTGGAGAGCACATCAGGATTGGAAGTACCTCCGGTTAGCTTGGTGCCGAAAAGGGCCTCTGGATGTGTCAAGGTTGAATATTTCACTTTGACCATCCGGAAGCGAAGCGGGGCGGCAACCGCCGATTCGGAGCTCGCGGGCGGCCCGGTCAATTCAAGTAGCATGGCTGAGCGCGCTCCCAAACAACCGCGCCGAAGATTGGCTGTCTGGCTCCGCTGCCCCGCGTCTTTGGCTGTTAGTGTGGTGTGAATTGCGGGGCAGGGATGGCAACTCCGATTACGCCATTCTTGAAGGGCGCACGAGGTACTGCATATAATGGGCTGGTTTCTCTTTCCCGAGGTACCAAGCTTGTTAGTAGAAGTAAAGAAAGTTCTGGGCGGTCTTATGATTAGATACCCTGTTGGCATAATCCTCAATATATGCAGTTGTTGCAGGGACGGTAACCTGCTTTGACGTTTCCCACTACTCCCAGCCTCAACCCCCAGTGTAGCTCTTCTCAGGGCACCCAACACCGACCATGTCCTTCACCTCGATCCCCATTTTGGATTTGGCCCTGGCCCGGGACCCAGCCACAAAGCCCGGGTTTTTATCTGAGCTGCGGCATGCCTTAATGGAGGTCGGGTTCCTCTATCTCAAGAATGTAGGCATATCAGACGATTTCTTCCAGCAGGTGATCGAAGAGGGCAGGGCCTTCTTCGACATACCCACAGATGAGAAGTATGGTCAACACAAGTCCTCTCACCTTGTTACCTCTGAAAGCTGAATATCTCCCCAGGCTCAAAATCGAGATGAAGAATGCGCCGTCCTTCCTAGGCTACTCACGTCTGTCAGCCGAGGTCACAGCTGGTGCGATCGACAACCGCGAACAGATCGACCTCTCGACGGAGCACCCGGTGCCCGGCCCGGACGCACCGCGGTACTACAATTTGCTGGCGCCAAACCAGTGGCCGTCACCGGAGGTGCTGTCCAACTTCCGGCCCATCTTCACCGAGTACATGAAGCGCATGGGCGCCATCTCCATCTACTTCACTAGCCTGATCGCCGAGGCCATCGAGCTCCCGAGCGGCGCGTTCAACAAGTACTTTGACGCGGATCAGCAGCACAAGCTCAAGATCGTCAAGTACCCCGATGTTGGTGAGCTCGGCGCCGAGGGTAAGGGAGGAAAACCAAGGGGTTGGGCCACATAAAGATAGCAGTACGTTTGTGTCCCCCCCCCCCAACTCCCCTTCTGCCCTTTTCCACCCGCTACCCTCCTCCCCCTCTTAATCACAAACCAAAAACCAAACTCTAACCCACTTCCCCTTCAAAGTGCTCACCTCCTACTTCCTACAGGCTCCCCCCACCGCGGCCTGCAAGTCCAAAACATGCGCGGCGCGTGGATCGACTGCCCGCCCATCGCGGGCACGCTGGTAGTGGCCATCGGGCAGGGGCTAGAGGCACTGACGGGCGGGGTGTGCGCGAGCACGACGCACCGCGTGCTGTCGCCGGCGGCGGGCGCGGGCGCGCGCTACTCGATCCCCTTCTTCCAGGGCGTCAGCGGCGACGCGCGCTTCGCCGACCTCGAGACGGTCGGCGTCGGCGCGGTGGTTCCTGCCCACGTGCGCGCCCAGCGCGAGGCGGTGCTGCGCGCCAATGGGGGCCGGTTGGATGAGGTGGAGTTTACGTTTCGTGGGGGGGGTGTTGCTGAGACGTTGGGGGAGGCGACACTGAGGAATCGCGTCAAGAGTCATCCGGATGTGGGGGAGAGGTGGTATCCGGATATTTTGGAGAGTATCAGGGAGCAACAGCGGAAGGAGGCTGCTGCTGCTGCTGCTGCTACTCCTGCTGTTGTTGGGTGAGTGCGAGGCTAGCAGAGGCGTAGGCGTATCGAAATGACCAACGGTTGGCGTCTTTTTATAGAACAATCAATGGGCAAGCAAGCAAGTAAGCATATCTCTGAACCATATTCCCATGGACTTTGGGACCGGTTAGCACAGTGGAGTATGTCGGACCCTCTGTCGGCTCCGCATCATTGGTAACTGGACTCCGTCGCTCGCCCATCACATGCAAGAGATCAACTAGATGCTGCTGACCCGCTAGAAAACCCGACTGTCAACGCCTTCCATCTACGCCTTCTCAATAACCCAAGATTTCCCGCCCGTTCCTCGTAAAACTCGTGTCTCGTCGTGAACCTATGGTAGTGTGGTTGGCCCAATCATTTAGCTGCGGGAGTGGCGGCCGCGAACTCGGGGAAGCACTGCGGCAACGTCGCGTTGTGCTTGTTTACGGCGTGAAGGGTAAGCCTAAGGGAAAGACAATGTCAGTCTGGGCCGCCTGTCTGCTGGTGTACTTTTCGGAAGGTCGGGGGGTGGAAAGCGGACGGGGCAATCGTACTGAGGTTCGCGAGAAGTCGAGAGAAAGGTCTGCTTGCACTGATTGCAGATGATGTTCATCGCAGCAGTGTTCTGTTGAGAAAGGTCCGCGTTAGATCCTCCTCAGTGGTGCTAGCATCGTACTTGGGATACCACGGGGAACTTACGCTCTTCAGCTGCGAGACAGCCTTCGTACCGGCCTTCTTGTCATTCCGGGCGCGTTTCTGCGCAGCCTTGGCTCCCTGTCATGTGGTATCAGTAAATTGTCGAAAGGGGTCCTTCGATCGGCAGCAATGGCATTTCGGTTGGCGGAGAGTCGGGAAGGAGTCGACGTCGGCGGAGACAGGGGTTACATACGTTACCACCACCCATTTTGGAAGGGTTTCTCGGTTGCTTTTGTTTCTCGTGTCGTTGTTGGCTCGAGCCGATGCGATGGGTACGAGTTCCCGTCCTTTGCGACTTTTTTCTTACTTTTCAGCGGGTAAGAAAAGTGGCGCGCAGAAGAAGAAATGTTGGTTCTGCAACCGGAAGTCTCCATCGAGAAGGTCTGGATGCAAAAGCGACGCACGAGCCGCAACCTGGCTTGTCCACTGGTGGAAGAACAGCAGGGGTTAGGTGGCATGGGCGGTGGCTCAGGGCTGCTGACAGCTGACAGCCCGGACGAACCCCCAATATCCCGTTGTTCCATGACAAGAAGGGACGAATTAACTATGTCGCTACATCACGAGATGGTGGAAGAAAAACGAAAAAGCGAAGGAAAATGACCAGATGGTATTTTACTTGAATTTTCTTTTCCTTCACTTTTTACTGTGCTGATTTTCTGATCTTCCGATCATTTGTGTTCATCTGCTTGACCCTTGTTTAAGATCACAAGCAAGGGTGGTTGAAATGGCCGGCTGGGCATGCCAAGAGCAGCGCCTTTCTCAGGCGGTCCTCCCTTCATGCAACGTCTCATCTAACGATGTACTTCAAAGAAGTTTGCCGTATCGACTTCTCGAAACACCGAAGAAGAGCCTCAACTTCCATCCGTACGCCGTTCACCCGTCGGCCACGCCATACATCAAAGATCGGCATTTAGTTCAGAGGCCCGCGCTGCCGTGCCGCATGCGATCTGCTTCCGCTTAACCGGTTCTTAACGGTTTTCATTTTGGATGCGGCGATTCCGGGACTCGGGCGGCAGAAGCAACCTAAAGCAAGCCACAATTTTTTTTTTCGCTTCGCAAACGCGCTGAACCGAGAGACAGCCGCGCTTGCATCCGCCTGCCCCAGCAAGGGATTCTTCCAGAACAGACACCGAACTCGTGGCCTTATTGAAAGACGCCCGGACCACCAACCAGGACAGCGTATCGCCGGCGCGTCCTCCCGAATCTCGAATCCCTCGCTCTCCATCAGGTGGGCCTTGTGGACCCCGTCAATCCATCGCGCCAACCCGTTCATCCTAGCCAGCTGCCGTTGTTGGTCTTCTTGGTCCTGCAGTGTGACCCCGGCCCGGCATCACCAAGGAGCCGCAATGGCTAACACAGTCACTTGGTCGCCGGATACCATATCCGACAGCGAATTTCAAGAGGTTTTCGCAAGCTATCCTGCGTTCATCGCGGAGATATCCGACGCGAAGGGAGGTATGTAGGCACATCCCGTTTCGGGCCTTGCGTAGCAACGAACACCCAGCAGTCCAGCAGCAGCTTCTGATAGCCCCACCTCGCAGCCAAACCTGGCCAGGAAACACTGGCCAGCCTGGACCATTATCGCTATGGCACGGCTCTGGACGCCTTTGGTTCCGAGGACCCAGGCACGGCTATGGATCTCGATCACGTCAAAAAACTTGTCGAGTGGAAACTGTACGTCTAATCTCTCGCACCTCGTCGACGTCATGCCACTAGTCTCAACCCGGACGCCTTGGCGGGCGGATGGAGATGCAAAGCCGAGGATCCCGCATCGATGGAGCGGCGCTTAGACAAGCGCCCCTCGGCTCTGCTTGCTCTCACTGAGCAATCGACGACGAAACACATGCTGATTCTGGACTCAGTCGGCATGGGAAGTTTCGGCCCACCTTGATGAAACTAGTATCCTCAAACGAGCCGGGTTTCGTCCGGGACACCGTCCAAAAAGCCGTTGCGCACTTTCGGGACAAGGCTGATGTTTCCGGTGCCCTCAATATCCTAACCGAACTCAAGGGCATCGGGCCGGCCACCGCATCGTTACTCCTGGCAGTCCATGACCCAAAGCACGTCGTTTTCTTCGCCGATGAGGCATTCTACTGGTTGTGCTGCAATGGATCAAAGGCACCCATCAAGTACAACCAAAAGGAGTATACGGAGCTAAACAAACGAGCGCAAGCATTGACCAAGCGTCTCGGTGTTAAAGCAGTTGATATCGAGCGAGTGGCATTTGTTTTGATGAGACGGCCGAAAGACGAAAACACCGGTTCGGCGAGTGCGAGAAAACCGCCAGCCGGATCGGTGGCCGAAAAGCAGCTGGCAAAGAGAAAGGCATCGGGTGACAATTCCGCCGATGCAGTGCCTGTACGACGTTCAAAACGGGGGAAACAAGCATAGTGTAGACAAGGGGGTGTTCCGTACCAGGTAAACCCACCGGCTGGAACGATAGTTGCGGGACTTCGGGAAAGGCCATGAAAATGTTGCTGGCCCCTTGGCGGCTCGTCCTCAGCCCTGCAAAGAAGTTGTAAGCGAAACATGAGAAAGATACCCGAAGTGGTTCCGAACGAGACCCTCATGGCGGCAGACTGCTAAAATTCCCCTATTGGTGACCGCCACGATTATTCTCCGTGGACCTGCATGACCGGCCTGGCGGGCCGTGGCTGCGGACATGTATCCCCTGTCAATATCATGACGGACAAAACTGCCCGCATGCATTTACACCGGTCATGGCAGCCACATGGCAACCATGGTTAGTTAGCACGCAGGCAACTTGGGTCGACATGGGCAGTGTCCTTTTCATCATGATCAAAGGGACTGTCACGGTGGGTATATCTCCCGTATTCATTGCAAGCATCCTTCTCTTCCCCTCGCTCCTGGCTCATCTGTTCAACTTGTCCCGGGCACCCCCGGCACGCTTGCATGTATTTGCTTTATCCTTCATCTCTGTCATGTCAACTCTCATCGTTTCTTGCCATGGCCATCTCAATAGGGCCTCTTCCGATCTTGACGACCATGGTCGACCCCTTCTCCCGGGCAAGATGGGGTGAAACGCAGTCGTTTGCCTACCCTGGCCCCATTCAACTTACACCGAGATTCACTACTCTCAAGGAGGGCTTGACATCGAACAAGGAAACCGCTGTCAGTGCTTCGTGGCAACGGCTCCTCGGGCGTCTCTCAGAGGAAATCGATACGGTGTCATCCCTGGGATCCGAAGCCATACCCACCATCAACTTCAAGGATACCAACAAGTCGGAGCAAGCAAAAGATTTTTTGCGAGATCTTCGTCAAAGAGGAGTCGGGGTTATCCGCAACGTGATTCCCAAAGACACCGCTCTCGCTTGGAATCGAGAAGCAGATGAATACCTCAAACAGGGCTCGCCCAACAAACCAGCGCCAAAAGACACCGAATCTCAAGATGTATTTTGGAGTCCTGCCCAGGTTAAAGCTCGCGCCCACCCCAACGTTCTTGCTGCCCAGAAGTTTGCAATGAGCGTATGGCAGTCGAAAGACAAGAATGCCAGGGTAACAACAAGTTTTCCAATCTCATACGCCGATCGGATGGTGTTGCGGAAAGGAGATGGCCTCGAGGATGGCTTTTGCGCACGAGTAGACGGGGGCAGCGTCGAGCGGTGGGAACCTGACGGGTACGGCCGGGCCGGGACGTATAAAGATATATTTCAGGGCCGGTGGGAGGACTACGATCCCTGGGAGGTATGCAGATCTCCGCCACCCCTCCTCTCCCCTCCCAATCTCCTCCCAGGCACGTATTGACTTCTGACTTCGTCTGTTGCAGAGCAGCACCCGCTTAGGCGTAACAAGCGACTTATACCACAAAGCCGGCGCATGTTCCATATTCCGCATGTTCCAAGGCTGGCTCGCCCTCGACTCGATCTCGCCCGGCCCGGGCTCCCTGCAGGTCTGCCCCATCCCACGGCTCGCCACCGCCTACTTCCTCCTCCGCCCCTTTTTCTCTCCCCAACAAGACGAAGATCAACCATGGACCTTCAACCGCCCCCAAAACAGCATCCTCCACGGCGCCCTCCCAAGCTACGCCCAGCAAATCACCCCGGCCCTCCACCCCCACCTCCAGCTCGACCGCAGCATGGTGCCCGTCCCCCACCTCGAACCAGGTGACTACCTCGTCTGGCACCCGGACCTAATCCACGCCATCTCCCCCCACCCCGCTTCCCCCACCACCACCACCACCCACCCCAACCCCACAGCGCACCTCTACCTACCCGCCTGCCCCCTCACGCAAACCAACGCGCTCTACCTCGCGCGGCAGCGCAAAGCCTTCCTGCAAGGCCACGCGGGCCCGGACTTCGACCTGGTGGGCGGCAGCGGCAGCACGGCGGGGGTCGGGATGCGGGCCGGGGAGAGCGGGCACGCGGGGCGGCCCGGGGCGGAGGCGGTGGGGGCGGCGGGCGGGGAGGCCGGGCTGCGGGCGATGGGCCTGCTGGCGTGGGACGAGGAGGAGGCGGATGAGGATGAGGAGAGGGAGGTGTTGGCGATGGCGAACGGGATTCTGTTTCCGGATTTGTATGATATGTTGTGAGTTTGTGTTGGTGTGTTGGTTTTGGTTTGGTTTAGTCTGGTTCGGTTGTTTGCTTGCTTGTTTGTAAAGGGTAGGATGGGATGGATGGGGTGGCTTTTGTGTGTTTTCTGGTTGGTTTTGCTTGGTTGTCCTGTTCTTTTTCGACTCGGTTATAGAGGGAGAGGGTTCAAAAAACTGTTTTGGTTCTGGGGTACCTATGGGAGGATAGATTTGCGATACATTGCGCACGCATGACTACGCTTCTGGACCAGTCAGACATCATGCGATAGATGGAATTTACACATACACATCGATCAATATCGGCATTCGGTCCTAAAAGCATATCCATGGGATTGCAAAACACTTGGCTAAATAAACAAACGCCCGATTTCTCGCTCCAACTAACCACTTGTCAATTCATACACAATCCCCACCCTTCATCCCCGCCCATCGCCTCTTCTTGCCCCCATCTTCCATCCCCAATAGCCTCCCCTCACCCCCGCATTCAACCCATCCGAGACCAATGCGTGGTCTACGGCTATCCGGAGTCGGTTAAGCTTGCAGCTGGGGAGACCAAACGTTTGATGGCGCCCGCTTCCGATTTCTCGGAGCATCGCCCTCCTCCACCGCGGTGGCTTTGCTCAAAGAGTCAAGGTCGTGCCAAAGGTCAGTCACCTATTTGTCCTTCTTCGAGGACCCGTCCTCTTGGGTGCGGCCGTACTTCTCGGCCAGGGCGTCGTACTCCCGGTGGAGACCCGCGGCCTGCTTCTTGAGGGTGGCGATGTCCTGGTCGCGCAGCTCAACCTCGCGCTTGAGGCGCGAGATCTCACCCGGATCGCCGGCCATGGCCAGCTTCTCGGCCTGCTTGGTGTTCTTCTCGGTGCCCTCGTACTGCTTCAGCTTCTCCTCCAGGCGCAGCACGTCGAGGATCATGGTGTAGGTCCGGTTGAGGATCAGCGAGAGGAAGAGGGTGAAGCCGCAAAGATACATGTTGCGCTGCGAATAGAACTTGCGGGCCTGCACTTCGAGACGCTCATGGCCCATGATCGCTGGCCTGCTTGAGACGGTTAGCACCTGTGTCCCATCTTTGTTCTGTGCATACTAGGTGAAGGGGTAGGTATCTCGTTGCAGAGGACGTACGCAGATGCGCCTGTGTTTTCGGTGGCGGCTGCCAATTCGACTTGGACGCGGTAAACGCGGTTGACGCTGTCGATGAAGAGGATCAGGATGAAGACAAAGGTGATCTTCATCCAGTACTGGACCTTAGCCACGATTGGGTTCTCGGAGATGAAGCTAAAAGGAGGGGGGCAAATGGTTAGCTTCGCACAGGTCAGGAGATGGCATGGGGCCTAGGGAGAACCTACGTGAACACCTTCCTGCGCATCGCGAAAGGCAATGGCATGATCAAGAGCATGAAGAGGCCCATCTCCCCCACGAGGAGCAGAAAGACCTAGAAGCATGTCATGGTCAGTCCAAGAATCAATTTCCAAGGTCGCATGTGATCTCGTAGCTTGACGGGGAGTGGGGGAGTGCGAGTGCGCAGAGAGGAAAGAGAGCGTACCAAGGTGTAGTAGAGCGTCATCTTGGCTAGTGTTTAGCAGAGCGCTTTGGTACTGCTAGGTCTCTGGGATGATGTTGTAGTTGTTGTCGTCGGTGTTCTATAGGTGCCGAGTTAATTGGGAAGGACAGATTTGGATTTTGGCTAGAAAAGCAGAGAGCTGAGAGCTCTGCAGGGCGTCAGGAGCTGTGACGTGTTGTGTGTGGAAACCTGGGATGAAAGGCGGGCAGCTGCTTCCCTGCGCAACAGGGGTGGGAATCAAAAACGTCATTGCCTGTGGCTGATGGCAGGCAGAAATGAGATGGTCCGTGCACCAGAGTCATTCACATGCATGAACAAAGCTGACGAACCCTATCCCTAACCTCTTGCCATCTCCGCTTCCTTTGCTTTTGCATGCCATACTTTATCGGCTTGAACTCGAGGCTAGCCTTTGGTGATGATATTAAAATGTGTTTTTCTCTCTATTTGTTATTGGTCATCAAATTGAGCAATATTCGCTTGCAGGACGCAAAGTACGAAGTAGGAGTGTCCGACGGCTGGCACGTGCTCTTTCGAAAGGCAGCCAGCAAGAGACCACGGATGATCTGGGCTCAAGCCTCTGGACTACCACTCGCGGCCTCCCGGCAACCTAAATGATACACCAGGCGGCATTTCCGGCCTGTCTTTGTTCTCTGCCTTAGCGCAAAAAAGGCTGGGCTCCAAGCATACACAAGTATACGAATACTCGGGAGGCCAGCTTGTTAGACCGTGGACGGAAGAAAAGGCGTCGATTGGGGTTGAAAGGAGATACGTCGTCGCGCACGATATCCATGTCTAACATCTGACAAGAAAGGCCCAATCCCCGCACATCTACGAATACTTTTTCCGGATGCGGTATGCACAGAATGCCTTCCTGGCTTGGCGACGCCGTTGTCTTGCTCCGCCTTGGTGCGTCCGGCGACAGACCACTTGTCAACCAGCCCCCGGGAAAAGAGCTGTCGGGTCTCGTCGGGGACAGTGAGAATAAACGACGGAAAAGTCCGCAAAAGGGCTATCTAGGAGTCTGAGTGGCGAGGGGTGCCGATGGCTTGCATAGCATGAAACATGTGTCCAGAAACCGGGCGGGATCCGGTTTGAACGGCTAACGGGGCTCATTCTGCTGAACCGGCTGGCTGGGTCTGCTCCACCTTCTCTACTACCCCTCGTGTTGAGTCTAAATAAAAGACAGAGAGACGTGTTGTTTCTCGTTCCCATTTCACCCTTGGAGGGGAGCCCTGTTCTGTCTCATCTCGCCGGTGTGGGGTGAAGCGGAAGCTGCTGTGCTTTTACGATAACTCGTATTTGCTCATTTCCACATTCAGTTGCTGTGCTTTATCACAAAACCCAACTGGCAAGAACGGCTCTCGATTACGCCAACTCACTCACCGTTCCTTCCCGAGCTGAGCAGAGCAACTGACCATAAACCCATTCAGCCACCTATTTCCTTTCCCTCTCCGAGAGTCGTCAATCAAGCCAACTTTGAGTCAAAGAAGCGATTCAACTCGAAGTCAGAAAATAGCCCCACCAAGCAAACAAGCCAGCAATCCAAACAGACAAAATGAAACTCAACCTTGTCACCATCGTTGTCACTGTCTTGGCGGGCGACTTAGCCGCAGCCACCCCCATCGCTTGCACAGAGGTAAGCTCCCCTCTCCCCACCTCGCAAGACCCCGGCCGACTTGACCCCTCCGCGACTAACAAACTTGTCCGCAGTGGAAACGCGACCTTATTCTCAAGGGCGAACTCCCGCCGGAAGCCTGCTGCAGCTACGGGCGATGCGTCCGCGATGTGGTCGTTGCCATGTTCTAATACGATGGGGACAACTTCCGAAACGGGAAGCTTTGGCGGGTTCGACAGCGACGGCTTCCATTTTTACTTCATTTCTTTTGTTCTCGGGGACATATTTGGCGGACGGCACGGCGATTTCCGGCTCTCGATTTTCACCATTGGTGGCGGCTGCGAGGGATACGGGGTTGTGGGATTAAACTAGATCGGCGGCGGTCGGGCTGCACATGCGCATGGGATAACATCTTGTGGAGTTAGCTTGTCGGGTTTGCATTGGTCTGGGCGTTAACTAGGGCGACGAGGTCGGCTGGGTAGCGGGCGTTACTGTGGTAGATAAGAGGGTGGTTGAGTTGGTTCGTGTATAAGCGAAAGGCAAGACACCACGAAGGTCCATCCCTCCCTCGGCTCGTCCATCGGCAAGCAGCTGCGTGATATGCGCTACCTATCCTTTTATATTATAATCACTTCCAGCCAGCAAAGCGTGGGGTGAACATCTCCACCAGCTAAGAGACCCCCACCATGCGCACCCGCCGATGGAGGAGGAGACGGTGAAGATTCTGGCTACCGATGATTGGCGCGGGTAAAAAAAATCCGTGGAGGCCGGTCAAGCACTGTCCCGGGCTCGGTCTTCCCGTTGCCGAGTCGGCGGATGGGTCCCCCGCGTGCGGGTGCGGGTACGAATTCGAAGCGCAGCAAACATAACATAATCGCTGGAAATTCCCGCGGGCGTTGTTCGGCCTCCCGACCTTCGGTGTGGGTTGTGACGAGGATGCCACCTGACTCAAAGAGGGCAATTGCAGCCTATCAACCCCCGGCGCGCGGTCCATCGAGGCCGAGGCCTGTCTTTGGTGGAACAGCCTTTCTTCCGTGCCCATCAGAGGTCGTCTTGCATTTGCGGGATCAGATATTGGGTGGAGCCCTGCGCAACAAAACACTTACCCAGGTGCCCAGTGGTGCCCCAGGTGCTACCGTTGATGCGAGCAGCCGCCGGTTAGATGGATGTATCCGGGAAACCCTGCGCATCCATGCGGAACCTGCAGATGATCGTCTCCTCGGGAAGCAGGAGAGAAGACAGCAGAGAACACACACATGTATAAGACGACGTTACCTCCCACGCTACCCCGCCTTCGTTGGATGTTCTAGAAATTAAGTCGAGACCGACCACTCTTTCGTCCCGGATTCCCGCCTTCCCGCCTTCCGTCCGCCTTCCGTACGCCTTCCGTACCGTAATCCTCACACACACACACATTCCCTTTATCGCTCGCTCACACCATGAACGGCACCAAGACCGTCAACGGTGCCAACGGCACCAACGGCATCAACGGCACTAATGGTACCAATGGCAAGCTAAAGGCGGCCAAGGCCAACATTGGCGTCTTCACAAACCCCAAGCACGACCTGTGGATAAGCGAAGCCACGCCGACGCTGGAGAGCGTCCAGAAGGGGGAGGAGCTCAAGGAGGGCCAGGTCACCATCGCCATCAGGAGCACAGGCATCTGCGGGTAAGGAACCCGAACCCCATCCCCAAGCCCCCCACTCGACCCAGATCCAGAACAGACCAGGCCAAAGCTAGGCCCCGGCTGGCTAGTTTTTTGGTTGGTCTCTGGTCAGGTATGGGATGATACACATACACATACACACACACACACACACATACATATATGAGAGAGGATCAGAACTCCCCCCCAGCTCACACCGTCTCTGTCTTGTTCCCGTGTAGGTCGGATGTACACTTCTGGAAGCACGGCTGCATCGGCCCCATGATCGTCGGGTGCGACCACATCCTCGGGCACGAGTCGGCGGGCGAGATCGTCGCGGTGCACCCGGGGGTGACGAGCCTCAAGGTGGGCGACCGGGTGGCGGTGGAGCCGCAGGTCATCTGCAACGCGTGCGAGCCGTGCCTGACTGGCCGGTACAACGGGTGCGAGGCCGTCGACTTCCTGTCCACCCCGCCCGTGCCGGGCCTGCTGCGCCGCTACGTCAACCACCCGGCCGTGTGGTGCCACAAGATCGGCGACATGTCGTACGAGGACGGCGCCATGCTCGAGCCCCTGTCTGTCGCCCTCGCCGGCCTGCACCGAGCCGAGGTCCGCCTGGGCGACCCCGTGCTCGTCTGCGGCGCGGGCCCCATCGGCCTCATCACCATGCTCTGCGCCAAGGCCGCGGGGGCGTGCCCGCTGGTCATCACCGACATCGACGAGGGCCGGCTGCGGTTCGCCAAGGAGATCTGCCCGGAGGTGATCACGCACAAGGTGGAGCGCATGTCGGCCGAGGAGGCGGCCAAGGCCGTGGTGGCGAGCTTCGGGGGCATCGAGCCCGCGGTGGCGCTCGAGTGCACCGGGGTGGAGAGCAGCATCGCGGCGGCCATCTGGGCGGTCAAGTTCGGAGGCAAGGTCTTCGTCATCGGCGTCGGCAAGAACGAGATCCAGATCCCCTTCATGCGCGCCAGCGTCCGCGAGGTCGACCTGCAGTTCCAGTACCGCTACAGCAACACCTGGCCACGCGCCATCCGCCTCGTCCAGAACGGCGTCGTCGACTTGTCCCGCCTCGTCACCCACCGCTTCGGCCTCGAGGACGCCCTCAAGGCCTTTGACGCGGCGTCGGATCCGAAGACGGGCGCCATCAAGGTGATGATTCAGAGCTTGGATTGAGAAATTAGAATTATTATGTCCCCCTTTTTTGGTCTTTTTTTTCTTTGTTTATTTTTCTTTCTCCTGTTTGGTCTTTTTGTTACCCCCGATCTTCAGTTTACTTGCATTTCGAGACCGGCGCATAGAGAGCTAGCGTGTGTAAAGTGGAATTTGAACCGAGCTCGGCGGCACTGTTAGATAGGAATCCGAGTCAGTTGAACCCGCTGTTCACGAGACACTTCACGTGTGGATGAAAACTTCCCTTAAGTACTTCGTAGATGAATTAATTCCATGGTGATGTGTCGAGCTTGGCAGGGATCGACGTGTAAAAGTGTTCGAAACCACCCTGCCGGCCGCAATCCAGCGTGAACATGCCGAAAGTGGTAAGTGGTCCGCTTTTATTCCACCAATTCCATGGCATTGCCGTTGACAACCAGACACAACCATCACTTCATCCGAAACGGGCTTTGACCAAGTACCGTACCTATTTTTCAGCTTTTGATTTATTGATTCATTCTATGTTCCCGGTAAAATTTCCGTCAACCACGCTGTGGAACGGCACTTGTATCCCGATTTTGGATAACCATCGATTCGAGTTCCATAATCACCGGGTCGCGTTTTCCGTGACCCTTTGGCTGGACCAGCCGGTCGGAAAAGCAGCTTGTGTCGTAGAGATATGTTTCCAACATGGCACTACCCATGTGGGACCGGTGCGGTTCGAGTCTGAAAAGCCCCCAATCAGTTCCATGTATCCAGAAGGATGAAATGGAGAGGCTCACGAGAGACCAATTGGGCCCTTTCGCAATGCTTCCCTGTCGGGGGTGGCGGTTGATGAGGTGGCTGTTGATGAAGACATGCTCAGGTCGAGATGGGAAGCCCAAGCTAGATTTGGAGGTAGCTTGGTAAGTCGGCTTGTTTTGAGTGACATATGGTAGCTGGAGAGAAAGAAGGCATCGTAATCACGAGCTTATATGTTCTAGTCATTTTGTCTTTGTATGGAAACGATCGTGGCTCTTTCCCCGCAAGTTCGTGAAATTGTGAACTCAAATCTATCTTGCACGACTTGCCGCCAGCGTTGTGGGAACCTCCATCAGCTCGAGTCAAGGCGTCGTGGAACTTCCCACAAACCAACAAGAGAGGCAGGCGGTTGTCTTGTCAGGGGAGAAACGCCTCGCCGATCAATTTCCCAAGTATTTTTCAGCGAGAGGACTCCCTCCCTCTGGCAAGAAAAGCCGAACTCGAGATGGGAGAAAGAAAAATCAAGAAAAGAAAAAGAAGTATAACTAAAAGAAGAGGAGAAAAGAAAAAGAGGTAAAAAAAAACCGAGGAAAAATAATTAATCAATGAAATCGAGTGAAGTAAAAAGTAGACTTTTGTCTTCCGAATGGCTTTCTTTTCGTTCCTCTCTTCAAAAGTTTCATCGGCACCTACACTTGGAGATGGGTTTTTTTTGGTCCACCGGGGGCGACTCCCATCATCGGCACCAGATTCCAAAAGCGGAGGCTTGTCGACGTCGTCAAAGCACAAACCGCTTTTGTTCTCGCGCCATAAACGCCTGACTCGGTGAATAACAGGGGGACCGATTTGTCGCAATTGTAAATGTGGTCAAAATCAAGGTCATGCACGACTCAGACGGTGGTGGCCCCATCGTTGAGGGAGGGGACGATGTCATCACCACCTGACTGCCTAATGTAGGTACGTCCCGCTAGAGTACTAAAACCGGCGGACCCCGTCTCGAAGCTACAATCCAGCGCTTTCCGATCTCGTCATTCGCTTCTTGTCAAACCTAGCAGATTCTCTGGTCCGAGACGTTGGACGGCACCGACTTTCTCCCGCCCTTGACCACAAGCACAACCTGCGGCTCTTGTCGCGAATCCATCTTGGGTGACGTACGCAAGTCAACCCGGAACTAGCAACGAGTGCAGGACGACAAAGGTTCCGGTGGAGCCACGGAATTCTACCTCCGGGTAACATACAGCATAGAGTTCCGTCTCCGAGGATACGCCATACCCGCGGCGATGGGTAGGCTTCACCGCTACGAAGAAGCCGTACTGGCGGCGATCAAGTCCCAAACACAATCCAAAGGTGCTTCCTTGGCTTGCGTCTGTTGAGGGACCAGAAGGGCGGCCGTCTGTCTTTGACGGGTCTTGCGAGGAACTCTTTTTCTCCTGCGACGATGCATCTACTGGCACAAGCCACTCAGAGCTAATAAACCTGCGGAACGAGCACACCACAAAAGTGACTCACGGCCTTGGTCTTCAGCTCGCCGAGTTCGGCAAAATCGACCCTCCAACTTGCTGCTCAACGGCAAATGAGCCCGACGGTATCGACAACCAGAGCAGCCTCTCGTCTACCACAGACTACCTCGATGAGGGCAATATAGCTAGCATTGGTTCATATGCTATAGAGAAGCTGCCTGGACCCGGCATTGAAGCCACACACCATCGGCAGCAGCTTGAGGAAGCCGTCGAGAATTTTGTTGAGGAATTGGTTGCCCTCAAGCTCAAGGCAGAGGGCACTAGTCTGCATCTCACCTCTAGTAGCACAGGGCCTCAGGGAGTTGGGTCCTTTGGGTCCAGTTCTGGGGATTCGTCCCTGAAAAGAAAGACCAGCGGCGGCGGCGGTGGCGGTTCACGATTCCGACGCCCAAGGAAAGATGACGACCATGGGGACAATGGAGATGCTAGTCGCCGGAATAGTGGTGGAGACGGGCCGCCTGGGAATAGCAAGTCACCGGACCCGGAGAAGAGCCACCCGTTGGAGTTTATGTGCCCTTACCGATTGAAGGACCCGATTCGTTTCAACGTTAGGGAGTGGTACGACTGCGCCACCAAGGTCTACATTTGCGAAGGGTCAGGGTCAAAACGAAACGAGCTTCATGAGCTACGGTATGTCTCGCTCTGCTTATCTATCCCTTGCCTACCTCGCCAACGCGCCGCTCGTATCTGACAAGTCTTTTAGGCGCCACATCAAACAACGGCACTCTGGCCCTGGAATCTTGTCACTTCACTACTGCTCGACATGCAAGGAAGAGTTTCCGAGCCCGACCCTCCTTGATGAGCACGCCAAACAGGGGGCGTGTGTCTACAGAGAGCTTCCATCCAGCAACGACCCGCTGGATGGGCGAAGCCCAGAGGCAGAACGGACATTGAGGAGCAAGCAGGGCCGCCAGGGGGATAGCGCCCTTTGCCAATATAAAAAAATCTGCCAAATTGCCCTAGGCGATAGCTCCGATGTACCCAGTCCCGGTAAACTTCCGCCGCGCCGCTGCGAGGACAGTGAATGGAGCTAACATGGGTGTTATGTTAGGGTACCTTCCTGTCATCGAACATTTTAAACTACACGACTGTCACATGAAGTGTTTGCCCCAGCTGCGGGACGCCCTTCTTCGCAAGTTTCCCTTCCTACTCTCTGTGGTCGAATCCCTCTTGGAGACCATAGAGATACATACTGTCGATGTACTAGGCCAATGTAACAACGGGGCTCCCAAGACAACAGAACCTCACAAACGACGACGAAAAGCCGGTGCAAAAAAAAACTGCCGATACCAGCCATGTTCCTGATAGACAACATGCAGCATCTACGGTGATACGGCCCCCACCAGTCACTGAGGACATGCGAGTTGCCCCCAGGCCAGTGACACACCAAGGCAGCAACCTTTCAAGGGGTCCGAGTGTACCAGTACCCGGGCCCCCATCACCTAGACCGAACCCCCACCTCGATCCCTCCGCTCCAACTTGCCCGAATATGGTGGCAACGCTCAACAAGGGGCCGGGTGAAGGCACGGGCGCCAGCTGCCACACGGCTGATGTACTGACTGACTTCGGTCCTTTTATAACAGCTGAGGGGACGTTCCAGTATCCTGTCCCAGAGACTGGAAGAGAACCTGCCGATCACCCGCCGATGATGTTCGACATGGGCTCTGAGGATATACTGAGCTTGGAGTTATAGAGCATGGCGAATATTAATAAGTGGGCTACCATAGCCCCTAGGCTTAATCAATTATGGATAATGCCAGTTTGAACACAGACAACCCGCCCACTCTCGATTACGTGAAACGTCAACATATGCAAGTCGTGATGATGTCGTATGTGCTCGGATGAGTGGAAGGATTAGGGTTTAATATTAACGTTAAGTTGATTGTAGCTCCCGTTAAGAATGGGTAACGGGCTTAGAGGTGGGATAAATGGGTTCATTTCTTCAACATTATCACTTACCTACATAGATAGGTATTAGAGGTATTCATTGAGGTGAGGAATTCAGTGGTGTTGGAGTCTCTGACAGGGCACCCGGCGGCTGGCGGGAACTATTTTAGGTGCCCTAGGGAAGCCCAGCTCCATCGAGGTAGCTTTGCCCACAGCTCTCAATTAGGCTCTCTGATTGGCCGCCTTCTTGCCGAGAAACCTAGCAAGCAGCCAACGCCTTTCGGATCTTGAGTTGTCCAATTTTTCTCGATCTCCGGCCCATCCCGTCCCCCGTCCCAACGTGCGCGATATCGTTCTTTTCGCCGAACCCAGCTCCCACCCACGGCCGCCATCCATTAGTTGCTCCTCAGCTGTGCCAAAACCTCGATTCTCCGCTCCGCCCTCCGGAATCCGCATCTGCGAGCCGAAACTAAGACGACCTTTCCCCTCACCCAAAAAGCCCGACCAAAAGCTTCGAAACCCAACACACACCCATACACCCACACACCCATACACCCACACACCCACACACACAAAATGTCCTTCGCCCTGGTCATGAGGCGATCGGGCCTCACGGTGGGCCGCACCATGGCTCGTTTCGAGTCGACCGCCAACACAACAACACAAAAGGCCGCCGAGTCGGCCAAGCAGGCCGCCGCGCAGGCCTCCGCAGCCGCCTCCAAGGCGACGCAGGGCCTGTCGCGCGTCGCTTCCACCGCCGGCCCGGCTATCGCCAACGCCGCCAAGGGTGTGTCGGGTGCGCTGGGTCGCGTCGGCGGCCGGACGGGTCGTCTGGTGGCCTTCGTTGAGAGTAAGGACTCCCCCAACCCCACCCCCCCAGCCAACAACAAACACCACGCCACACCATACAGCAGCAGCGACACGATATACAACACGCAACCAACGCACAATAACAACACAACCCGCGTCCCTCCTCCTACCGCTGTCCGCCGTCCATTTGCTGCGCGCCGTGGGGGTTGTCTGTTAGGTGCCCAGGCGGGCGCTACTTGCGAGTGACGGCGCGACGTGTGGGATGGTGGGATGGGGGAATGGGGGGGGGGGCGACTGGGAACGTGCTGCTGGACCCCCCGTGTGGTGGTGGATTGTTTTTGGTTTCGTGGTTCCAATGGCTAACCGTTGCTTTTCTTACCACTCGCGCACAGGCCAGACTCCCCTCGTCGTCTACTACTCCAAGGTCGGCCTTGAGATGGCCAAGCTCGTCGTCAAGGGCCAGAACATGTCCCCGCCGTAAGCCTTCCCCCCCCCGCTCTCCTCGCCCTTCCCCTCCTTTCCCTCGTCACATCCGAAGGGGTGCATCGTGGGACAGGCGGTCTGGTTTGTCAGGCCCTCTGTGTGTGTGTCTGTTTGTTTTGGTGGCCAGTCTCCTGTCTGTCGAGAGCGTTCGTTGCTGACGTGTTTGGTTCTCCGGCCTCCCCACAGTTCCGTTTCGACTTTCCAGACGTACTTCCAAAACCTATGGAAACAGCTGCAGAACCCCAGCACCTTCGTCGCGGGCCTCGCGCAGTCGGTCAACCCCCAGCAGGTCCGCAACCTCTCAAGGACACAAGTGGCCGCCGGCGGCGTGCTACTAGCCGAGTGCCTCGGCTTCTTCACCGTCGGCGAGATGATCGGCAGGTTTAAGCTGATTGGCTACCACGGCGAGAACCCCGCCGCTCACCACTGAGCTAGCTAGTTTGGCTGGTGTCGGATAGGGACGGGGATGGAGAGAGAGGGGGGTTAGGTTAGAGCCGCGCATTGCGCCCGCGTCTATGCCAGGCCACCACCGTTTCTACTCGGTCGCTGGCAAGCCGGGGAGGCGCGAGGGAGGCATTCGAGGAAGAAGAGGGATTCTGTGCTGTCGTTTTTACCTTACGGAGGAAATAGACTTGGTGGCGTATCGGGGGAGTGCTCGTTGATGCTAGATGCGCGGGCACATTCGGGTACTCTCACACCTGGCTCCGCAACGGGAGAGCCGCCTGGTCACGCGCCTGGAACGACCCGTCTAGGCCAGGGGAAACTCCAGATGGGTAAGGGTTTCACCATCCTTCACCTTGGCTAGGTGAGGGTAAGGTGTGGGGGTTGTCTCATACGGGAAGAGGGGAAGGAGGGGGGTGGGAGGGTGAAGCCGAAAAGGGGGCTGAAAGGTATCTCACATCCCCCTCCCCCCTTTCCATTTTCCCACCTCCCTTGTATGTACACCTAATTTTGTCTCCTGTCTGCGGCAGCCGAGGGGGAAAGCCTTGCGCCTTTTTCATTTGTTCGTCCTGTACCACCAAAGTCTATTGCATCAAGCCAATCAAAACCAAATTACCCGATCCCTCCCTCCACCCCCGTTCCTTGCCAATCATGACTGCCTTGCCGTCACATCAACGTTGGGCCGGTGGGTTGGCCCTCTCTTGTGGGACATCGCCAGCCTCTGACCATCTAGCTCGCCTCTTCTGCTGTTTTTTGTCCCCCGGACAGCACAGCACAGCACAGCACAGCACAACGCAGCACAACAGAGAACGAGACTGATCTTTAGGATGCCCTTGCCGGGGCGTGGGCCGGCTCGCTCATGCCCAGTCCCGACCAACCGGATGAAATGAGTGGTCGGGTGTCGGTCAGCCTTGGTCCGGAACTCCGGGGCGGCAGGTCAGCATTCGGCGGCCACTATCATGCAAGAGACAGGGGGCAAGGGACAGACAGAGTTCGGTTGCCGGTGTGTGACTTGTGGGTGTGGGTGGGTTTGTGTGGCTTTTCTAGATCGATGGCAGGACGCGACCTGGCCTGACTTGGGGGGAGTGGGCGGGCGCCCGGTGTGGGTGTTGGTGCCGGTAGATTTGGGGAGACGGTAAAGGCGGGCGGGCTGTCCCGGGTAGCTTTACCGGTGGGTGTTTGTTTGGTTGGTCGTTTTTCCCCGTTTGCCGTTTGCCCTACTAGTTGGCGAGCGGGCGGAGGGAGAGAGAAAGAGAAAGGAACACCATCAAGTGACATCCTTCTCCTTCTCCTTCTGCCTTCACATTTTCCTACCTTGCTCTTTTCCCGCATGCACCACGGTGCGCGTGGGCTTGGCCACTCTCAAAGCCATCTTTTGGTCTCGTCGCGCTGCATGATCGTGTCCTGCCTACTGGCCAGCTGTCCCCCCCCCCCCCTTTTTTTTTTGCCTTTTCCTTCCCTCCCTTTTCCCCCATATCGATCAAGGTCGTATTCTGCAGCTGGAGATGCAGATGCAGTTGGACCGACCTTGCAGATCTCGCTTTACCCTTTTGGGCCGGCCCGCGTCACAGGCCGACCTCTCTTCACTTTGCTGCTGGCCGCGAGGTTGCAGTAGCCGGCCGGCCGCTTCATCATGTGTCTTGCGTGTGGTGTGCTTTGACCGGACGGACCCTACGCTGTGCAGCTGGTTGTCCCCCATCCCTCTCCCCAGGTAGTGCGCTGTTTCCACGGCGATACCATGCAGTGAGGACGCCTGTTGTCCTCGGGGTGCTGATGCCGTCGTGCAGGCGTTGGCTCGCCTCGTTTTTTCTTGAGCTGGTTTGCGTCCAATGATCTATATCGTGTCTAACTTTGGCATGAAGGCGGGGAGGATCACAGGCAGTACAACGCATGGCCAGCCCCTGGGAAGATTAACCGGTTCTGCCTTGGCGGAGTCAGTTCGTCGAGGACAAGGTTGGCTGGCATATGACTGGAGGAGCTTGAGACGAAAGGGCTACCAAAAGCGGCTCGATATACTTTGAGGTACTCGGCAGGTGACATCCGCCTGCGGTGCTTCCATGTTCTCCCATTCGGTGGAGCTATCATCGTCATCGATCCTTGCGATGGGTGGACAGACGCTTGAAGACTAGTTGGTTAGCTTGTGATTTCAGCTGGTCCGCTGCGCGGCTTCCGCAGCAATAGCGTCCCATCATCCATGTGTTCGTCACCTATTCCCTACATATCCCCTTCGCCGTCTGTGTCTCCTTGTTGATCGACATCAGATTTAGAAAAATCGATCACATGCTGTGTGTTGGAGAAAGGCAACCGTGGAGCCTAGTTCCAGTTTTTCCAACTCAAGCAGATTTCCTAACGGTTTCGCTCGAGGTTCCAGAGGAAATATCATCGGCAGAAGGGGAAGTAACAAAAAGAACCCGCTTTGTTAAAGCTGGAAAGGGGGTGGGGTGGGGGGCGGTGCAGTTAAATCAAGACAAGGCTTAGGGAAGCAAGTTGAGAAGCGACGACTTTTATTGACCACCAAAATAGGTAGCTGACCTACGCTGGCCTACAGCGAACATCATGTGGGGGGGGCTCGATATCCAAAGCGGCATGTGCCTATACATCATATACAGGAAAGCGGGGTTGAAATGAGGAACCAACAGAGTATCCAGCATCTCAGCGGTTGGGTTGCTTCGTGAATGGGGACGAACGGGTAGACCATCCGGATGCAAGGCGGAACTGCACGACCCAAGATTCCCAGAGACTGCTGACCACCATCAACTCCCACCTCTTCCACCAACCGAAGCCGCGGCTGGGTTCCTTGTTCCGCCTAAGGGGACTATCGTGACGAGTGGAAGGCCGTGCGAGCTCAAAGAATTGCAAAAAGCCAGGGGCTGACGTGTTCAGGGCGTATCTGAAGTAGTTGGCGGTAATGAGTCTGCCTCAGCCCCCAAGGGTTTCGTCGTGGTAAGAGTGACAGTGCGAGATTGATATGCAATGTTTTTTCAACCCGCATCCTGGCGCTTGCCAACAGCAGCGGGGGTCTGGGCAGCTCTAATGCGGCGGATAACATGAAAAGTTCCGGTGGCACTGAGCGTGGATCTGTCGCCGTTCGCACCGTTCTCGCGCTGAACCGAACAAGTCCCTGACTGTGGTTCCCTGCTTCCGACCCAAGCACGCTGAAAGGGGGCCGGAATGGTTGATTTCGGTGTCACCTGAGCGTAACCCGCAGCTTCAGCGGTGCGTAATATCGGCGGCGGCATAGCCGGTTATCGTCAGCTGGGTTCCCCAGAAAATGCGGTGCGTACTTTCAACATCATAGATATGACTTGAACTTGAATGGCTGATTTGAACCTCGAGATTTGGAATTAATGTTCAGATTCGACGGGGTCGTGGTTTGGATAAGTGTGTTCCAGGAGGAAAACAGTCGAGTTATCAGCCGCAGGGTGGCCTGCCCTGCCGGTTGTGGATAGGTCTCGTCAATGAGCCAGCAAATAGGGAGATTGTAGAAACGGAAGTCCAATCATTCGCCGGCGAGCCAGGCCTGGCATCATGGTCGGATGTATATACATACAACCCGACCCCCCCGGCGATGGGCCCGGTTCGAGTCGGCTGCCCGACCATCGGGCTTCGGTTCTGCGTGCCGTGATCTTACGCTCAGCAAAGGACGGGCTAGATTCACCGTGGGTTTTCTGGGCTGTGAAAATATGCCTGGGACCGGTTAGCGTGGTTCCCCCTCATGCCGCTTACTCTGGGGGGGGGGGGGGGGGGGGGGGGGCTGTGGTGTGCCGTTGTGTGACATACAATGTGCAGTATGCGCGCACACTGTTGCTGTAAACTTCACCCCTGGCTTTTTCAGCCAGCTCGTCCACCTGGGCGGGGGTCCGACCATGGCCTCGACACAAGGGTGCCAAGCTGAGTGGTTGAAAGGCTTGTCGCACCCCAAGGTTAAACCAGCGGCCGAGCTCTCTGTTGTGTACCTCGGTAGGCCAACCATTAAGAGGTAACTGGATTACCTCCTCCTTGATCTCGTCGAAGCCGACGTCTGCTAGTCGCTGCTTTGTGAGGTTGCTGTCCAAGCGTATCGGGCGGCCGAAGCTATCCATGGCATCCATAAGCTCGTTCGCCCACTGCACAACGTAGCCGTCTCGGCGCAAGGAACCGTCATCACTACGGGGGCTCCAGTCAATCTCGACCTGCTCGAAGTAGCCGTAATATGGTTTGAGGTGCCTTGGGGTTGTCAACAACGCACATTCTCCAGCCCGAATTAAGGGCCCTCACCTGTAAATCTCGGCGTATACGCGCGGCCCAATTACTAATACTGCCGTTGAGAGCGCGCATGTGGATGAGGTCCCAGGAGCCCGGCTCCAAATCCTGCCACCTATCCTCGATATCTTTCTGGAGAAAACGCATGTTGGCAGGGATGCTAAAACGTGTCAGCACGTTGACCTAGAGGGAAGGTGATGTAACAGACAATTCCGGTTGAATGTAGTTCAGGTCAACGCCGACATGAATTCCGCCGGGGTATTTACTTCTCGGCAAGATGGCGTTAGCGGGTTAGGTCAACGGAGAGCGCGCAAGAACAAACTCACTCGGCCATGTCGATGCCCCAGATACCTGTCCCGCAACCCAGGTCCAGTACACGAGGAGTTTCCTGGTTGTGGAGGGGAGCACTATGACTCGCATCTCGGCGCGCGACCAGGAAGACTTTGTGGAAAACGTCTAGTCTCTCCAACTCGGTCTTCACTAAGAGTCAGCCCTGCCATACGAAAGGGAGAGGTGAAGAATGTGGGCTCACTTCGTCGATGGGAAACATGTACTTCCCCTTCTTAAAGGTACCGTACCACCGGCCGTTCTCGGCATACACTTCTTGGTATGTCCTATTTGGTGGCACTCCATTGGGGCTGCACGATTGGGGTCACGGTCAGCTCCACGGTTGCGTTTTTTTGCGGTTTTGCGACGAAACCAAGCTTACATGTGGCCCCTGAAAGGCTGGGAATCCATTGCCATGGCTGGACCGGTGGTAGACACACGCGCACTTTTGAGGGATGGCTCATGGACAACGGCTAGGGTTGTTTCGCCGGTGATGACAGGACGAGATGAGAGGCAACTGCATAAGCTGATGTTAGGTCACCGGCAGTCGATATTATCTAATGGGCGTAACCTGAAAGTTGATAGTGGATAGTGTGCTTAAGGAAAAGGGAATGATGTTAAAACAGCAAAAGGGGCTTGACGCGCAAAGTCGAAAGAAGCCCTTGCCCTCGAGAACATGAATGAGATACTGGCAGTGGATGGAGAAAAGAAAAGAAAAGAAAAGAAAAGAAAAAGAAAAGAAAAACTTGAGACGAAAGGAAGGAAAGGACGTGAGAAGGAAGAAAACAGCCCAACTCGAGCCGAGCCCGGATGAAAAGGAAGAAAAGACCAGGAAACGGATTCAAGAGATAGCTAGCAATTGCTCACCTTCCTTGAATCTGAGCTCGTGACGCTGCGATGGGGGATTGGCCAAAAACATACGCGGCCGGCATTCGACGTGGCCGCAAAGTGGCCAGCCCTCGCGTTATATGATAAGCAGAACGCGGTTGGAGTTGAAATTGCGGTCGATGTGGTCGATGTGGGTGACCATGGGCCAACAGCGCCCTGGTTTCGGTTGTGCTGTTTGTGGACCAGGAAAGGAAGTGGCAGGGGCGCCTTTAAAATCCTCGACGTCGCAATGATGCAGAGCCAGGGGTGAACCGGCAGGGAAAATCAGCGTTACCGTTATACGTACGTACGGGGTGGGAGGATGGAGGTATGTAATTGTATTGGGGTCACGCCCTATGTATGTACCTGCCGTCAGGTAGGGTGATGGTTCTTTGAGGGAGGGAACCTAAGGTATGATGTGGGAGGCATGGGTTATAGGAAGGCGCGGGCTCTTCCGCGATGGTGCGAGCCCGAGGCGCGTACTGTCGACTTTTTGACCGGTGTGGTTCAAAGAACATGGGCGCCTACACAGTGGAGCGATCATTACCCGCCCATCCAGAACCAGGCCGTCCCAGTTTTGGGTGTGAAACCCAGGGTTCAGGGTTCGGCGGGATTCGCGCAGCAGAAGAAGGTGCGGGAGGCTGTGTGGGGTTCCCGCAAGATCCCGAACGAGAGAGGTTGGTTGGGGGAAAGGAGCTGCGCCCGAAACTCGCAGAGCCGAGAGAATTACGAATTACCGTGTCTGGAAGAAGCACCTCGCATCGTACCTCGCCTGTCGGTAGCTCAGTGCGCAGTGTGAGAGTGATGGACTGGAAACCCGGGGATGTATTGTAAAAGAAGAAGATCTGGGAAGATGAAAACAAGCTGGAACCTCGACAGGTGTCTGTCAGGAGTGATTGCCGGCTTTCCATCCTTTCCCCCTCAAGCCGTCCCAATGGCCTGGGTGCGCTGCCAACAGGGCCCAGGTAGTTCCCGCTCCCGCTCCCGTATCCGGCGTTGGCACAGTACGCTACCAACCTGGAAGGTACTGTCCATGCCAACCCAAACCCCGGCGCAACATCATCCGCTAACCAGCGCGTCATCCCAGCTACTTCAGCCTGACAACTTGAAACACAGTTACAAGGGCGCCATACTAATAAACGATCCTGCGTCTGTGGCGCGTCTGTGGGCAAGTTCATGCTTGGTCGAACACACTTTGCAGTGTAATTGGGGGCCAATTCAGCGTTTCGGGCAGCAATTTGCGAGTACGGTTTTCCCGGACCTGCCCTGGCGAAACGAACCACCGAAATCGATGTTCCATCATTGTCCGCACTGTCAAAGACGCAGGCCCCCTCTGGCAAGGAGTTGGAGTGTGGGGCACCACCCAATCTTCTGAGGTCCGTACAGATCGCACAGTGCCATTCAGCTGCGTTGGGATGGGAGACGCATGCGGCCGATGGTATCCCATGGCTCTCTTCGCTGACATACGCTGTCCTCCTGAGGCTCCTTCCGCTTTCTTGTCTAGCGTCCCTTGACGAGCAACAACGAACCGTCCAAAGACCAGCCAATTTCGCCCAGAAGGACGGCCCAGTCTTGTCGCAAGGGTGTCCATGCACACAGTCGACTGCACTGGCTAGTGGCCAATCCGTGACAGCTACCTAAACAGAGCTGAACATCGGCTCCAAGTTGTCGGGACGGAATGTCGAACACTCCAAAACCGAGGGCCCAATCATGGGGCGATGCGTCCTGGAAATGAATGGCACCTCCTGCTGACGGAGCTAATGCTGTTCAACACTGCTCACCGCTGCTTGCGATACAACCTGACCCTTCAACGGCACTGAGAGTCCCTCTCTCGGTACTTCGTATCTTATCATGTATGTCCTTCATCGTTGTCACGATCCGTATAATTTCACCGGGGCTTGGTCCGACCAAGGTGGCGGGGATGGAAGGAAGGACCCCTCAGTCTGAAATTATTCGAAAATACTGAACCGCTAAGTGGGTCCATCTATCCCACCACTCGTTCTGGAAGGCACGCGACGGGGAAGTCCAGCTCCAGTCTCGGGCCAAAAAGCATAAATTTGAAGGCTGATGTGCGTTAGCATCCCATGCGACTGCCTTTCCTCCCACCAGTCTCCCTCCCTTTTGCCCGCCACTTCGGGGCGGGGAACCTGCGAGGTCGACAATCGGAAAAATTGCATCCTGACAAACACCGGCTTCACGAATATCCCACCCGAGGTCTAGGCCTCTAGCGCCAACAGCAAGCAACTTCAACTGTCATGACTAACCCGGGATGAAGAGAGGAGCAGGGGCGGCACGGCACGGCGCATTCCACACGCCAATCGTGAAGCGGCTTTGCAAACTATCAAGGGAAGTCTCTAACACGGCTTACACTGTGGCGGCAAACTCCATCCTGCGACTTGACCCGACTTGCTGGACGAATCCGGTTTCTCTTTTGTTCCAACCGAGAATTGTTCGTCTGGACTCGCTCCTCGCTAACTAACCCAAGGATCAAGATCCCAGTGTGGAAACCCCTTCCAAACTCACCTATTCTTCTTCCGGTCGCCAAGCCACCGATCCTTTGAACCCCAGCTGCTCGTCATTCGTCAGACCTTGGACCCGACAAACTGGGACGCCCCGCTTTCAGTCTCACCAGCACCAACAGACGAACACCCTCAGCTTGACCTTGCCTGACTCGGAGAGAGGCACAGGATGACGGAACAAGACCGCGTCACATGTACAAAATTCCTTCCCCCATCGAGAGATCTCCCAAAGTCGCAGCCACTTGACGAACGCGGCGTAGTTCGCGCAGTAGCTTTGCCCGTTGGTCCGTTGGATGCTTTGTGCTGCGAGATCGATCCAGTCAGACGGCTCGAATCGAGATGAGAGCCCACCTCTCGAGACGGTCCGAGGGCCCTGAACAGCTGGCCCTGGATTGGCCAAGCAGACTTGCTCCGGAGGCATTCATCCCGAACCTCCTGCGCCGCCCTCCTGCCAAGCAGGGTCTACCTTTGCCCCCAACATGCGCTTGCGGGAATCGCTGGTCGGGTTTGACCGCTACTTCGCGTGACAGCAGCGGGATGACGGAAATCTGACTCTGTCGAGAAGTTACACAATATTCATGCGGAACCGCGGCGGGGGCCGCACGGTCTGTACTTTGGCCGAGCCCGATGCGTCTATCAACAGCCAGCCGCCCTTCGCGAGTGTGATTGGGTACTTAGCGCCTTGGACGGATGCAAAAAGTCGAGCAAACGCAGTCTCCCGTCGCCCGGTCCGTTAGAACATTGACAACGCGAATGGTGTTGTTTGCCGTGCCGACGCTCCGGGGGTTCTTGGGCTGCAGTTTGTGCTCTGTGAACAGCCTCCGCAACCTTTTGCCCATTCTACTCCTTAGCCCCCGCGACATCGGCCAGGCCCTATTCTCTACATACGGCACCCAGTTGTCGACCACTAACTACCAACCTTCGGCTTTCGTCAGCACTACTGCAGAGAGTATCGTTCAGATGAACCCAAGACTACAGGGCGAGATCGCCCGACGTCTGGTTCGTCACTCCAAGCGTATCCCTGCGTCAGGTGGTGTATGTACCGCACTGTATACCTAATACCAACCAACAGTCACTAGCAAAAGATACGTACATACTCTGGGCCGGCAGGCTGGTAACGGCACTGCCTCCCGGCTCACTCTCCTGGTAGCCCCACCCCTGCTAGGGTTTACCAAGCCACTGGGTCCTCCTCCCCCCTTCGCCAACAAGGCAAACTTGTGTCTCGGGCTTATGTACATTACATATTACAGATGCTCGCCCAGTCCCGCCCCCACGAGCGGCTGGCGAATGGGCTGCTACCTGTCGACGAAAGTCCGACCGCTCAACCCACCCGTTAATATCAGTGTGAGGGGGCCGGTCTGACTAAAGTGCCGATTCCCTTGCCGCAGATTGGACGGGATACTCCCCCCTACCCCCCAGGGCAAACCAAAGTGCTCGGTCCCATAGAGCCACACGAAAGATGGCATGCTGTGTGACGTTGGGTGGGGAAAAGGCTATTTTGACCGCCGACTGTTGGTTGTTTGTCGATCAAATGGTGGGAACGGCAACCCCAACCGACACTGTTCTCCGGCGAGGTAGATTCCAGCATAGCCGGGAATCGCCGCCATTCCCGGTGGGTTACTTCCGCGTCAGCGCTCGGGTGGTAGTGTATCTTCCTCGAGGGGGGCAGCTATGCGCGAGCAAAAGTGCCCAGCATTGGGAAGGGGTACGTGGATGTGTACCTGTGGGATAATATACCTACAAGACAAATTATTTCCCACTGTGGAGTGCTTTTGGAAGGATCACCCAGGTTATGTTCAAATCGGTTGATTGGTAGTTACCACTAGTTACTACATTTGAAAATGTCGTAGCCTGGAGTCCAGAACTTCAGGTCGTACAAGATCCCGACTTGCTCACGCCACCAACTGAGTCGACTACAGCGCACAGCGGAACATACCGGAGGATGATACCCTTGTGCCATGTAAGTTGTTTGCACGTTTGGCCAAATCCGACTAAAGCCGTTTGAGTGACCTGCCTAGATAGGGACCTAGGTTTTGAGAAGTTGCGCATAGTTTCTTCTCAGAGTTTATGGCTCGTGGTTGATTACAGCCACCCATTATCAGTAGGTTGTCAGGCACCTATCAAATCAAACCGAGTCTGGCAAAAGCGATGTGCACTTTTAAGGAAATGAGAGAGGAGTCTGACTCCGGCCTTTATGATTGTCTAACTCTAATCACGGCACGCCGCTCTAGCGATACCACAAGCCAAATAATCTCCCACATGCATATGCCCAACCCTTGTGCTCACCGACGGGGAGCTATCACAACCCCAGTAAAATGCAAATTAGTCCAACGAAGAGCATATTAATCCCGATGAGATACAAGGCTCCAGATCAAGATCACTGCTTCGGGGCATCGTCCTCGCGGCCCCACCTCGCCGTCTCATCGCCTCCCTCCCACATCTTCTCAACATAGCCCAGCTCGCGCTTGACCTTCTCGACGGTGGCCTTGTCACCGGTATTCTTGCCAATGTTGTCGCTGTCGAGAGATATTAGTCAATGTTTGGCAAGAGTGGAGCGAATTTTGAGCTCCAAGATAACTTACCTGATCTTGATCGCCGGGTTCCCGTCGGCGGAGCTAAGCTTGATGACAATATTCAGAGGCGTCGACTTTTTGCCGGTCTTTGTATTGACAAAGTCGTTTGTCAGGAACGTGCCGACACCAAATGTCGGCTGGAAGCCGGCTTCCTCCGAGACCTGCTTGTACTCCAGGCATCGGTCGATATTCAGCGAGTCGGAGAAGACAATGACCTTCTTGTCCTTGATCCCTTGCTCGCGGTAGAATTTCCCGATGATCTTGACAAAAGTCTTGGGGTCGCCCGAATCCTGCCTGACGCCGGTGAAGACCTCGGCGTATGTCTTGTTGGGCTTTTGGTGGGACGCCACCGAGGGGCTCGTTGAGATGAAGGAGTCGGCAACGCTCGGCTTTCGCGCGGTGGTTGGCGAGGGCGGCTCCAGGTATTCGATCGGCTTGCTGAATGCGGTCAGGAAGTCGGGCGTCCCAAACGTGTCGGTCAAGGCGATACCGAGCACGCCCTCTCCGAAGCAGCCGACCCAGTGGCGTAGCGCTTCTTCGGTAGCCTTGCGGTAATCCCCAACGATAGCTGCGCTGCCCATGAACCACTCGTGGGCAACCGTACCGACGGGCGGGATGTTGAAGCGCATGGCCAGGTGGACGTTGCTCGTCCCCGAGAGCTTCCCAGACAAGCCGCGCTTCTCGGCCTCCTTGCTGGCCTTGGTGAGGCCCCTGAACACCAATGCTTGGGTGTGGTAGTCTCGCCTCCGGCGGGTGCCGAATTCCGAGAAGACGCAACCGGCCTCTAGCAGGCGCATCCCCTTCTCAAAAGCTTGGTCTTCTTGGCCCTCGTACGTCCAGTCCGGTTCCATAAACTTGAAGTACGCCTCGGACGTCAAAGAAAGGAGAGGAATCTCGTATAGAATGGCCTCAGACCAGATGCCGCTAATCTTGATATCTAGGTCTCCAATATCGGACTCAGCCCCGGTGTCTTCGCCAGTCGGTAGGAAGCTGAGGACGACCTGTTCTCTCGGGCGGAGGCGGAACTCGGATAGGAACTCCAGGTAGGCGGGTGACAGGTAGGGACAGTGCTCCTTCAGATAATACAGCTCCTCGGCGGAGAGAGAAATGTTCCCGAGCTTTCTGACTTGGTCCTCCAGCCAACGGAAAGCCTTGCGAGAGAGTTTCTTTTCGGGCGTCCGGTTGGTGAATGCGTAAGTGACGGGGACATTCTTGTAGTATTTCAGGACGGCGCATTGCATTGTCAGCTTGTACAAGTCGGTGTCGAGGAAGGAGATAACCCCCTCAGGGTAGGGTGAAGAGCTGTTGAAATCCATGATGGCAGGCAGGATGGCGGTGGTGACTCAATATCTCGAGGGCCGCGGATGTTGGGAACAGTGGTTGTTGTAATGTTGCAGTAATACCGGATGCAGAGCAATGTAATCGAGAGCAGCTCTGCTTCTTTTCCTTTCAAGTTTCTTGGACTCACTTGACCAGGCAGCTTAGAAATGCCAAGAGAAGTGCAAGGTGAATCAGGAATACCTAGGCAGAGAGGGGTTATTATCGGTCTCTCCCTCGAGCGCTCCCGGACCTCGGAATGGGCCGGACGGTCTAGGATTTATGTACTCTGAAGATGAGGTAATCGGTGTCTCCAGCCGAAAATGTGAGACCTCCGAACTCTTTGTTCCTCGTAACAGCTTCCAGGTTGTGCTTGCCGCGGGGTACAAGATTTGCTTGCAGGGAATCGGTTGTTGCTGGGAAATCAATGTTGTTTGCACCCGGTTCAGTCTTCCAAACTTGTGGGAGTGTTCATGAAATCCGGATGCAGGTTCCTTTCCTTAACCGGGTTGTGACTGGATGAGGTAGTGTGGCTCACGACGCGTGAACAACCAACTCAAATGTGAGACCTGATGGGTGTTTGAGCGCGGGGCGCAGTGGGGTGATTGCCGGGCGGATCTTGGCAACGAGTGGACAAGAAACCCATCAACAACACCCCGGAGAAACCCCTGAATTTTGTTGCCCAGGCACTATCTGGTCAAAAAAAGCCGGACTCCAAAAAAGGGCAAAAAGTCGAGAAAAAGGAGAAACATAAAATAAAATAAGAAAATAGAAAGAAGTGGAAGAAATCAAGAAAAAGTAAATAAAACAAAAGAACTTGAGGAAAATATAAGTTCGAGTTTGGTCTTTCTTTTCGTTCCTCTGGTCGAAGATTTCGTCGGCATCTGTGGTCCGAGTTCGGCCTTTTTTCGCCCAGGCGGTGCCAGGCTCTCGGATTGGGCTTTCTGACGCCCCATCCGGTATCGCGCACAGACCATAGCTTAATTTTCTGACCGGCTTCCCTCCAAAAACTCTTGGAAACGGCAGAAAAAAAAAAGTAGTCGGCAGCCGCTTTCTTTTATACTCCTTCAGGAATTTCGGATCCGACGCCCTCCCCGCGCGACCCCAGGGCTGACAACACCGGAAACATGGATATCCACCGGTGCCGATTCGTCCGTTATCCTGCCTCGGCCATCAACGCGGTCGCATTTACGCACTCGTCGCTCCCTTCGGTTTCGGCGCAAAAGAAGCACCTCGTGAAACACATTCAGGTCCGACTCGCGATCGGCAGGGCCAATGGCGACATTGAGATCTGGAACCCTCTCCAGGGTGCCTGGCATCAGGAACTAGTCATTCCTGGTGGGAAAGATCGGAGTGTTGATGGCCTAGTCTGGGTTACGGAACCCGACGAGGAGATGGCCGACGGCAAGACCATCCACGGAAAGTCGCGCCTCTTCAGCATTGGGTACACAACTACCATCACAGAATGGGATCTGGAGAAGGCCAAAGCGAAGAAACATGCAAGCGGCCAACATGGCGAGATATGGTGCCTCGGTGTCCAGCCTCCCCCGACCAAGGGCGGCGCTGCGTCCGGCAGCAGGAAGCTGGTTGCCGGCACCGTCGACGGCAATCTGGTTCTCTATTCGATTGAGGACGGCGACCTGAAATTCCAGAAGACCCTCATCCGGACCCCGTCGAAGAAAACAAAGTTTGTCAGCATCGCCTTCCAGTCTCACAACGTCGTCGTCGTCGGCTGCTCAAATAGCACCATCTGCGCCTACGATATTCGAAACGGCACATTGCTGAGGCAGATGACGCTAGGAACCGACATTTCTGGGGGTTCCAAGAACATCATTGTGTGGGCTGTCAAGTGCCTGCCCAACGGGGATATCGTGTCTGGGGACTCGACTGGCCAGGTGTGCATTTGGGACGGCAGGACATACACTCAGGCGCAGCGGATTCAAAGCCATTCACAGGATGTATTGTGCCTCTCCGTCAGCGCGGACGGTTCTAAGATCGTTTCGGGGGGGATGGATAGGCGGACGGCCGTCTACGAGCCTATTGCCGGGCAGGCTGGGCGCTGGTCAAAGGTGTTTCACCGCAGGTATCACCAGCACGATGTCAAGGCAATGGCTTCGTTTGAGAGCAAGGCAATGAGCGTTGTAGTTTCTGGCGGTATGTCTACTGATTTTTTGGCCGTCACTGGCGTGGCTAACGTGTTTTGAAGGCTCGGATGCCACCCCTGTGGCCTTGCCTCTGCGCGCTGCGGGCAGGGAGTATCACCGAACGTTGCCGCATCTTCCACAAACCGCGCCACTACACAGCGCTCCCATAGCACGCTTCCTCCTCAGTTGGTGGGAAAACGAAATCCGTATTTGGCACCTCCTCAGCCCGGCACAGAAGCTGCTCGACGACCCCCAAGCCGCACTCAGCTTGCGGAAGAACAGAAAGCTTCTCGCCCAGGTCCTAGTAAAAGGAGACTCTTACATCTCATCCGCCGTAATTAGCGAAGATGGGACACTCCTTGTTGCTTCAACCGCCACGGACATCAAAATCTTCCAGCTCGACTTCTCAAAGGGCACCCAAACGGAACAACTTCAAATCAGGAAAGTGGACATGCTTACGGCCGGCCTTGCCGCCACCAAGGTACAGATCTCACCGGATAACCGGTGGATATCCTGGGTGGAGGAAGGGAGCAAAGTGATGGTCGCTCAGGTGCATACCACAGAATCAGAAGTCGGCCCGACATACACAATTTCCCTACCCCACAAGCTACACCGACTTCGGCGTCAGATCCCAAAGCACCTTCTTCTCGGCGGTCTCGGATCCTACGATCGGAACGTCACCCAAATCGCCTTCTCGCCCGATAGCAGACTCTTCAGCGTGGCGGACTTGGCGGGCTTCATCGACACGTGGGTCTTACGCGGCCCCGGCGAGGGGGCGAATGGCACGAGCGGCGGAGATGACGATGATGCGGCCAGCGAGTCATCGGATGACTCGTCAGACGAGGAGACCGACGACGTCGCGGGCGAGCGTTGGGTCCGCAACCCCAATGCCAAGCTTCTCCCCAAGCTGTCCGCCGCACCCGTGCTGCTGTCATTTGCGAAGACCCAGCGGGATGACGGCGATTATGACATGATGACTATCACCGCGGTGAAGACACTGCTCGTTTTCAACCCCCTCCGCGGAGCACTCTCGGAATGGTCGCGCCGGAACACGTACCCCAAGCTCCCAGCACAGTTCAGGGACACTCGGGACCAGGTTAAGGGAGCCGTATGGCAAGGCCACAGGGCGTGGATCTACGGCGTCTCCTCGCTGTTCATGCTGGACCTGTCCCAGGACTTCGACCTGGAGAAGAAGGACTCGGACGACAAGAACGGGCAGAGGCACGGCACGAAGCGAAAGCGCGGTGTGCAGGAGGGCGGCGCCGGCGGGAAAATGGATAAGCAGTCCCTCGCCCCGCAGCGCATCAAAACGGCCTTAGGTCCCGATGGGGCCAGGTGGGAGGACGTGGAGATGGCCGACGCTGACGACCAGAAGAGCGTCGGCGCGAGCAGCGGGGTCGATGATGATGATGACGACGACGACACCGATGGCGGTGAGCTGCAGCGTCTCAGGGATGGCCATGGCACCAACGGCGACGGCGCGGCGGACGCCGAGGGGGAGGAGGGGTCAAAGGCCCCGAAGTGGTGGCACTCTTACCAGTTTCGCCCGATATTGGGCATCGTCCCGATCGAGGGCGTGCCCAGTTTGACGAATGGGGTCGTTCCCGAGGGCCTGCCGCCTCTTGAGGTTGCTCTTGTCGAGCGCCCGCTTACTGGCGAGGATCTGCCGGAACGTTACTTCGCTGAGGGCGAGTGGGAGAGGTGAAGGTGGCATGTGGGTGGTGGGATGTTCTGTTTCTGTTACGACGAACGCAGTTCGGTAGCGCGAGGGACGGTAGCGAGCCTGTGATGATAGACCGGGCTTTGGTGTAGGCCATGTCTGAAATGGATCTACGGCGAGCCTGGTGCCCTCGGAGGGGCTTGAATCAAAACTTTTCATGAGAACGGTGACCTGGTGTTTGTTTGTGCACACTCTCACCCTATCCGGCCTCCCATACTACGTACGGCAGTCATTCCGGCTGTCTACGCTAATACCACAAAAGACAATCACCGGCCGGACAAGATGATCTCTGCACGCCATCACTGATCGACGGATAACCAACATCCCCCCTTTGACACCGGCTAGCATCCCAAAACAGAAATCCCTCGCCTCCCAACCCGGCCGGCCGCATATAGACGGCACAGAGCCGGCGGCGGTAGTGGATCTCTGCTCCGAGCAGATGACGCGGTCTCCGACCTTCTTTGGTATCACCGTCGGGAAGAGGAGAAGGGAAAAGAAACCGGTGACATAGCAGGAGAGAGGACCGTGGGCCAGGCCCGCGGGATTTTACGCCTCCATCTCGTTTTCGTTCTTGGGCCTTCCATGTTTGTGTTTCGGTGCCGAGGGGGGCACGGCCTAGCCAGCACACACACTCTCTCATCTGAAATAGGTATACATACATACATACACACATACGTACCGCATGGCTCCCTACGTTGCCGGCAAGAGTCGGTTGAGAGAGCGTAACGGTTTTGGAGAGATGGTGGTCAAGGAAAGGGATGAGCTTTTGTTCACTTCCCATCCCCACCGCCGCCGTCATGGATCAAGGGTGTGTGTGTGTGTGTGTGTTTGTATGTGTGTGTGGATCCCGGAGGAGGAGAAGAAGAGGGCTCCTCCCCAATTCCGTGTCAACGTCCGCGGTAGGGTCTTCATTCGGGTACCCGATGGGGCGGTCTGCGAGTCAATCTGCGGGTGAGTTGTGTCTGTGGGATGCAGGTCTCCGATATCTGAGTAGGGACCAACCCCCAACCCCCTCCCCTCTCCCCCCTCCTCGGGGCAAAATTGGCGGCAATATCCTGGGCACGGGGCACGGAGGGGATTTTCTCGGGTGGAGCGGAGCGGAGCTGCGTGAGACGCGCGTCAAGGTCGGGTTCACTTCTTCCTTCGGTTTTCGTTTTTCGTTGGTTGCTGTGTTTGGCCGGCTGGCTGGCTCGCTGGGACCGGGGAGGGGGGGATGGCTTTCGGTAACACGCGGGTCGAGGCTGGGAGGTCGGTTTGGTATTTTTAGTGAGGTCTGAGGTTAGATTGTTTGCTTCCCATCCGAGGGGATTTCGCTGGATATCTGTTACGCGGAAACATGTGGCCCGGTGGGTGGAGGTTGGACCTACCTGTGTGTGGCCCCCAGTGAGTGGAGAGGACTAAGTCAAGTGAGGTTGGAGAGTGGGTGAAGAAATACAGCCCAGCGTCGCTTAATCCAGAAACGTCATGGAGGTTACAGTTTACTCTGAGGCCCGGATAGCATCGATAACACTTAACGCTAAGGGACATGGAGATGTGGTACATACAGAAGAGGTGGGTATGGAGGTAGAAATAAGGACCGAACCGGCAAGAAAGTGATTTACCTGGTACCTGTCGTGGCCATCGACATGGGGCTGATCTACATCATGTAGTACTCCTTGAACATCACAAGAGAAAGATCGGTATCTGGTCAACCGCCTCGATGTCGCCCAGCTCACGGGCGTGGCTGGATGGATCTGAGAGATGAATTCTAGACCGGCCGGGGCCAGCCTGTTTCATGGCTGTCGATATGGCGGGCAGCCGGCCACCAGCTCTGATACCCAACGACTCGAGCTGCCGGTATCTGAACCTACCTGCAGGTTCTTTACTGATACATTGGCTGAAGACATGCCAAGACGGGGCAAAGATCAACTTACACCCCGTGTCGACGATAGCCGGGACGAAGAGGCACGGGTCGGGGTAAACGGGGGAAGCATGGTCATGAACCTGGCGAGTTGTCCCCGCTTACCAAAAAATGAGAGGAGTGAATGATTACTTGCGAAACCCATCCATGGGCCCAATGCGAAAACGAGTGGCGGTTTTGGGGGTTAAAAAGGATTAAAGGTCGTCGTCTTCTGACGTGGGGAGGATTGCCAAGACGAGATGAAAAAGGGCCGGATGCCGCGTAATCCTCAACGCCACCAGCAGAATTGCTGTCCCGGCCGCACAGTGCTCCCGCTCATCAGCCGACTGGGTGGACACTGTTAAGGAATTCTCTGGACGAACCCCTTGACCACTCGGGTTCGGTCGGTATGGAACGTCAGCTGCTGCTGTGTGAATCACCGCCTAACACGCACAACCCGGTGGTGACGGTCAAGTGGTCGACAAAAAAAGCCACCCCGCAAAACATCACAACCATCAAACACCACCATATCAGCACAATTCAATAACGCTTATGCCATTCAAGAATATGTTAGAATTAGAGGCAAGATGTCTGGAAATTGAATGGCTTCATTCTGGAAGAATCGCGAGAGAAAACGGGGCATAAACTTCCCTCTTTGGTCGTGGATTGTGGTGGTTATGGTATTTTGCGGGGTGGTTTTTTTTGTCTACCACTTGACGGTGAGGTATGAATTGATGACGACCGAGGCACGAGGCTGTTGGTGGCAATAACAAACGTCAGCTAGGCAGGTAATTGGGTTAACGTTTCGGTCCACAGTGTCGACTGCTCACTCCGGTCTGCGTTTGAGCCGTTGGAAGAAACCGGGGGATTCGGAACGTGGAATGTGCATATGGCTCCGGTGGTAACGTTAAGCCGTCGTCATTAGCGGTCAAGGTTAAGAACCAAGTCGAGGTGAAAAAAGTATGCATGTCTTCGGATGGCGCATGCGTGTTGGCAGACCAAAAGAAAGGCTGTATGGCAAGGCTGTCTGTCAGGTTGCTGTCTGGGCTGTATTACATGTACTTTACACCAATTTCACCTTGCATGTTGCCGGATTATGATTGGCGAATCCTGGGTGTGGCGTCTTTCAAGTTCAAACCCGGAGAACCCCTCCACTTTTTGCTGGAAAACTGTTGATGCAAACCATGTTCGCCATGTTCGCCAATGTTTCGCGAACTTGCTGCAAAGTGCGAACCGAATCGAATTGTGCGAAAGCGAGTGTTGTTGGCGGCTTTCCCCACACGATCCGAAGCCAGCGAATGGCAAGGCTGGAGCCTCAGCCACAGCACAAGAATTACCAGAAATGGGATTGGCCACCTGTGAGCCACGACTCGTCATGGTGCGGAAACCTCCGACCGGTACCTGCACTTCCCGCCCGGCTCCCGTATCGCATCCAAACTCGAAGTTCGTCGCCATTCCCCTCTTTCCCCTCCCTGAGGGGAGAAAAAAAAAAAGTGGAATAAGCATCTTCCGTCGCCTTTATCCTGGCTCTCAGGCTCAGGGTAAAGAGATCAACACGGAGTTTTCTCCCATATGCTGCCAAGTTTCCGTTGGAGTCCGTCTTGGTGGGTGAGGCCTGTGGAAAATCGCTAAAAGTCAAGGGTCATTGTGAGGCGGAGACCGATTAATGTGGGGATTCCATTTGGGGCGGAGGGATCCGAACCTGGCTCTGATTGGCCATGGCCGCAAACTGGACGCGCGTTCTCTGTCCAAGACGCCTCCCTCTGTGCTCCCCCTCCACTTCTCTCGTGGGCTCCATGGCCGTTTCCACGCAGCGAGAGACGTCTGCTTGTTGCCTGCACCCCTCCCCGAGCGCTCCCAACAAACTTGAATCCTAGGCTTTTTGATTACGTCCGCTCTTGCGAGCGACCAGTAAGGCGGGCAAATACTGAACCCAGATCTGAAATGAATAAAGGGCGATCGGCCCGTGGCCCTCTAGTAACTGTGCAGACAGACGTCAGAAGAGGTACCTAGATGACACATGCTCTCTTCGCCCTCAGTGGATGTACATGCAGATTGCTTGGGGGACTGCCGCGCAACCCTCGAGACAGTGTGTGGTTAGGGGACGCCGAGACGGGCGCACGCCATTACACACGCCTGCGTCGGCTCCTCCCCACCCCTCCCCACCCGTCCGCAGCTTTATCCTCTGGCCCCTTGTCTTTCTTGTCCCCGGCCCACCTGTGCTTGTCTTCTCTAATCTCTAACCTGCCACTCACCACCCCCATCGACCATCGATCCCATCCCCCGGCGCCGCGAAGAACTGATCCCCTTCCCAGGCCGTCGACCACTTCGAATTGCGCCCGATTTCAACAAACAGCGGAGGCGCTGGCCTGTCAACAGCGACGTCTTTTTGGACGCCCATTGAGTGAGTGAGCGGGAAGGAAGACAAGGGTCACGGGAGGCGCACCTCGACTCGTCATCCGCAACGTTGCGTGGTCCGGCTTTTAGGCGCCACTTTCTTGACGACTACACCCCACCACTTATCCCCCCGCCGGGAAACGAAGAGTCAATAGACCAATTTGACTACGACGATAACGACAACAAAGAAGAAAGAAAAAAGGCATTACGACGCACTTGAAAGTTGCGCTTTTGGCTGTGGCGACTATTCTGTCGATACGCCCCCCGGGATTCAATTAAATCACGCCTCCCGCCCACAACCAACCCCCCTGGGCTCCGGTCGGCTATCGCACACAACAATCATGGATGCTAATGGGAGGGATGCCCCTCGGGGCGGGGACCAGTACGGCGAGGAATGGGCGCACGACTTGAGGGTGCAGTTTGAGCAGCTCTTGAGGACGAAGCGATTAAACGACCTCCAAACACGATCCCGCCAAGGATCACCTGCGCCCGGGCACAGCGCATCGTCAGGCAACCTCCGGGATGTCTATGCGTCCGATCGTAGCAGGCCCGGGACATCGGGCGACGGGTTAACACCACCTTCATATTCGTCCGTCCGAAACCTTCCAAAGGTTCCGACCCCACCGGCAGCCGACGATCTCGAATCCACCCTGATTCCGAAACCTCCTCATCTCACTATCAGCGACACCGATGAAGTACGAGAACCCCGGCCTGCTTGACGAGGCCCTACAGGCGATTCCACTCGATAGGATCTACGGAGAGGCCGAGGAGGAATGCCAAGTACTCCAAGCCGAGGCCGAGAGTATGGGCGATGGGCGCAAAGCGGAATGGGGCTACCAGGATTGCATGATCCGCGCCCTTCTCAGGTATGTTTTCTGTCACGGGGTGGTACATCACCAATTGCTGGCGTGCTCATGCTCGACTGTCTCCCCTCCTCAGGTGGTTCAAGAACGATTTCTTCACATGGGTCAACAACCCTCAGTGCCCCCTCTGCCTTTCTCCGACCATCGCCCAAGGGATGACGCAGCCGACGCCGGATGAGAAGGCCTGTGGTGCACTGCGCGTCGAGCTCTACCGCTGCTCCAACAACAACTGTCGAGCGTATGAGCGCTTCCCCCGGTACAGCGATGTCTGGCGTCTCATGCAAACACGGCGCGGGCGATGCGGCGAGTGGGCCAACTGCTTCAGCATGCTCTGCCGCGCAATCGGTGGCCGCGTCCGTTGGGTATGGAACGCTGAAGACCACGTGTGGACCGAGGTCTACTCGGAGCACCAAAAGCGCTGGGTCCACGTCGACGCCTGCGAAGAGGCGTGGGACAATCCCAGGCTGTACACCGAGGGCTGGGGCAAGAAGATGTCGTACTGCATCGCCTTCTCGCACGAGGGCGCGGCTGATGTCACCAGGCGCTACGTGCGCAAGTCCGAGTATTATAACGAACGCAACCGCTGCCCCGAAGAAGTCATGTTGTATGTCATGCAAGAGATCAAACACCTACGGCGGGCCAACTTCGAGAAACAGAAACGCTTCGACCTAGAGAAGGAGGACTCGAGGGAAGACCGCGAACTCCGCAGCTATGTCGTCGCCTCGATCACACAAGCCGTGACCCAGCTCGTGCCAACAGCAGTCGACGCCGGCCCGAGCAGGAATGGACTTGCCGTCCGTAACGGACCCTCGTCCAGTGACGATACCAAGGTTCCCGTATCTGCCGAGATACCCGCCCGCCAGAGCGGCAGCGCCGAATGGGTGGCCGCCCGTGGGGAGAACGGCCGTCGAAACCAAGGATTCCCGCCCCCTCGTGGCCAGGGCCCGCCATTCCCCTAAGCAACCCGCCTCGTTCACCTCCGAGGTCAATCGCCACCGTTTCAGCCCCATCAGAAAACGTCGAGTCGCCGGCCAACGGTTTCGCTGTCCATAGCAGCAAGATACCCACCGTTGTCCGGTTGCGTCGAGACGTGGATGGTGCTGTTACTACCAGGGACACGCACGACGCACCGCCGGCACAGGCACAGCGTCACTTCTTCGGCGTTCGTCGCCTTATGTTTAATGTTACATACGCCATCATCGGTATCCTACGCATCCATATATATCCAACCCACTGTTCTGTATTTACAGACCACCTACCTACCTTTCTTATGTCACCGCCACCCATATACATACCTTTTACCATCATCGTTTGGAGTAAAGCCGGCGCTGCTTGGATCTTTTGAGGGAGCATTTGTTGCGTCTGCTATTTTTTTTTTTTTTTTTTGCGTGGGGGGGGCTGGTGCGGGAGCTCTATGTTAGATACTTCCCATCGTCGCGGCGTTCCGGGGAAAGAGAGAGGGATATTGAAATTACGTGGCATGACGCTTGGTGCAAATCCCACTACAGTCACGAAGATGGCAATAAATGTTGGGAGTTGTTTCCAACACCGTGCTCAGCTTGGGTGATTGACTGTGTGGCATGTACGTGCGGTGCGAAGAGCTCTGTTCGTGTACGTTTGTGTTGAGGGTACTTTATCTGCATGGGGGTAGACTCCCTTGGTGGTTTGATGCTCGCCTCGCTTGAATCCTCCCGCATGTTGTACCGCAGCCACTCCTACGCTATGATGGCGATAATCGACACCCATATCTTGCAGTTTCAGATGTCACATGCTACACCAGCTGGTTCTGGTACATTTTCCAACGCGCCTGTCGCGGATGTGCCTCGGTGAAAAGGGGCTGCTAAGTCAACAAAGGGACGGCACCACGGCTCGCCGAGGCAGTAGGTGCACTACTGGAAATTGGAATTTGGACTCGAATTTGGCGCAATAAACTTTATTCACTTTTTAGGGGGGTACCCGTCTCGGGTCACGGCGTCCTACATCCCTAAGAGTTTGTTGATTCCCCGGGCTGGTCAAGACTGAAATTAGGGATAACAACAAGATGGCGAAATACTTCAACCTATCCCGTTCAAGCTTGATTCAACTAGACCTTAGCAGCAAGAATTGAGATATTATCCGTGGCATAAATCACTCATTGCCATTGCCAAGGTTGGGTGTGAATTGGAATGCTTGAGTTCTGACGCTTCTTTCCATACCTTGCCGACCACCTGTCTGACTCGCTCAAATCCCCCCCCCCCCCAAACCACACTTTGATGAGATTATTGAGAGATTCACTCCAATCAATTGCCAGCAAGATAGTAGCGCTTGCGGTACCTTATTTGCAGCGCCAATTGTCCGGCACCATGCCCATCCCCCGTCCTGGTCCTGCCCCCCCCCCCTTCATATACCACAACAAACTCCACCATCTATCACATACGACCATAGGCGCTAGAGAACTCGGGATCCCGTCTGCTCTCCCCTAGATAAACTTGCGACCGCTGGACTAGTAGTTGGGTCGGTGACGACCAGCGAATCCCCGGTGTTGTATGTTTTTGTCTTTTTGCTCCACCATGGTTTGGGTTGACTCCATCACAGTCGCTGCCGGGGTGTTCTTTTTGACCACCACGGTCGTTTTCCCATAGAGTGGGAGAACAGGGATGTGGTTGGCATAGTATCGTTTCCCTTTGCACGGAAATTTGAAACTCGGCGTCGCTGTCGTCCGTAGCGAAGATGCGAAGGCCGATGTCCAGCGAGATTTGAAATGCCTTAAGGACTTGTCTATAACTCCGGGATCTAGTGTGCTGGGAGTCAGAGCGGACTCGCTTATATACCGTAGAATGTTGAGGTACGGTATATCCCAGTCCACGGGAGAGTGAAACTATGGGTAGCCTGGATCATTTGAAGTCCATGGTCCTACCTCTGCGTAGATGCCTTCGCAGGTTACAAGACACAAGATTCCTTGTGTGCCGTGTGCCCTACACAACTTACATACAGGGTGTCCGAAGCTGCTATTTTGATCTAATAAAGACATCAACACCGATTGCCTTCCCTTACAATTATAAACCTACAATTTGTATCACCACCCGACGAGCTAGAGTAAACAGACAGGGCAATGCCCCTTGGATGAGACTAAACAAGTGCCATTAGATATTGGTAGGTAAACAGCAACTGAGAAGGGAACGAGTGCAGTCTTTTACACATTCTGAATGTTACATATTAAGCAGTTGAGTAACCTTGTATGCGTTGTACGTTCGAAGATCCAGTCGAGGCTTGCACGACGAAACACGACTTGCTCGACGATTATGGTACCGTTGTCAACAAGATACTAACTTCACACTCGATTCATTCCTGTAAGATTCCCCATAGTTCGAGTCTGATTATCACCTGCAATATGCACCGGCAATCCTGTGGCCGGCAGAAAGAGGCGTCTACCAGACCAGACCTGGCCACGGGGGTGGCGGCAACTGCTCGATGTTGACACCAAACAAACTAACAATAGACTGACAGCATCATATTTCTCCTGACTTAAGAGCCGTTGACCTCCCTTGTAGCAGAGAGTGGTTGGTTTTGAAGTGATTGTCTACCATGCATGGCTGGAGGAGGCTACCTAAACAGCTAGTTAAGTAGTTAACAAACACCCCTTATTCTTAGTAACTCTTTTCAGCTAACTACCTGCACTTGAGTGCACCGCCCGCCCCGCGAGTTCGAAGAAGGCAACCAGTGTTCCAAGATGCCAAAACGAAGTGCATCGAGGCCAAAGACTCTTCAAGTTTCCAGGCCTTTCTTGTCAAACATTTGGCATCTTGTTGGCCTTGGTAACCCAACCAGTGTCCCTTCGCTCAGGGGGGAACCAAGGATGACCCCTGACCTTGTCAGATAACGACACTTTGCATTTCAACAACACAACGAAGCCAATCATCAGCTTCATGCAACAGAACCCGAGACATCCAGTTCACTCCTTTCTGGGGAGGATTGGGTTCAAGGTCCACCCCAAGTCATGGATCAACCGCGGATAACGACGTCAATGCTCTCTCGGATGGTTTGCTGCTTGGTCTCATTACAAATTTATCATCTTTGCCATGCCAACCAACAGACAAACCAAAGCAAAACCCGAGGCTCGCTCACCCCCTTGCCACCGTTTTCGGGTTCCCCAACCAGCCAAGCCAGGGAGGGAGATGGCCGAGGCACGACGCTAACACCGAATGAAGTGGTCGACCGCAGATCACGCAATCATATCGAGATTTGCCATGCAGCCACCCTCAGCTGAAATAGTTATTGGGGGTGTTCAGGAGCGATGTATCACAGCAGCTCAATACTGTGAGTGTGTACGGAGTAGTCATGGGCTGCGTTTGCCCCCTCCCCAGAGACCGGAGGATGGCATGTGCATTGAGAGATATTGACACACTACTTTTCGTTTACTCACCTGCGTCGGAAGTTTGTTGACTCAGAAAACGATGACGAAGGTCCAAACGCAAAACGCATCGGACTTAGTTAGCACCCTGAGGCTTGCATCTCGCCCCCAATTCCAAGACAAGAAAAGGAACATTGGGGCGAGGCTACGGGGGTGGTGGTTGCGACTTGCGCTTCCAGCCGAGATTACGGGCGGAACCTGGAACCCTTCCACCCCCCTCATCAATTCATGTGGGTTTTTCCCCAGATCGGAGAAAAAGGCGGGCCCGATGCGGGCTTGCAATCAATTCTGTTGCTTCCAAGGTTGTTGTTCGTTTGTTGGAAGGGGGGGAAGGGATGAGGCCATGCCAGGAGTGGCGGCGCCAACGAAAGGGACCTCACTAACTTCCTGCTAAGCACCAGTCAGGGAATTGAGCGAATTGCTTTGCCCGGGTAGTGGGAGGGCTCCGGAAATGATATCCGCCCGGTGGCTCCGGACTTCGCCTTGCGCCGTGGCTGCCTACATGTAATGCCATGTATGTAATCTGTGCATGCACCTCACAGGAGGAAGGCACGAAAGGACGAAAGGGAAAGTGCAAGTGCAGCTGTGCAGGTGCGTTCCCCGCTCGGGAATCATGGTACGCCGGGAATCATACCCGTTGCAGAGGGCTTTTCTGGCTTTTCTGGGAAAAGAAAAACAACCTCTCCCCGAAATAGCGTTCCCGATGTTGCGACAAAACTGATGAAAGGCCCGGCGAGCCAGGGCGCCACTGGGCTGATAGGACAGCGCTGGATAGGCCAGTGGAGGCCGTGCCTGACCGATGCAGCACCAGCGCGATCCGCCAGGTGGGGGGTCGCGCATCACGCGTAAAGTGCGCGCAGGGGCCTGCCATTGGTTGGCCAGCTCGCAAGCTTGGAGCGACTTGTTTCGTCAGGTCTGGGTTTTCTATCTTGCTGGAAGCTGTCGCCTCTTCCCGACAGACTGGGTTGGGCGGCTGCAGAGCTGGAGGCCTGCTTGCTACGGACGCTGATTGGAAAGTATCCGACTTCCTGACTGCAGGCGAATGTCGAGAATTGAGTGCTCGGTGTGAACCGGATTGGGTCCTGAAGGCCCCTCAATCCATTCAATCCATTCCAGAGACTTTTCTGCAGCGCGTGCGGCACAGATCGATCGACGCTTTGTTTTGGGGGGAATCGCTAACATCATGATGCCACCACCTTCGTCTCCTCCTCCTCCAGAATTTTCAAATCAAGAGTCTCCGTATCGATCACCGTGGGCTCAGTGGCGGAGCTCCTTCCAATGGGACGCCAGTGAACAACGAGAATCCTTCCAGATGCAACTATGCGGGTCGTTGAGTCCAGGGGCACGTGGGGGAATGTCGTGCATGTGTATGAAGCATGTCGCGAGAGGTTCTGAAGCCGAGGCCCGGCATGCGATGAAGTCATGAAGCATATTCGTTCGCTGAAGCTTGAGCTCCCATGCGAGTCGTTCGCTCCAGAGCTCCCTTACCTAAGCCCCAAAGCAACCCCAGCCTCCCCCCAAAAGCCGGATTCGAGCAATGTGTGGGAGAACCTCCGCCGTGTTTTCGCGCTTTGCCGCTGCTCTGCAATGCGAGTCGCGTCATGATGGCCTCTGCCGCTCCCAATACACACCCCGCATCGCGTCTTCGCGTTCCTTTTTGGGTAAATTGGGATTCGATTGGCCAATTGGTTCCTTTGTCTAAGCGTTGATGGATGCCGTCTGAGCGCTTGTTTCTTTCCGCCTAGAAATAGACATGTTTCTTGGTGACCGGGACAGAGAGTCAGGGGGCTTATGGGCGGAACTGCAGATATCAGAATTGGCGCAAAACTTATTAGCTTGTCTCAGCCTATGTAGCCGGGGCCGAGTATTTCGCGATGCGATGAGAGGGTTGAATTGGGCCTCGAATATCGAGATCCCGATCTTGGCTTTTCCGGCCCGGCGCCGGCGCTTCCGGTGTGGCCGGGGCCCGGTGGCAAAGGATCTGAAGACCGCCGCCAAAGGTCTCGGAGGGGTTGCATTGGCCCAACCTTGTTCGATGATCGATGCGGAGGTGTTGTCGTGACGGTGCTGACACGTGCCCCCATTCATCTCCGTGAAACACAGGAAGGCCTAGAATGGCCGGGTTGACGCGACTTTTCCTGGATAGTTACTGATCCCTTTCTCCACCACAGCCGAAGGAAACCTGGAAGTCCCAAAGCCGTTTCCAGGCTTATCAGCCAAACAAAAGTGGCGAGCCAAAGGGGGAATTGGGGGACAAGTGGGCGACAAATTAAGCCACACAGCAAAACATCCTCATCACCACAAACCACCAGCAAAAAGGGTAGTTTATACAAGTCTTCTCTCGCAATTCTTCCAAAAGTGAAGCCATTAAATTGGCCAATATCTTACCTCTAATTCTCACATATTCTTTAAGTGAATAGGGGTTGTTGAATTGTGGTGACATGGTGTTTTTTGGTGGTGCGGATGTTTTGCTATGTGGCTTATTAATTTGTCGCCCACCCGGGGGGGTCTAAAGACCCACGGGCCACTTGCTGTGCCGAGGGGCACAGCAAGTGGAAAGAGCCCCTCGAGTACGAAGCATCCATGGCGGTGTCCAGCGCTTTGGGCTCCTCTTGCCGTCCCCATATGGTAGAGGTTGGGGAATGTAACGGCGGTAAGCAGTTAGAGGCTGGGCCCGTGCCATGAGCAAAGGCTGGCGGCGAGGGTCCGGATAGGCATGTTGTGATGTGTTCAAAGATCGCAACTCCAGCCTTCATCAAGCGTTGGCAATGCCGGCCATGGTTTGATTCACATCCCATAACGCTTCTGAGGTGCATCTCCCCGAGTTGTTTCCGAGGTGGTTGGCTCCATGCTGATGAAGAGCCCTCGTCCCTGCAAATTGTTTGCCCAACTAAGTAACGAAACTGATAGCCGAGAGACACGCCACGGCACGGGCGGTGAAACGGGACCGCCAAAAAAGGGCAATCAATTGCCATGGGCGGCTTTTGAGCCACAGTCTCAAGTGTATTGAGAACCCGGGAAGCTGCACTGTTTCTCTTCCGGCTATAGCTGACGTTAATCAAGCCCGAACAAACAACCTGCAGCCAGGTCACAGGAGTTAACTAACTACCCGTGTGTGATAGCTACTGTGCAAGGTTAAGAGTTGTCATTGCGGCCGAGAAAAACGGTCGAGAAAAACGGACAATATTCGAGCAATTGCTTTTCTGGAATTTGTCGAGATGACGGGACCGAATTGGGATCCAGAAGAGAGGAGAGGTTGCATTTTTCGTGAGTTTTGTCTGGGGTACCCTTGAGCATGGATCTGATATGCGTCGCTCATCCCATTCTGAGCCAAGCCCATTGGTTCATCCCAAACAGAAATGGGGAAAAGATTCAAGGTTTCCACTCTTGGTGCCACAGGGATTGGATCTTGTCTCGTTCTTTCCGTTCCTGTGGGGTCGGTCTGGTTGTCAGCCTCATGTGGCACTCTAGCTAGTTCAGCCTTATCACTGCTCTGCAGCTGCAGGCCAGGGTCTTCGGCAGGTGTTCTGGAACTGGGCCTCGAAGTTCTCAAGGACCCACTCTTCGACCTTCGATTCATTGCCAGGTCTTTTCAACAAGTCGTTGTATCGTTGAGTTGATGTTCATTTACCTCTCTGTTAGGGACCAGGCATCTGAGGCAATTACTTATTTTTCTCTCTTGCTTTTTTTCCCGCAACCATGTGCATATGTGATGGAGAAACACCCTGTTTGTGCAAGCCCTTTCCAGGGTTTGCCTAGCAGCAGGTGTGGGAAGCCGAGGAATGGAGCAGGCGATAACTTTCCAATCACATATCCACCGGAAGAGAGAAAGTTTTGACGATATTTGCTCCGGAAGTGGACAAGCGGTTGTGTCTCGGACCACACCGTAGGGAGACTGACGGTTGACGGTCTTTTTTTTCCTTGTGATGGCTCGGTTGGCTCGGTTGTGGGGTGCCAGCGAGAGGGGCTAATGGAGCATTGTGGGCAAGCGCAAACGGTCAACGAGACGAGTCGGCAGGGAGTGGCTTTTTTTTTTTTTGGTAGGTTCACCGCCTCTACCGTGATTCGCCGCCGCCGCCCTAAAGTGAAGCAATTCCGCAGGCATCCGGCCTTCGTCTTCGCAAAGCAAAAGGCCGAAAAGCAGAAGGCCGGCTCCGCAAATGTCGGAGTGCATCGACGGTCTGCCGGGCTTGAACGGTCGGCTTGGCGGCCCGCTTTCGGGAAGACCGGCAACGTTGTTTTCGACACCGCCTGGTGGCCGGGTGAAAATCATCTCTACTTTCTTAACTTGCAAGTTCCGGGGGTTGGAAATGTCTTTTCCGTTGCTCTTGCGACGAGACCCGCCAACCGGCTTTTTTTTTTCACTCTTTTTCTCATGGGTCGCGGTCTATTTTGTTGGGTGAACGAGCGTGGGCTTGAAGCGGAGGCCGCAAGACAAAGTTCTCTGCAGAGACATCTTAGCCATTCGCAACATCTGATGGGGATCACTCAGCTGCTGACTTGCATTCGAGGTCACATTTCGCGGGATGCCTTCTTTACCTCCACTCAGCCCTAGGACGTTCGGTTCTTGGTTTTGAGGGAAATGGCTGCCCTCCTTGGCTGCCCTCCTTGGTGAGTTGGCAGAAGCAGTTTCATCTCAATCCTCTTTGGGTCGAGTCATTGGCTCCCAGTTGCTTGCTTGGAAGGTATGTAACACCACCCCAATTTTAGGGGAAGGCCGCCACACTCGACCTTGATTGCGGGAGGCTGAAATCCGACTGGGGTGCCGATCTGGCCTCTCCGTGTGTCATAAAGAGAAACTGGTGAACATGGCCCTGGGATCTGCACTCTAGCGTTTGCATGTACATCATTCTGCTGAGGGCGAGATGGAGCTTGATGTCTAAACCCGAAGTAGCCCACTAGTTATATGCTGGGGTTGGGGTTGCTGGAGAGATCACACAAGGCTCAAGCCAGTTATCCCGGTCTGATGGAAGAGACTGGCGGTGTCACGGCGCCCGAACCTCGACCGGTCGACTATCAAAACGCTGTGTCCCACGGGGCACGGCAGTCAATCAATCTCTAAAGCCCAAAGACAAAGCTGCATCGGAGTCCCGGTAGCGCCTCTGGGTTGTAAACCGTACGAGCCTTAGCGCCAGTCAGCTATACAAGATGGGAACCAACCTAATGATGATAGTTATTGAAGCAAGTTGAGATGAAATGTCTATCATGATATCAATGTGCCAAGAGGTGAGATCGGGGGTTTGACGGCTCATTTGCCGGCCGATTTCTTAGCTCTGACGGAGGCAGCAGCAAGAAAAGGTTCTCGCGCATCCGCGTTACAGTGGCCGCTTTTGGATGCGAGTGGGAGTGTTGGTTTCGCTCTTGCCGTCGTCGCGATCCCTGTGGCGGGCCACAACCGACCGACTCACTGGATTGGAGGGACCGGTCGTTGACACGCATAATTAAATTGGATTTTCTGAAGTCGTGCAGCAACGCGTCGCGGACTCCTGATTGGCTGCCGGCCCGTCAGACCTTCCCGATACTCTGCATCATCAAGGCACCGCAGGCCCCTGGACTTTACACAGTGGCTGGTGTCGGAGAAGGACATCACATTGTAAGACGTCGCTGGTAATTGTCTTAACTCCAAATCCGAGATGGTGGCCCAGAGACCCGGTCTCTTATCTCAGCCGGTTGCACATGTCTGTCGAGGAATGAATGTGAGCGGGCAAGGCTTGCGAACTTTCGAGATGCTGTGGATCTCGCCTTCAAAAAGCGGGCCCTTTCCTCAGTGCAGTGGTCCCCGATGGAACGCAGGCAGGCAGGCCATCAAACGCGAACACGCCAAGGATTGATGATACGCGCAGCAACTCAGATCTTGGAACCGACGGGAACATTGGACAGCTTTGGTGGAAAGGATCATAAGGCGCGATGGGGACCGAGCGGCTGATAAAGAAAGAAACAACCGAAACCAGAGTCGCTGGTATACTATTCGACGATGTACATACACGCCGGAAGCCATGCCCTATCTGGGGTTTTCAGGGTACCGATGGAAGTTTTAGAGCCTGGTCTGTATTTTGCGAACCAGCTTTCACGATCTCAGGGGCGCTTCAGATGCTGCTCTGGAACAAGCCTGTATCGGGAGACAAGCTGAGCGGAGGCGCAATCGAGAAAGAGAGGGTGTTGGAGATCCTGACGTAAGCTCTGGAATCAAGAAACCCAATTTGTGAGCCCTGGCAGACAATGCATTGGTGCATTTCTTCGGATTGCGACACGGCCATGGAGGTTTTCGATTCGCGGCCAAAAGGGGGCACCACTTCATTCCGGATGACCTGCAGCTGGCCTTATGTACCCTCCACTTTTGTATGGCTTCGCGACATGCAGTCGTCCTGCTCGATACAATTCGACCAAGTGCCGTCCCTGTGCACCGGGTTCGATGGTTCGGCTGTCTCGGTTGATTAAGCGTCCAAGCAACAAGCCACGGCGAGGGAGGAGGCTTGAGGCATGGCCTTCTAACTCGCTCGGAGAACCGAAGGCCTAAAGATGAGGCCATGACATGGCGATCATGGAACCACACTGGTGCAACAAACAAACAAGGGCAAAACATTCATGGATGTGTCAATCAGCCCTCCCAAACCCGGGGTCTTCGTTTTGGCCGTTGCTTCAGCCGGGTTGACGCTTTCTCGCGCAACTTGGGGCCCGCCTCGCTCAGGATGCTGTTTGATACGTGCAGTCCATACCAAAACCTAAGGGGGCCATGCAGAGCCTGGGGGAAGTTCTCCCTTGGGTACCTTCAAGGTCATTGTGCACAGCCGGAGCCCATTGTGCAAACACTCGTCTGCCAGTCCCCGTTTCTACCCATCCCGTTTGCAACGTCAACGCCTCAACAAGGCGATTATGGGACGGAACACCCGACGACGACCGAATTACCTGTGTGGGATTGATCCGCGAGGATCGCGCCAGTCTCCAAACCGCGACACGCAGCCGCGCAACAGAGAACACCAACACGCTCCTCAAGTGCTACGCTCTGGTCGGTGCATACTATGGTACCGTGTCTCTGGATGGATTTCCCCTGCGGTCCACCTCGCGGTGCATCTTGGGGCTCACCGTCCAGCGCTCTGAGTGGTGAACCATGGGCGACGGAGTGCCTGAGGGTCCTGCAAGCCGCACCAAAGAAGCCGTAGATCCCTGCCGTCCTCCACCTGGCCTGAATTTCCGTGCCGAGCGATGAGTCCACTCAAGCCCACCGTCGCCCACCACCAGCTCCAGTCAGCCAGGAGCGAACCTCCTGGCCGTGCCTGAACGAGTGCGACCTCCGTACCCCACTCACTCCCACCAGTCAGGGAAGTGGTAATCATGGCCAAGCTCCAAGGAAAAGACCGTCCTGCAAAGGTCGTTGAAGTGACGTGCAATGCAATGCGGCATTGCCTCGCGAGGCGGCCATGCAGCCGGGCGGCCGACTCTCCGCGACGCGTAACTAGCTCTACCTATCGTGAAGCACGTTCCTATCTGGTGAAGCCCGTCCAAGCCAACCTCCAGCGCGGAGTGAATGGAACGGCTTCAAGTTGCGTCTCATGACCGACGGAGCGCCACGATTGGACATGGCTCCTTCCTCCTTGGCTGGGTTTGGCACGGCCGTCCTTGCCTGTTGCGCAACGGAGGTGGGGGGAAAAGCAGGAGCGGATTTACGGAGCCAGGACCTTGCACGAGGTCGACTCTTGGCGCTGCTGGAGTGCTGAGCTGCCTGGATGGCCTGGCTTTTTCCCTGCAAGCCCGTGGTCCTGCACCCAGACCAGGGCAAGCGGGAGGTACCTCGACCCCCTCGCTCCCGTCAGTACGCGGTCGGTGCTGCAGGCTGCTTGGTGCTCAGCACTCCGCCAGTCGCGAACCGGGGGCCCTGTCTTAAACCGGCCGTTAACCAATCTCTGCGCTCCTTTCCACTCCCTTTTCCTCTTCTCCATCCTCCTCCTACCTGAACAAATATCCGTCTCCTCCTCTCCTTCCCTTTCCCTTCTCCTCCATCCACGACCAGTCGTTCCCTCTCCCTCACCGTCCCTTCCAACATCCCCCCCGAGGACTCCCTTTCTCAGATCGAGAAACGGAGGGAAGGAGGAGATTTAGAAACTGGGCCCCCGACAAGCTAGCTCACCCAGCCTCATATAAGGACACGGCCGGACTGGTGCGTGCAGAGAGACGGAAAATTCAAAAGAAGAAGCTGGAATTAGGAATCTAAAACGTTCCCGATTCTTCAGCTTTTTTTTTCCACAACGCTCTCGAGCTCCACCCTGCGTCCTGGTTTGACTCTCCCCCGCCCAGGCATTCTTCGGTTCGACGACGAGGAATCCTGCTCTCCCCGCGGCTGCTCCCTTCGTTCCGAGCGCCCTCTCACCTCGCCTTCGTTCCTCAACGCACCGTCTCCCGACCTCGACCTCGACCCCAGTGTCTAGTTCGAGCGAAGCAGTCGTCGTTGCCAATCGACGCGAGTAAAATTTCTACGGGGGAAATTTCAATCCATTTTCCCACCAGAAACCGGGTCCTTCGACAGCCCTTCTGCCATCGATCCACGAGCCGAGAGCGACTCGCGTATCATCTACATGATCCCGATCGGTGCATAAGCCTTTTTTCTTTTTCCCTGCCGAGGCTCTGAGAGTGAAGGTATGAGGCTCTCCACATTTTTCGAGAATCCAATTTCTTTTCGAATTTTTGGGCCCAGGCCCCCTTCGTTATACTCGTCCTGTCGCTGCCCCTGATGTCATCTGTTCATGCACAAACTTCGCGTGTGGACAGAGATACTGAACAATGTCCTGTCGCTCCCTTTGCAGATACATGCCGAACCCGGGTGCTCCCTGCAATCCCCGGCATCTTTCACGCTCAGGCCTAATCGACCGGCGATCCATTGACAGTCTGCCGTGGGACACGTTAAACTCGTTGCTTCCCTACCCAGCGTCAGGAATTGTGTCGTTTTTGCGTCGGTCCTTCTCTTCGACGACCCGCAGCCGTGGCAGTAAGGGATCCCGCCACTTCTTCACCGTATCACCACTTTCGTGCGCCTCGAGTCTCGCCGGAATCCCATCCGTGCCGGTATGAGACTCCACAGGCCAGATCGACCGAATCACGGCGAGCATTGTGTTCTTCCCCCTTGTTGAAGTGGATCTTGAGGACCGGCCCGCTCCACCGCCCTGGGGTTGTGCATCGAATACGACCGAGCTCGAGAATGAATGGTGCTGATTCTCGACGATTTAGAAAGCCCCGGTCGACACAGTTCATTACCGCCCGGCCAACTCGAAAACCCCGATTCTCTTTCCTACATCAAGTCGGCGGATTTCCAGCCACAGCCACTCCTTTCGGTACTTCTTTTTCACCACACTCTTTAATACTCTAATACTAGTCATCATACACGGTCGACGTCTCACTCCTTGGCTCGACCAACTCTATCTTAATACTGCCCTTGGATTCCTGGAGAACTCGGAACATCCGTCTCTCATTTCGACCGCTCGGCTTTGAAAAAAAGAACACCGATTAGTCAAGATGGCGTGCTCAGGTTACCAACCCGACAACACTTTCTTCGTCGAGTCGGACGAGTCCAACCAGCACATGTCGATGCGTGATGCTGCCAAGATGCTTGCCCGGAACAAGCAGGAGATGATCGCCAACGAGCTCTCAAGGCTGGCCTGTGACGAGTATCTGGAGGACATCATGCAGCACATGCGCCATATGGAGGTAATAGGAATCCCTGGGCGTTCGATTGACTGGGCCATGATGCGGAGCGTGACTAACTCTGCTTCGCTTGTAGGACGAGACATTGCCCGATGCCAATCTGATTGACATGCAGCGCGAGATCCAGTGGTTTATGCGGCCGTACCTGATTGACTTCCTGATCGAGGCTCACTCCGCCTTCTCTCTCCTGCCCGAGACCCTCTTTCTCACCGTCAACCTCCTCGACCGGTACTGCTCGAAGCGGGTGGTGTATAAGCAGCACTACCAGCTGGTCGGATGCGCTGCCCTCCTCATCGCTGCCAAGTACGGAGACAAGAAGGACAGAGTGCCTCAGATCAACGAACTGAACAACATGTGCTGCGGACTCTACGACGCCGGCATGTTTACCCAGATGGAGATGCACGTTCTCAACACGTTGGACTGGAACATTGGCCACCCCACCGTTGACTTCTTCACACAATTGGTTGCGGCCGAGGAGCGGGACAGTCGGGAAGTGGAGCACATGGCGGCGTACATCTGCGAGATTGCCCTCTACCACCGGGACTTTGTGTCGACGAAGCCTTCGGTCATGGCAAGGGCGTCCCTCGCCCTCGGTCGTGCGATATTGGGCAAGCCTGAGGTCAACGACGGCGAGTGGGACCACTCTGACAATGTGACGCTCCTTACTCTGTCACAGCACCTCCACCAACCCTCTGTCACCCTGGCGAGGAAGTATTCCAGCCAGTATTACTCGAGAGTGTCGGGCAAGCTTGCCGACTTCCTCGCCCAGCAGGCTGCGATCGCGCGGAGAGGGGCGCCGCCATCACCGCCGTCAGAACCCATCCTGTCCAACAAGGCAACGGATGTGTACAGCACCCCCCACAAGGGACTCGGTGCCGTACCCGGTGCTGCCGACGGTTACATGACGCCGCCTATCACCCCCGATGGCTCATGCTTTGGTCAGAACAATGCTGCGATCAAGGGTTACCAGGTGCCGCCTCGTTGCCCAGTCACCCCAACCCCTCAGTCAAGCCACGGGCAGTCGTACCAGCAGCCACATCTCCAGCAACAACAACAACAACAACAACAACAACATATGGCGGGGTCAACATACTTTGGCACCGTATCTCATATGTCGTACTAAGGTCCCACCGCTTTGGGGCACGGTTTTTGTGGGAGGCTTGATATCTGCTTCGGTCAATACCCGGCTTTGGCTGTTTCCCGATGGGAATCTGGCCCTGTTTCTTTTCCTCCTTTTTTCTTTTCAGGGCACCTCGAAATATACCACCTTGGAAGACAAAAAGATTGCATTCATCTGGCTCTTTCTTTGCACGGGATCATTTAGCGTCATGGCATCAGCGTTGAATTTTATTTTTGCGATTTCTTTTTCAACTTTCACTTTTCTCGGAGCGTTTTGGCGCGGCTGCATCATGGCTGCACCCGTCGTTGTGGCGTGGGGAACTGCGGTGTCCCTCGGCTATATCCTTGATTCGGAACCGCCATGTTAATTTTTTCACCATAAACGAAACCTTACAAAAAAAAAGGGAGGGACGACATGGATCCATTTGTGTGGAGCGAGACAACACACGTCTCGGCAACACCGGGTATGAGATCTCTCTCGGCCCGACCGGCGAATTTGATAGAGGAGGGAGCAAAAATGGCGACATTGTGGTGGTGATTGGGAGGCAAATACCAAGATTGGCAAAGCTGGGAACCGGCGAGATACCCGGATGGGGTTTGAGGATGAGAAACAGTCGGCTGGCTGGGACGAGGATGGATCAAGCGGCACAAGCCCTTGCTTCTTCACTCGATCCCCCGGGCGCAATCGCTAGCAGCTATTAGGTCGTCCTCAATTTGTGGGACAGTGCAACACATTGCTAGCGAGGGATAATCGCGGGCAGAGGCTTGGGTCTGAGCGGATGTGACCGCTGTTGACACAGGGCACTGGTGAAAATGGGCTTGCTTGGGTATTTCAATCCCATACAGTGCTATCACTCATTCGAGGTCACCACAAGCAGGTAGCTGCTAAAGAAAATAAAATAGTCAAGTCTCTGGCATACATCCGTCTCTGGTTCCCACCACGGCCTGTTCTCAATCTCTGTTTCCAGCATGATACGGAGATACCAGCCAGGTGAGTTCTGCGTGAGGCTAACCTATCACCTCTCCCCCTAGTTTGTTCAACCTTTACCTTCTTCTTCGCCGACATAGTCGCGGTGCTTCCCCGTCCTCGCGGTTCCAAATAGACCCGTTTTCTCTTACGGCCGATGTGTAGCACCTGGACGCCATCGGCCTGAGTATCAAGTTTGTCGAAATTGGTTCCCCTCGGCCCGCGCATGATGACATTGCCGTCGCCCACGTCCTCATCTCGCAGCACACCACCGGCGTCATCAACAAGGTCATGCTCGAATATGACACGGTCTGGGGTTCTCAAGCTCTGATTCCGCCACTGGGCGAGCTTCAGCGTCGTCGACGCCGGCACCCTCTTTGATTTCTCACCCGTCTGCGCCGCTCCCAGAATCTCGCCATACCGCATCATCCCCGGCAGCCGACCCGCCCCGAGCACATCCCGCCTCTCCTCACCCATCCACAGCTTAAACGTGCCCGGCGCCCCGGACAGGTAGCACACATGGAACGGCAGCAGGCCGCTGAGCCGGTCGGGGACCTGGTTGGCAGCGCCGAAATCCTTGGAATAGCCGGGAAACACAAGCACGGGGATCGTGCAGCTGAACACGCCAAACTCGCCCCCGTCCTCACTCTGGGCCCCCTCCCCGCCACCATTCCCAACCCCAACCACCGCCGCCGAAGCCGCCGCCACACCACCCCCCACAACCCCCTCCTGCCCCTCCTGCCCTTCCCCCTCCCGCCGGCCGTCAAACAACCCCAGCGGCGCGGCCTCCTCCCCACCCAGCACCCGCACGTCCAGCTCGTACACGCGCGACACCAGCACCGAGTCCGCCGTGTTCACCCGCCGCGCCGACTGCGCCGAGTACCGCTCCGGGTCGATCCCCAACGCCGGCAGGTCACCGGCCCAGAGCGTCGGCAGCGTGGCGCCGCTGTCAAGGAGCATGTTGTAGATGAGTTGCGGGCCGTCGCGGTCGGGGGTGGTGGTGTCTGGGGCGGAGGTGTCCGGTTGGGGGATGCTGGCGGTGCGGGGGGGTTTGTTGTTATTTTTGTCGGGGGTGGTGGTGGGGGGGGAGCGGGTGACGGTGTTCTTGCGCCGGCGGAACCCCATGCGGATATTGTAGTGGCCCATGTTCTCGGTGCCCTGGCGCCAGGCGTGCTTGCTCTCGAGGCAGAAGCCCCTTTTGGCGAGGATGATCGGCCCCCGCATGCTGCCGTTGTTATTGTTGCTGAGGGAGGGCTCGTACCACAGCCAGCCGGGGCCGTGGGCCGCTTCGTACCGGTCGAGGCGCGCGGCGCGGTCGTGCGTGAAGGAGTTGAAGTCGGGGCAGCGGTCGACGATGTGACCCGCCCAGAGGAGGGTGTAGGAGTTGGAGTAGGGGATCGCGCCGGACTCGTAGCCGGCGATGGCCGCTTCGAGGTTGGCTCGCTCGCCGGGGAAGGTGGTGTCTTGGAGGAGGGAGCGGAGCACGTCGAGACGGTCGTGGATGGCGTCGGAGTGGGTGGATTTGAGCGCGGATCTGGGCATGGTGTTCTCTTCGGCCGATTCGTCCAGCTGCGCCCGCTCCTCGACCGCCTTTTGGTGCTTCTCGACGAAGTATGGCACGCCCCGGTAGTGGTCGACCCATAGACTGGTCTGAATGACCGTCCGATCGGCGATTTGAATGGCGTTGAGATCCTCTCCTTCGGCCCAGAGAGGAGAACCTATGACGATGGATGGCTTCCATTTTTCAACGGAGCCGTTTTGGTGAGGGTTCAAGGGTGCTGCTGAACCGTCGCTGGCTTCAGGGGTGGTTTGTTGCTGTTGTTGCTGTTGCTGTTGCTGTTGCTGTTGCTGTTGCTGTTGCTGTTGCTGTTGCTGTTGCTGTTGCTGTTGCTGTTAGCTGTTGCTGTTGCTGTTGCTGTTGCTGTTGCTGTTGCTGTTGCTGTTGCTGTTGCTGTTGCTGTTGCTGTTGTTGCAGTTGTGGTTGCTCCTGCTCAGATTCGTGCTCCTCTTCTTGCTCCTCTTCCTCGTCATATTGCTGTATATACTGTCGCCCAACTTCCTCTAATTCCTGCTCCCGTTGTAGCTCCCGTTGTAACTGTTGTTGCCGCTCAGCCTCTAGCCTCACCGACCTTCGCGTTGTTGCCCGATTTGTGAAACGGACTGCAGTGTCATCGTGGTGGAGGTTATGACGAAAATGCTGGACGTTGTATTCGGCGCGTCTGAAGATTGTCGATGGTCGCCTTGTGCCCGGAGTCTGGCCTCTACCAGAAGTTCCTCGGCTCGGTAAAGTGATTTGATTGGGCTTCCTCTCTATCAAAGAGAGCCTGAATGTCCGCAAGATTTGCGCCATTGAAAGGCCCGTGGTTTGTTGTCATCTTGAAGGCTGTCGATGTAGCTGACCTATTTCACGTTCCCGGCTCCAACAGAGTGAGGCCACCAAGCCTAGAAAGCCGCGTGCAGTGGACTTTTGATCATTCTGTGTAGATAACTCTCCTTCCTTCGCCCCTTTTCAAGGACAAAGAAAAGTGAATGGTCCCACAAGTCAGCCGCAGCAAGCTGTCGGAGCAATCTGTGTTCTTTGTTCCTAAGCAGAGGATCATTTCTTTATTTGCTAACCCCGGAAGTCTGAAAACGGGGCTGCTCCGGAAACTTTGATAGAAGGTCTTTGATGGAGTTAACAAGTCATACATGTTGAAGCCCTGTTCATTGTTGCAAAGCCGTATTGACATAGACGCGAGCGGCACATTCCAGCCAGGACGTAAGACCCTGATATCTCCCTTACCCCCCCTGTTTTGTACAAACAGTGGCATTCCCGCCTTTTTCACGGTTAACATCTCGTTTATTGCAACAACGCCATTCTGTCTGTCGTGAACCCGCTTTACCCTCACCAGAGATTCCGATCGGGACGGCCAAGATAAACAAGCAACTCGGGAGAGATCTACTAGAATGGATCCATACGAAGATTCGAGCAACCAGGGCTATCTAACCCCTGAACCGTCATCCCCCCCTGCGCCGGCATCTCCGGGGGGAGTCACAGCATTCCGGAGTTGAGGAATCGGTTGGGGGTTCAGCATGGCGAGATCTCTCCAACCCAGCCCAGTTCGCCCCCGGCACCAGGGGGGGGGTTATGGAAACTGCTTTTCAGTTACCCGAGGAGGCCCTGGACATGCTCTTGGGTGACGATATGGGGGGAGAGACCGGAGAGGACAGCGAAGTGGTAGACATTGACGACAACGAGCTCGATAGGGCAATCAAGGCAACGCCGCCCAACCCGCAGTATGCCTTGGAGTTAGAGGTTCGCAGACGTCAAGCCCCGCGCGTTTTGCCCGGCCTCCGTGGATCTTCCCGAGCTTCCGTCCCGCATATCCGCTCGAGGAGCGCCGACGGGAGAGGCAGGGGAAGCCGAAAACTCGGGAGACTGGCTGATTTGTCCGAACGGCTCCGGTCTATCCCGCCCTGCCCTGGAACTGGTGACTTCCAAGACGGAGATCTGATAGCTGAAGGGCCTGACTGGGAAGTTGGTTCCTGGTACAGGGGTAGACGCCAACCTCCCTTGGCAGCCCGTCTTGATACCATCATCAAGTTCCTCGCCGAGGAGGATGTGGATCGGTGTATAGACTGGGAGCTGAAGTTCGAGGAGATCGTTTCCTATCTGGAGTGGCTCGCGCTCGAAGACGCCAACTCCCAACTGGACCACGCTCGGCCACAGACACAAGCCATGTTCAACGATGCAGTCACCAAGGCAAAGGCCCATGTTCTTTTCGAACAGCACCACTACAACCCCACAACCATTGAATTCACCAAACCGTCCAAGACACCTTTCAGATCGACACGCCTCAACTGGATGGTCAACGCGCAGGACTGGCCTCTCCCCTCCCACAACCTGGTCCCCAACCGCCGCAACCTCCTCCCCAGGCCCATCCTCCCCCACACCCCCGGCCCCGTCAACAGGATGCTCATTGACCGACCCGAAAGCGACCGCCTCTACAACAAACTCGCCAAAGACCAGCGAGACTGGTGGCACCGCATCGCCATCACCCGCCTCGCCGTCATCCCCCCGGACGCGGAGAATGCCTCGGAGCGAGACAACCTCGCCTACCACGAAGACCAAGCCTTCACCACCTTCACCCGCTCCACCGACACCACCAACTGGATCACCACCGACGCCACCGGCACCACCATCCTCCCCAACAACCGCCGCGTCCGCCCCGGCGCCGCCGTCGACTACGCCCAAGAACGCGGCGCCCGCCGCGCCACCCTCCAACTCACGCTGCGCACCCTCCCCACCACCCCGCCCACCACCCCCCACCACGCACGCCTCCTCCTCCTCCCCACCCGGGAGGCCACCATCAGGCGCATAGTCATACTCGCAGAAAGACGCTGCTGGATGAGGACCAACCTGGTAAATTCAATTCGAACGAATGCGAAGAGTCAAGAAATTATAAATATAAAGCCACGGTTAAAAAAAATAGGGGAGAGTGAGCCAAAAGCGTGGTAAGCGAGGGACTGACCGGGCGGAGGATGGACAGGCCTGTCTTG